CTAACTCGGGGTGCCTCACTAGAGAGCCCATGTCCAAAGCAGCTGCTGGAGGTGCTGTTCAATCCTACTACTTGTTAAACCCAGAGTACCTAAAACAAATAAAGAGATACAACCTGCCGCCCTCGCCCCTCCCCGGACCCCCGAGGTGTAAGGCCCTTGCAGTCCAGGACTCGTTGTCCAGGAAGCCCGCGGACGGACACAGAGGCGACGCCACCTCCGCGGCGGGGTAGTTGTCGCCTCGTGCCGCCGGCGCCGAAGCGCAGCACCCGGGTCCCAACTCTACCGCTTTGGATGTGGCGAATCTGCCGATCCACCGAGTACTCAAAAAAGACCCAACAGGGGGGGAAAACCGGTGAATATCCACAAAAAGCGCATCCAAACCGTCTTCTAGAATGTAGCTGTGTTTTCTATCCTTTTTGGGGTTGCTAAAGGGCAACCGCAGGGAAAACCATAGATTTGTGTTTCCCTTTTTCAAGACACCAACTGGTGCAGTGCTTGCGACCTGGGCCCAGGGTGCAGATAGGGGGGTTCATAGAATATGGGTTCTACCGAATGCCCTGCTTGACAAGTCCACCAAAACCTTCGCCTATGCTTGAAGACCCCCTGCTTTGACAAGGCTCTCCCTATATTATGTTCAAATCTGTAAGCATCACACTGCCAAAAGGACAACTATTTCTTGCATAGCCTAGAAGATGATGGAACACAAATCAAGGGAAACTGTATTCATTTGCACGCGGAGGTCAGCATTGTGCATTGGAATGGTCGCACAAGATGTCGTACACCCCCCTGCAATCCCCATTCGGAGGGAAACTCACTTCCAACACGGCAACCGGAAGGAGAATGCTAACAAGGAAACTCTCTGGTGTCAAGGAACTACAGTCATGATGAACAGGACCGGAAGGAATCTTGGCCCGCATGATGCTTACCCGTAGGGCACGAATGTGGGCTCTTTCGACTCGCCCTGCGGCTCAGGTCCCAGCTCAGCCGCATGACCTCCAACTTCCGGACCTCGACAAAAGCGGTGGAACGCCTAAAATGGCTTGACACATTGCCGATGAAGGTTGAAGGGCCAGCAAAACCCAGGGTGCACTCCGTCCGACGAAGGCTTGGTTCGATCTGCAACATGGATAACAACTCGACAGGAACAAATAAGAATAAGAATTGGATCAAGGACCTGGTGACCTTCATGGCGAGATCGGTTGACCACAAAATGGCAAGCTTGCCATTTTTGCAGATTCCATGTTTTTGGGCCAGGAACCCCAGAAGGTGCGCACATGCTGGGAAGGTCACAAGCCTCTGAGCCATTGCAGCAATGCGGTCTGATGGGTGGATGCTGTGGGTTCCTAAATTTCCGAGCCTGCCGCTTTTCCTGCAGCTTACCACTTTTTCTCTTTCAATCACAGCTCTGTTTCCCATTGCTGGGTGCATCATTCATTGGGTTGGTGAGAAATTCGGAATCCAGAAAGCTGGCACATAACCCAATCAAGTAAGAGGCTCTACTACTTGCGCTTCATACAATTCCTCAAGTAAGGGACCCTTATCATAGATGAGCTTTTTAGCCCCAGCTGGGTAGTGCAACCTCCCCCACCCCAAAGTTCATGATATTATGTAATTAGGTTTAAAGCTCATCATTGCATGGGCATCATTGAGCCCAGCCCCGCATCCCATATATTTTGCAATTGCATGCAAAGATGTGTTAGGGGTTGGCTTATTTTCACTGACATTGTTTATCAATCCTGAGCTTTGAAATCTCAAGCATGGGATCGGTTTACCCCGTTCGGAGAGCTTGCTAGCATTTGCGCAGCCTACATCGAACCCCCGTAAAACAAGCGGTGCCCAAACGGCAGTTCCAGCAATTTACAAGGGCCGAAACAGCGCGATACTTTAATAACCAGCTTCAACACTGTGCATCTAATTCGCTCCTTTTGGCTGCGAGAGCAGCCCCCCCGCCCAGGCCCGAACCCCGGCGGCACGCCTGGCCCTTGTCCTGCAACAAGTCTGAGCGCTGCAGCGCCCGCTGCTCCGTCATCTCCTGTCGTCTCCGCGCCCGTGCGCGCGGAGGGCTTCAGAAAAGGGATGCCAACATGGGCCAAGCAAATCAAGGAACACCCCGGCCCGGGCTTCTTTCAAGGGGACACCCTTGGAAATGGGATCCTTGATGACATACCTGCAATTTGACCCTGAACGCGTGCCCCAAGACACACTTTGGGGGAAGGAGCGGCCAGATGGCCTTCGTACCTGGTGGAAAATGCAGCTAGGCTTTCGAGGATCCGGAGCAACTTGTTTGGGGGCCCTGCGCTTTCCAAACAAGATACAAAAAGAACAACCCTAAGTAAACCCTTTATGCCCTGGATGTGTTTTGGTTGGTTGCATTTCGATTCCCTGCGAAACCATTCAGAAGCGGACTGCCTGTTGTTAGGCAGGCCCGTGGTTCGAACAAACCTGGCAACAAAGCACCCCAGGCCACCCCTCAATGGTCAACACATATATGCGCTGCCTGAGTGCCAAGGACCGCCATATCAGCACCAGGGTGAAAGCAAATGGCCCAAATTCCTTTGTGGGTGCTCGTTTTGAGGGCACCCTTATTATTATTGTTTGCTTGTGAAAAAAGAAAGAAAGAGCAAAACCACCATTCAAGCGGTCCCCCAAAAGCAGACACACCCTTAAGGAAGTGAAGGGGGTGGCTAAACCAAGATGATGGAATTGTGACACGTAGTTCGGCCCATCTGTGCCTACTGGGGGCCTTTGCGGCGTCCCGCCTTCACGTCACTCTTCCGACCCTTCTCAGAGGAATCCCGGGGGTGAAACATCAGCTAGAGGGTGGGCATGTTGCTTCGCATGAAATCCCCGACCCAATAGAAATTCTCCAAGCCGAACAGGAGCGCCATATGAGCCACGTTCGACATGGGAGCTTGATGAGTAACCGAATAAGAAGAGAGTAACATTTCGACTCATGTTGCCCATATCCCAGTTGCAACCTCCAAGAGAACCCCCTGCTGGTCAGCCAGGTGAAAAATCCAGGGGCGTCAACCACCATTTGGAGACTATTGTTGTGTTACCCTTTTCATGTTACCACCCAACGCATCCAAGTTTAGCAGTTCAACATCAAACCCTGAGCATGGTGAATGTTGGATAGCCCAATTGTCCGTCTCGAGGCTTCAACCTGAACTTCACCAGGGGTCCCTTCTGAAGATTCCACCCAGCTATTCAAGTGCATCGGGCCGGCAAGGAGAGAACCCTGGAAAGAACAGAATTACCAGCGAATGTGCGCCTTCAGCCAACTTTCGCAAAAGGGGGCCGGGGCACTACAACGTATTGTTCTTGGGAGGGTGGCAAGATTTCGGTTCTTTACCCTTCTTGCGACTCGTGAGAAGAACCCAGAGGCACGTTGGAGTTCCCCTGAGCGACGGTTTTCTGGTGGTTTCCCTTTAAAACCAACCAACAGGCTTGGCACCAACTCCAAGCACAGACGAGGCCATGCATTTCCTTCCATTTGCTCAAGCCCCTGGAAAAACATATGCAACATGTCCAGTAGCGATAGATTCCCTTTAAAACCAGCGGAATATATATGCTCACCCTCCCTCCCACTAACATGGCGACTGGGAGGGACCCGGTCCCTTCAAAGGAAATCAATCCAGGTACCTCCCCACAGGTGCCATGTTAGTTGGAGAAAGGGCAAGCCAACTGTAGGAATTGAAAAAATCGTGGAAACTTTCCCATTTCCTTGGAACCATTGGTAATTCTGATGGACGCGTTTCCGAAGCGCCACGGTCGTTGGCACCCCCGCCCCAAAGCCGTTGAAGGTCTTCAGCGCCACCTTGCATCGAATCGTCGACCAAGTCGGCGAAACCGAGGCGAGGGGGCGATGTGGCTGTCACCTATCGGGCAGCGTCCATTGGCTAAGAGGGAATTCCTGAAAAGGCCGCTGTTGCGGAAGAAACTGATCCTGGAAAAATGTGGCATCCGGATTTTTGGCATCTTCCTTTAGTTTTTGGGGGGGAGAGGTTTCCAAGGCTCTCCGCCGAAACTCCAAGCCCTTCAAAACAACCAGGGGCATGAAGCCATGTTCGAAAAAGTCTGCTTCAACAGCCTCCCTTTTAAGCCCGCTGATTCAAACCGGTTTGGCCATGAGCCGAAGCCGGCGGTCTGCCGTGCCGTTCTGGGCTCGCCGGCGTCCCTCATCGGGCCCTCGGCGTCCGCCGACTCCTCCTCGCGAGCCAGGTGAATTGGGTCGAACCCACGGGCGAAAGCCGGACCTTCGGAGCCTTTCGGGGGGACCACACCAAGCAGGTCGGGTGGCTACCCTTCTCGAAAGGATTTTAGCCTCCCACCATTTAACATGGAACCTGACGTTTTGGGGTCCTGGAAGACCATTTTCCTTTTAAAGCGACTCTCCTTGTCAGGTTCCACGTTAATTGGCGGGAGGGTCTAGTTTGATATATATGTATATTATTGTTTTCGTGTTTGTTTCTTTGTTGTTTTTTGAGGGGAAGGGGGGGGGAAGGGGTTGCAAGGGTTCCTCTGACGAGTGTGATCTGGATTCAACAAGTCAAGCCACACGCATGGCTCATCCGCACCTGCATGGCTGTACTTAAAACACAGCCACTTGCCACTGCAATGGCTCAATGCATCATCCACAAGCCACACGCCCCTGGTACAAACCACGAGTTGCTGGAGTGAATTTGGGGAACCAAATTGGCCATCATGGGCCCATTCCGTGCCAGTTGCACGAGAGGCAGCCAAAACATCCTTCATCACCGGGGAGCTGGCTTTACCCGGGTGAGCTCCTTTTAAAACAGAGACAACATGAGGCTCAGCTGTGCTGCATATGTGGCTTTCCTGTTTGGGCAGCTTCCTCGTGTCTGCCCCTTCGGAAATAAGCCCCGTGAAAGCGTCGTAATAGGGGACCTTGCAACAAAAAGCTGGTTGCCGTCTTGTGCCCCTTCTTCTGGACACATGATGTGGCAAACATTGTTGCACAACCAGCAAGAATTGCTTTGTTTGCCTGCGGACCCCCTCCCCAACACTAGCGCCGACAAACAAACAAACACGCAAGCAACCCGGCAAGCAGGCAGGCAGGCAGGCAGGCAGGCAGACAGACAGACAGACAAACAGACAGAACGACGCACAAACGGACAAGCCAGCAAATACACAAACCAACACAACACACAAAACACAGAGATGCCTCACGGTTGGTGGAACCCCTCTTGCCTCGACATTGAGGCCATTCCAAGCTGCGAAGCTTAGCATCTCCGGCCTCGAGCGGGCATGGCCCCCAGGCCCAAGGCACCACAAACGTCGAGAGGCGTGAAGCGAGGAGCGAGGAGCGAGCGTGAGGGGGGTGAATGGATGGGGCGGCCAGGAAGCCCCATGGATCAAGCAACGCCATTTGTTGGTTCAATCGGAGCGGGGAATCTCATTCATAGGTGGGTCCAGCTCCCTGTGCAGACAGATGTATGGATGATTCTGTCTCAAAAGAGGGGGCCCTCCACCAACAATTGGTTTCCTTGCAACTGTCTTTAATCTAAAAGGGGGCATGCTGGGCGGCAATTCCAATGCGAAAGCGAATTTCCCACTCTGAAGTTTGTTGGGCAACCTTTGGTTTCCCTCCTGACATGAGGGCCTTCTTTGCCAGGTGCTAAAGAACCTATGATTTTTAGATTTCCCCCAAACGAAACCAGTAATTGTGTAGGAGGGGGTGGCCAAAAACCTGCATGAGCTTGGACATTGGCGAATGACTCACTTCCGAGTTCATGGACTTGATATATGTTGGGACGATGTCTTTTTTTGTTGGGGCGGGGAGGGGGCGGGGGGCACGGGGAAGGGGGGGGCAAATTCTCCGCTTGGTTACACAAAGGTGTGGACCGTCCCATCGTCAGCCTCACTCGGATTCACTAAGTGCGGTTGAAGCCCAAAATGCAATTCGTCAGGATGTTACTGTCATTTCCGGTAGCTTCCCCTGCACTCTGTCTGTCAAAATGGGGCCAATTGTTCAAGTTTGGTGCTGTCAACCCCATGGAGGTTATACACAACAATATCCCGCAGGACGCAAGTCTGGAAAAGCAAATCAGCAACATCCCTTCCGCGAGCTTCTGCGGAAAAACAAAACCTTGGCGGCTGCAGTGTGGTGCTACCATTTTTATTGATATGTGAACATCTGTACACATTGTTGGCTGAGTTGGAAAAAACCGCCACTCAAATGGGTTGGACCGCTCGTCTCCGCTGATTTCCCCTTTGGTTTCTAGCCCACGCACCCCCAAGTCCAAGATTCCTGGCCCCAAGCGAACACCGAAATATAGCAGCCACCCTTTCCCTAGTGGCCCCAGCATATCTCATGACCCCACCCCGGATTTCAGCGGTTTCGGGTGGCAACCGTCACCAACTCGACCCAATTTTTGGATTTTTGGGCGCGGGGCGGCGTGGGCAGCGGGATCTCAGGCTTCGCAGGCCTGGTGTTGCAAACCACGTGGCTCGTCTCCCTCTTTGGTTTTGGGAGGCGACGGGTTCCCTTGGCGTACTTGTTCATGGACTCAAGGAAAAAACCACAAGCTGAATTGGGCAAACTCCCCCCCCCCTGCCCCAAATTCGAAGAGATTTCGTAAGGGACATGAATATCGAAGGCGCCGGTTCATTCGGGGGCTCTGGGCTTGCAAGCACATGGCCCGAACGCTTCGATTGTCTCATCCGGTTTTTGTTCCTTGTATCTGACGGGACCCACCCAAACTTGCTGGTGCGATGGGTAGGGAATGAGGGTCCGGGAATGAACCAAGGGATTCCCCGCAAATGAAACCACACGGATGGTTTATGGGGTTCATTCCGCTTCTTCTTCCCGGAGAATCAGCAAACAAGAAAAGAAAGGAAATGCTGGAAGCCTGCCTCCTGGGAGAGGAATGTCCAAGTGCACCAAAGGAAACCATATTTACCCACACTCACGAGGGAAATTGATTCAAAAAAAGCTTGATCCCAGTTGCCTGACACTAGAAACAAAATTCCGGCCTCCAAAGGCCGAAAGGAAGTTAGATGCCAGTTTCGGAGATCCAACAAACAAATCCCAGCTTGTTGCTTGCCTCTTACCTGATGTCCCCAAGTTTCTAAAGTACATGATGTCCATTGTCCATCTCAGCAATTGAGTTGGCGGGACTTCCCCCCCAACCCCAACCGGCCAAGCATTCTACCAATATCAAAGTCACCCCTCAAGCAGTAGAAGAAGAAAAAAAAGGAAACCACCAACCCAACAAGTTTCTGATTTTCATACCCGGAAATCGGCCAAATAATAATGATCCCAGTGACACCAGACATGAAAACGAGCCCGGCTTCCCCCAACGAGTCTCCAGCGGTGGAGGAGGCAGCAGTGCCCAGTCGTCGCCCGGCCCAGGCCTGGACCAGCCCCAAAAAAGTGTACGCAAGTTGAACCACCACTAAACTGAGAAGGAAAAAAACCACTAAGAAGAAAGTGGTAAAGTGTGATTTTTGGCGGGTGCAAATATGCGTGCAAAGATCATCCGGTAGTGACAGGTTCCTTCCGACAAGGTAAAATAACAATAATCTCAAGCAGCCAACAAAGGTCTTACAAGTTGCTAAAAGCCCTGTTGAGACTATGGGCCTATGCAAGAGGCGGTGGAACGGCCAAACTCTCGCACCAGTTGGGGTAGATGAAACCCGAATACTTGATAAACAACCGAATGCAGCTGGGGCGAAATGGATCTGCATCCACATAATGCTGATTCAGAGCCGTGGCAAGAGTTAGCGAATATTAACCGCTAGGGGCACGATGGACCAGCGTCACCTCCCATGGCTCCCCTTGCTATGGCTCTGAATCAGTATTGGAAAGAGCTTTTGCTTTGGAAATAAGGGACATGAAGGCCAAAATATGTGGATAACATATTTATGTGTTAGAACACTTGGGGTTGAAGCTATTAGAACACTTGGGGTGAAGCTGAGACAGCGACATATCACTGAAGCTAATAACCAAGCCTGGCGAGAGTCGGCTAAGAGATCGTATGAAAATTGCAGCGTCAGTTGAGTAATCAAAACAAAGTATCAAAACGGACTACCCTGTAAAGAGTTGAAGGGCGGCGAAGCCATGCGGCGAAGCCATGCGGCACCCATAATATGGGATTCCCCCCCTTCCCCCGGGTTTTGAGTATGGCTCTCTTGCCTTTTCAAGTCAGCGATTTGGATCCCCGGACCTAAAAAAACAACATCACATGTCACCTGCGCCACGGCCCCCCCCCTTTCGCCCGTACAACGTGAGGTGACACTCTTTTTGCCCAAGTCAAGCTGCAATTTAAGACTCTGAAGTAGACCCTGTTCCAGAGCCAAGGTCTGATTACAGGAAGCGCCCCATTGCATGCTTGGTTTCAGGGGTCACTGGATGTCCTTCAACAGTTGATCGATTTACAGATGGTTTCCATTGCAACGAGTGCCACTTTTGGAGTTTCCAAGAAGGGAATGGCTCGGAAACCCATAGGACACCAGCTTCTTTTTGCCAATAAAGAGCCGAAGCCTGACAACGGCCCAAGAATACAACATCCATCATGGGCGTCTGCGAATTTTGCTAGGTAATTGGTTGCAACTTCACCCTCAAGGACCCATGTGAATCCACGTGGGAAACCCGCACTTCCGCGGTTGTTGGCCAACTGATTCAACTCAGGCGAAGACATAAAAGGGACAAAAAGCAACAAAGGCCATACACAATGCAAGTAACGGAAAACAAAAACCAAACAAGGCCATGACAAATACAAAATCATGCCAAGTAACGGGAACAAAGATAGAATTAAGAAGGCCATGACAAGTGCATAATCATGCCAAGGAATAAGAAACAACAGCCAAATTAAATAGAGCCATAACAAATGCAATAGAAATATAATGATGGGAAAGAAAAGCCAAATTGAATAAGGCCCTAACAAATGCAAGCAACGCCACATACTAAGGACAAAAGGCAAAACAAGGTCACCAAACAGGCAATTTCATGCCAAGCAATGGGAAACAAGCGCGAAATTAAGTACAGCTACAACAATTTCAACATCACTCCAAGTATTAGGAAACAAGCGGAAAACTTAGTAAGGCAATAACAGATGCAAAATCAAGCCAAGTGCTGGGAAACAAACGCCGAATTCAGTAAGGCCATAACATATGCAAAATAATGACAAGTACTGGAAAACAAAAACCACACTACATAAGGCTACAACCAATGCGAATTCATGCCCAGTAATGGGAAACAAACGCCAAACGTCCTAAGGCCATAACAAATGCAAAATAATGACAAGTAATGGGAAACAAAAGCCAAATGAAATCAGGCTATAACCAATGCGAATTCATGCCAAGCAATTGGAAACAAATTCCAAAATAACTAAAGCCAAAACAACTGCAAAATCGTGCCAAGGAATCGGAAACAAACGACAAATTTTGCAAGGCCAAAGCAACTACAAAATCATGCCAAGCAATCGGAAGCAAACGCCAAATTAAGTAAGGCCATAACAATTGCAAAATGCTTGCATTTGCTTAAGCCCTCTGAAAAAAAAACTGCCAGTTGTCCTCGGTTCCCTTTCAAGCCAAAAAAGGGAACATACCAGCTATCCACTTCAGCACGTTGGAAAAACCTCACTTGCCCAAGGCCAGGTGCTTTTTTGGCGTTCGCACGGACCAACTGGGTTCCCGGGCGCCAGGTTGGGCTGGCCGGTGGTGGCCAACATGCGCTCGAAGACGGAGCTCTTCAACTCCACGCGCCTCTCGTCGAATTGAATGCGACTCCGAGATGCCTCCTTTTTCAGGGGGCGTTCCCTCAATTTCGGCGGTTCAAAGCTCAGACCAAACACGGATAAACCCGTTGTGTTTCCACAGGTGTCCTTTTTAGGTTAGTTTGCTTAGAAGCGAATGGCTTCCACTGGTTTAGATGGGTTTTCCAATTTGCCAGAGAAACCAACCATCTCTTGTATGAAACTGGCGCGGCTACAAAGGTGACCAAAAGGTCAGCGCATCTTTTCACGCCAGCATAGGCTTGAGCCACGGTATGTGAATGATGGCCCATGCAGGCCCAGGTGGCTGATCCTGATTCTCACACCCATTAAGTTTTTCTGGGGTGCATGGGTCCTTGCGTCCTGGCTTGATCTTGGCTCTTGAGATCGGCCAGGAGCCCTCATGCATGGCCTTCTCTAGGCCCAGCTCCAGGCGGCCAAAGCAATGCTTTTCAGGCAGTCGCAGCCCTGCCAGGGTCCTGATTCTGGCTCTAGCTTGACTCAGAAGCTTTCGCCAGACTTTAGCTTGCTTCAGAGGCTGTCTGCTGCAATTGCAAAAGCTTGCTTGAGAGGCTAGCCAGGGCTTCATGGACTTTGTCAGCCCATCCACCGGCACACCATTGCCACTCACTGGGCAGCCGTAGAGCTCGCCCTTCTCTCTCCACATTTCCTGCCTGAGAGCGGTGAGGTCGATGGCCAGCCGCTTGTCTCCAACTACTGACACAAGGAGTACCACACATTGACGTGGTCCATGGCCTCCACACGCCATGTCCACCTCGCTCATTGTGGTCCTTGCAAAGTGCGTGCACGTGCGCCGCATCCTCGCATCCCTCCACAGTCTAGACCTGCGCACCCGCTTGATGGTCCGGGATGTCCAAATCAGCATCATGAAGTCTCCACCTCCAGCAGTCGTGATTTGCGCGCTGGCAAGCCCAAGAATCCGACCTGCTTCTCTATGCTTCTCTTGTTGGCGCCGCGTGGCCAGCATCCGTAAAGCTCCCCGCCTCACAACTGGCAAAGTCGATCTTGCCAATGGGGTAGCGCAGCTCGTAGTCCTTGGTGGAGCGCGCGTAGGCCAGCACCTTGTTTGGCTTGATCAGATCCTCACCGCTGCACTGCGCTGCAAAGATTGCAGCCGGTTCACCTCATAGCTTAGGTCAGGTCGAACAATCCGAGCCAGCCAGCCGAGACTGCCAACCGCGGATTTCGTCTGGCTGAATTGCTGGGCGTGGCCTTGTCGTGAACCTCCTTCTTGCGTTCAGGGGCCAAGTAGATTGGCCGCACCCTTGACGTCAGAGTACTGCACGATATAGAGATGTAGTCCTTGATCTGAGTCTTCTCAATCCACCGCCCACAGTACTTGAAGCTATTCGTCTCCACCTTGCCGAGGGCGAGCCGCTCGCGAATCTTCTTCATGATGGCCTGCGTGTTGTCGTTCACGGCCCAGAGCATGTCATCCACGTGCAAGGCCAGGAACCCGCTTGGCATTGAAGACCGCCAGAGTGTTCGCATGTCGCCGCGCGCCATGCTTAAAGCACTGTCCTGGCTGGCCAGAATAGGGCAGATCAACATTCTGGCTGCCTTTACGACAAACCAACTCGTCAAAGCACTCGCATCACTGCGGAAAGAAGCCTCGCCACTGCCACTGGGCGTGTTGGCAGCCTGGAAAACACAGGTATGCGCAACAGACTCTCTGGGTCCGAGTTGCGCAGGACTAGGCCCAAACTTCATGGAGCACAGGCTCCAAGCCACAGCGCCGGATCTCCTTGTCAATGCTCTTGAACCATCCCCTCAGCGCATCCCTGGTCCCGTAGACGGGCCAGCAAAGCATCCTCGGGTACGTCGGGGACCTTTGGAGGAAGGCCGCACTGATGTCTCCGCAGAATGGCCCTCGTAGCGGCCTAGGCCAAAACCATGTTGGTCATGAGCTGCGATGCTGTCGGGGAGTCTGTGCGAATGTCGTTGGCCCTCTTCAAGTCACCACGGACAACCAACCTGTGACTTCAGCACCAGGGTGTCGAGCGGCATGATTTGGATTTCCTCCCATGCCGCTTGCGCTCCCTCTACCGACTCCTCGCTGGTCATGACGCGAACCGCCGTGCGCTTGGTCCAGTTGCTCCACTCTCGCTTCTTTAGGAGCTCCTCCTGCACGCTCGCGTCCACTCTATCGTTTGTCACAGTTCAGCTCCTTGCCGGAACCTGCCTTCTGAGCTTTCTTCTTGAACTTGTTCACCAGCTTCTCCGTGTGCCTCCACAACGACGGCATACTGCCTCCTCGCACGTCGATTCATGGTGGTCCAGTATGCAAAGATCTCGAAGAGCAGGGTTCGACACCCGCGTGGAAACAGCGATCTCCACCACGGTGTCGGCTTCCAATTAGCCTTCTTCACGCTGCCCCACATAGCAACATCTTGCTGCTCGATTCCTTTCACATCATCACCGAGCCGCCTTTTCAACCCTTTGTGATGGTCTTTCTGTCCTTGCCCTTTGTGGAGAAGTAACCGCAAGCCGGGGTCCTCCACAGGCCACTCTGTGAGGTCCACCACGTGCTCCATGCCCATTGTGCTGATCATGGATCTTCCACCGCCAGCGTCTCTTCCGAAAGGCTGTCCAACCAACCCACTGTTGGCCAAGGTGACATCCACTCATCTTTGATTTCCTCGTCATCGCCCATGAGATATCCCGCATACGTAGTCCGGAAGGGAAACTCTTCCGGCAAAACATCTAACTTCTCGGGGTCCGATGGATCCGGTATTGCACGTTCCCCCTGACGACCCAGTAGTCCGTAGTTACCATGCTCCGGCTCCGTCTCACCAGTATCTCCAAGATCATCTTCAGGTTGATTGGCAGGATGATCAACCTCATCTCGTGTCATCAGGGTTAGTAGAAGACGAATTCCTGGCAGTCCATGTCCAAGTTGACGAGTAGACCATTTTCTAGCTCATGTCGATGACCAATCCCAGCTGCGCCTGAGCTGCGGCGCTCACAAAGCTGTGTCGCCGTCCACCAGTTCCACCGACCCGACCGTGCCAGTGACACAGTTGCCGTCTGGTGACCAACTCCCTGGAGGCGCGCACTTCGGTCCTCCACTCGGTCCGGAATGGGAGTCTCCACCGCCATGATGTACTTCTCCAACCAACGATCTCCATGACATGTCTGACTACAGCCCGTGTCAACAATGGCGATGAGATCGTCTTCCTTGCTGCACCTCCAATTCCGGCCGCACCATGTTGGCAACCGGCGCTAGCTGCTTAGTCCTTTTCCGGTGGTACTCCTTGAGCGCGGTGAGGTTAGGGTTCACCGGGGTCTACAAATTGATCAGCCAATCGCCATAGGCCATGTCAGTGTCAAAGGCCTCCTTGAAGGTCTTGCCCTTGTGCTTGGCGGTGACCAGCAAATCTTGTTGTCATTCGGGTCTCAGGAGCTGCTGCTTGACGCTGTGGTACGTTGCGCAGCCTTTGCAGTGCTTGAGGGTTGCGCAGTAGTCGCGGTGCTTGAACTCACATACGTCCCGGCTTCTGCCTGCTCACAATGTCCACGCATCTTCGCATCAGCTCGGGCAGCTTGTTGATGTCAACAGCCAGGCCACCTTCTTCTTGCAACTGCAGCGTCATGGCCAACAGATTCATTGCCTGACGGGCAGCATCCATTGCCGCATGTACCCCAGCGCCCTTGATGCAGTCGAGGAGCCCGATGAGGTTGGACCAGTCCCACGATCTCCGGAGTGGACATGTCCACACTCCGTGCAACTCCACCTCCATCGATGCGAATTGCTTCCTCGCCAGCTGACATTGTTGTGACTGCAGTTGTTGGGTTCCACATGAAAGGGTGGCGGCTTTCTGTCTGGGTTCTTCGGTGTTTTGCGGGACCGGCTGATTAGGTAGCCGCAATCCTTGCACCCAAGGTTCTCCACGTAGGCGTTGCTTCCTGCTCGGGTTATGTTCTGGTGCATTCAGGTGTTGGTGTTAGGTGTGGCTTTCGCTGCTGGGTTGGTAGTAGATGAGGATCCGGTAGTCGTGGTGCCAGGTGCTGGTGGTGAATCGATGTCAAAGCCTCCCCTAACATCTGCCAATCACGGTCTTCCACCAAGATCCACACACCAGGGCCGATGCTGTTCTGGGGTCTGTAAGCTATCGGGAGGAGGTACCTGGGTGTAGTCGTGAAAAACCGTGTAGGCGGTGGGCTCACTAAAGTTGGCCTCGCTGAACAGCTCGTCGTCCTCTTTGATGGCAAAGAACACCGGTCGCTTGCCCTTGCCACCTTTCTGTCCATGTGAGGATGCCGAACTTGTAGAAGATGGTGACTTTCCACCGCCGCCTGTCTTGCCTCCGAAGCCTCTTCCGCGACCAGGTGATGAGCTCTTTGTGCACTCCGGGTCACCACTCCACTGACCAATCTGGCCACATGACCGTCTTGGCCTTCAGCTGGTTCAGTCGGGCCTGTGTGCTCCATGAGCACCGTGGGTTCACCGCCGAACCTGGGGATGCCGTCCTTGCTCTCGGTGAAGTCGTTGTTGGAGTCCTTCACGGAGTTAGGCCACCTGAGGCCGTCCAAGAGTGCCATTGCGCGCACCCTCGGCTGGGAAGAAAAACGGGCGTTGTTTCTAGCTCCGTTGAGAGTATGAACTTGGCGTGGTTACAAAGGTGACCAAAAGGTCAGCGCATCTTTTCACGCCAGCATAGGCAGGAGCCACAGTTGTGGCAGTATGTGAATGATGGCCCATGCATGCCCAGACTGGGGTCATTTAAGGTGGCTGATCCTGATTCTCACATGTTTGAAACCGTGGTTGAAACCAGTGGCTGTTGGTATTTCGTTGGGGAATCGAATAATTAAGCAGGGGGGGTTCTGAACGGTGCAGGATTTCGCAACCATCCCCAGTACCATCCTTGGGGGGATTTGACCACGTATCCCTGTGAGGTGGCACCCTTGCCCCTTTTTGGTTGTTCTTTTCTATGAAAGGTATGGAATCAAACCCCGAAACTTGAAACATGGTCCATCCATTCGTTCAATGTCCTTGGTCATGACTCCTTTCTCAGGGCAGAACGGCCTGAAGCAGCCTAATAGCCTAAAACACCCAAGCCTAGGTAAGCAAAGGGCCCTGTTGTGTGGAAGCCGAAGGCAGGAACCCTCTGAGCTAAAAGTCTTATTGCATGTCCATAAGCTCGCACATGGGTAATGGATGACTACCTGCAAAGTACTTACTCCCTTGCGTGCGCCCAAAGAGCCGGTGGAACTTGGTGCCATGAAGGCACAAACAGCTCGGCAAGCAAAGGTCCGGCATTCAGGAATTCCTATGAATGGAGCGGGGGGGCCATTCCTTTTGTCCGGGAGCCAGAGAAAATTCACGTGCCTGAACCATCTCCACATCTACTCCAAGAACAGCAGCTATCAACTCCACGTCCAAAAAAACAAGCAACGCAGCGCCAAACGAGGCTTCCTGGCTTCCTGGAATTGCGGAACCCCTTTGGGCGTGGCCCTTTGAAAATATAAAGGGAGCACAACCGACCGCTGGAATCGCCCCCCTTTGCAGAACCGCAAGACTACGTTGACCGGGGCCTCTTGGGGGCCTTGGTGATGGCGTGGTTGGGCAGCATGACAAAGCCTCGGAGCCGCGGCGCGTGGCGGTCGCAAGCTTCATTCCAATAGTTTCGCTGGTCCCGAGGAGTGCTTCGTGGCTACCCCACCTTTCCTGGTGGATTAGGGGTGAATTGGGGGTGGACCCCTCTTTTCGAGGATTTCCCAAACGGTGCCATGGCCGTAAGACTTGGGTTGGCGGCCTAGGCTGCGGCCTAGGCTACGGCCTAGGCATTGACGCCACTCAAATCTTTGAGGCGTCAGGCCTTCGGTTTCCGGCCGCCTTGTGCCAACTTCCCTGCCAAAGGGCGCGGGGCCAACGGCTCAAGATCAAGACAACCCCAAACCCACTCCCCCCCACCCCCAAAACTCCCCCTCCCCCCAAAAGAGCTGTCCTTTTTGTTGGAGCCCTACATCTCCCGCATTTTTCCATAAGTTGCTTGGGAGGAGAATGGGTGCCATGCTGGGCGCGCTGGCCTCCCGTGACCTTCAATAAGCTCCAATTTCTACTGGGTATGTAGCTACGCGGCTACGGCGTCGTTTGGTGCATGGAACGTGCAGAGTAGAAGCCGTTTTGGGTCCCTGAGTTCATGTCAAGATTTTCTTGGGGGTGGCCGTATCGAAGGATCAATGGCTTTGCCTGCAATGCTCGCGGAAGGCACGGCATCAGAACTCAACATCATTGTCTTTGAGGTAAAACACATCTCCAAGGGGAAGGAGGAAGAAAAAAAATATGCTTGGAGGGACCAACTCCGCAACCAAGCCAGCCCTAGCATCTTGCTGAGGAACTTTGGCGTGATCAAACCATTCCAAGGAACCCGCAATTTTCGGGATCCACAAACCGGTTCCTCCGGGTTCCTTGGGTTCCCTCGGCTCGTTTGGGGCCGAAGCCCGAAGCGCCGAGGCGCCGAACTCGATCCGAGGCCCGGGCGCTCGTCCACTTTGCCCACCACCACGCCGGTGTACCCGGCCAGGGCCACGTGCACCGCGTGGGAGCCCAGCACTGAGCAGTAGACCTCGGCTCCGAAACCAGCCGGCCTCTTTGGGGTAAAAGGGGCGCCCACTGCAATGCTGCAATGGGTTTTGTTGAGGGGAGTTCCCCTTTTTAGACACCTAGGGTCTTTGCAACCTCCTTCTTGTGGGGTATGGGGTTTTTAAGGGTGCCAGGCTGCACATATACGCAAGTGTCCATGGCACAGAGGTCCGGCGCCGAAGCACCACTCAGGATTTGACCAGCCCGCCCTTCGCAGATGGACTTGGAGTCAAAATTGCTCCCCCCCCCCCCAAGAGGATACGGCAAAATGAGGGCCCCCCCCCCCTGATTTGGTGAAAAATTAAAAGGGTACTCGAAAGCTTGACCAAAGCCTATACGGACCCCCTCCCCCCCAAAAAAATTGAAAAGTTGCATGCGCAGGCCTCTGTTGGAAGACTCCTGTCGAGGGGCTGAAATTGAACAATCCAAAGGTCAGAAGGTCGGCAGGAGATGAAATGAGGGAAAGGCCTACATGTCCCATTTCCTCCAGCCCAAGCTCGAACCCGTATCACGCAGTGGCGGAGGGCCAAGCGAGAAACTGGGCCTGCTACGCTGTCATTGGTGTTGGCCGGCACTGCCCGGATGGTGTAGGTCCTGCGCGCGCGTGAGACCAATTTGCTAGCTGTCGGGATTTGTGGAGTTTTTGGGCATGCGCCAGGAGCTCTCTGAAGCAACCAGTAACTCGTTTTACCCGCAGGTGTCGCAAGAAAAGAAGGCATCGGCAGAGCTGATTTGGGCCGGGGAATAACTATTAAACTTTTGTTTCGTAATAATTAGTCCTATTTCTTCTAACCTTTTATAATAACGTTATTCAGTTTCACTAATTTGTCTGCCTTCATTTATTTGTTTTTATCTTGTCGATTGGGAAATCCCCACTTTGACCCACTGGGTCGATGCTGAACGCCTCAGGGTTGACAGCCGCCTGACAAGCCTGAAGCTGCCCTTCGGCCCCTTCTAAGCCCAGCACGGATCGATGTACTTCACGCTCAAAGGTTGCTGCATCCTGGCCGCAGCCACTTGGCACAGCAAAGCTCCTTGGTATTGCCTAACCTGTGGCTGTTGACATCCAAAGCAATCGCGGCCTGGTACCCACCGAAAAATGGAAAACTCTCTGAAACACCTAAAATCTGAGAAATCTCTTTCCCTTCACACCTCCTCCGTCATTTTTTGGGGTCCTCACCCAGCCCCTTCGAACAAGGATGCCATGTTTTCCTGCGGCCCTCCGTCAAAACTCAAAACTCCCGGTGCGCTTGGCGTGGCCCGTCGGACGCACGCACACGGAGAGCACGCTTTGCCCATTGGCAAGTGCATGAACCGCCAACTGTGGCCGCGCCTTTGCAGCCCGTCATAGATTATGCTTCTACCGCAACCCCCGCTTTTCGAGGCCTCATGTTCTTCCGGCCCTCGATGGTCTTAGGCGGCACCTTGAGATGCAAGCCATGCTTCAAGGGATGCCGCATCATGACGCATGGGGTCCCTCATGCCGTTGCACTGGTTGTCGCAGTAGGACCACCAAGCCTCCTTCGCTGACATGTTGGTCCGCTGCAAGTGCTTCACCTTGTCCACCAGGCCCATCTTCTCGGAGTCAGTCGAGTAATCCATTCGTGGCTGCTTCGCAGGCGGGTATCCACCACCGCCGCCCAGCGCCATCGGCCGCTTTGCGGTGCTCTGGGCTTGAATCTCGTCTAAGTTGATGCCCTGGGAGGATGCAAGGGCTGACAAGCCATTGGCGGCAATTTCGCCCACATAGTCGATGAAACCTTTGGTAAAGGACTCGTCATGCTTGAATGGATCATTGACGCCTCCGCCGTAGAGGGCGCAGTAGGTCTGCCAGGCGTTTGTCCAGTGCTTTGACTGCCGCTGACCAGTCTTCACAAAGTCCCCCAGGCCCGGCGCACCACCCATCATGCCCATTCCGCCACCCATTCCCATACCGCCACCGCCTCCTCTCCAAGAGGGCGGACCACCCTTCTCCCAGCCCATGCTCGGAGGTCCGCCCCATCCTCCCTTGCCACCTCCATACCCCTTCTCCTGTGGCCTGGGAGCGGACACTGGCAGCCCCCCACTGTTGTAGAGGCCCAGGAAGGTCGACAGGGTGCCCTCGTCATGCCGGTTCGGGTCCTTGATGCCACCCAGGTGAGCCTCGCAGTAGTCCTGCCACGTCTGCCTGCCGTAGGGATCCGACCGCTGCATGCCCTTCACCTGCTCCACCAACGAAGCCCTGTCGGCCATCCTGAGAACTACCAGCGGGTGAGGCTGGGAACGTCTCCGCTTTCGGAGTCTCCCAGCGAAACAAAATTGAGCCGGCGCGCGTCCAGGAACTTCAGCTTCAATGGGGGGGGCTTAAAAAGGCCATCAACCAGAATTTGTTGTGCAGCCATTTCTGAAGACATTCCCCATCAACCTGCGTGGCATGGAATGATGCAATAGAACTGCAAGAATGGGCTCATGGCCACCCAGGGGTCGGTCAAAAATCCGGCCAACAGCTTCGAGCATGGGTGCAACGAGGCGTTCCTGGAACACGTAGCGTCAGGCAAGAGATTGTGCGAAGCATGCATCAGCGAAAAAGCACGAGTCAACAAAAGCCATTTGTAGAGGAATGGGGGGAGGGTTGTGAGCAAGCAGCCCCGGTCTTTCTCAACAGCGTACGGGAGGTCGATCCTGGTACTCTATGTTACGATGCCCTGCGTAGTTCTGCGATGCGCCCATGGTTTGACTGGGTTCAATTCAATGAGGCGTTTTTCCCTTGCCACACGCCCAAAACACAAACAAAAGCACCGTAGTCATCGCATTGAATGATGGAAACATGCTGTCAAAACTCACAGGGCCCTGCGACATGCATCTATAAGTCGTTTAAGCTACGTGTCTTGCCTCAGGCGCTCACTCGGGCGCCGATGCCGATCTCATAAACCGCCTGGTCAGCCGATGGAACCGTCGATGGTCTTAGGCGGCACCTTGAGATGCAAGCCATGCTTCAAGGGATGCCGCATCATGACGCATGGGGTCCCTCATGCCGTTGCACTGGTTGTCGCAGTAGGACCACCACGCCTCCTTCGCAGACATGTTGGTCCGCTGCAAGTGCTTCACCTTGTCCACCAGGCCCATCTTCTCGGAGTCAGTCGAGTAATCCATTCGTGGCTGCTTCGCAGGCGGGTATCCACCGCCGCCGCCCAGCGCCATCGGCCGCTTTGCGGTGCTCTGGGCTTGAACCTCGTCTAAGTTGATGCCCTGGGAGGATGCAAGGGCTGACAAGCCATTGGCGGCAATTTCGCCCACATAGTCGATGAAACTCTTTGTGAAGGACTCGTCATGCTTGAATGGATCATTGACGCCTCCGCCGTAGAGGGCGCAGTAGGTCTGCCAAGCGTTTGTCCAGTGCTTTGACTGCCGCTGACCAGTCTTCACAAAGTCCCCCAAGCCCGGCGCACCACCCATCATGCCCATTCCGCCACCCATTCCCATACCGCCACCGCCTCCTCCCCAAGAGGGCGGACCACCCTTCTCCCAGCCCATGCTCGGAGGTCCGCCCCATCCTCCCTTGCCACCTCCATACCCCTTCTCCTGTGGCCTGGGAGCGGACACTGGAAGCCCCCCACTGTTGTAGAGGTTCAGGAAGGTCGACAGGGTGCCGTCGTCATGCCGGTTCGGGTCCTTAATGCCACCCAGGTGAGCCTCGCAGTAGTCCTGCCAAGTCTGCCTGCCGTAGGGATCCGACCGCTGCATGCCCTTCACCTGGTCCACCAACTCAGCCCTGCCCGCCATCCTGAGAACTACCACTGCCTTTCCACAAGGCAGTCACACAACTTGGCCAAAGGTCTGCGGGAAGTACGCAAGGGTCGCGTTCTGAAGGGATCCTGAATTGATTGGCCCCAGCTGCCTTGCATTGAGCTGGCACTCACACTTCGAACTGTTGACCCCCATCAAATCACACATCGGATTTAAACGCCTGTGATCAAAGGATCCATGAATGAACGAGAGCTTTTCACAACCAAGCTGGCGGCTTGACGCAGCCAGCGGTCCAAACGCGCCTGCACGTACCCAAAGCATGGGGCCCCTGAAATCCGAGATTCGTTTGACAGGTGTTGGGGGCCTGGGTTCAGAAGCGTCGGAAGGCCCGCCCCTTGCCGCTGCGCCTCTTGGCGTAGCTGAGCAATTGCTCCTTCAACCAGGGACCCACGTCCGCCAGCTTCTTGTTGCCCCCAGCATCGCCTCAGAACACGCCTCAAACGCGATCTGCAAAACCTGGAAGTTTCTCAAGGCGAAGCTCTGAGCGAGGACCCAAACCCTAAAGACAAGACTCAACAAGGGCACAGCCCTCTGTTTTCAGAGCGCGCGTAAAGCTTGAGTGTCTAAAATCCCTCCTCCTTCGCATGAAGGAAGGTCTAACCCAAACCCTAACCCTTCCACCCACCACCTCCACACACAAACCCCTCCACCCCCCTCCCCCCTCCAGAAGCGTGACATCGGGTGGTCGACGCATTGGCCAAATTGGGCCACCCGGCGCTCCCCGCTGCTCTTCAGCAGCGTGTCGCCGCAGCCTTCTGCCACCACGATGACCGCCTCAAGCTTTATGCATCGAGAGGCTCGGCCTTTCCCCGGCACCGGCTGAAGCGGAGGGTCCAAATCCAGGTGATGTTGGGGTGTAGCCTTCCTTTGGAAGCCCCTCCAAGAAAAAATGTCCGGACGTCCCCAACATGAGAATCGGGGGTGGTGCACTTCCGGCCGTCCGAGAGCCAGGGAAAGGGGTGGCGTGATCAGTCTGGTTTAGGGCTCCCGTTGAACAACTTGACCCATAGAAATTGGTCTGGCGCAAAAGAAGACGAAAGGAAACCAAACGGATATTCGATTCTTGTGGGGGGGGGGGCCTTTTCAGCATCCTGCAAAATGGGCCATAGTTCTGACAACACCCCCAGCCTTGTGGTTTGGTCATCTGGTCATATGTCAGGAAGTGGGTTGATAAATTGGGGGGGGGGGGGCAACAAAAGCACGTGTGTTTCCTTTGGCTTCCCCATTCGAACCATCGTGAGAAGAGGGCCATCCTCCCTCCCACTACCTCCCTCTAAATGGTGCTTGGTTTGGAGTCCGATGGTTTGTTTGGTGGTTAAAGGGTTGGTTCCTATTCACCCTCTACAAGAACCAGGGGTTCAAATCCAAATCCAAGCCACCAACCCACCCCCAAAAGCCAAGGCAGCCCTCCGAGCCCCGGGCATGGCCCTTGGTCTTTAGAAGGTGCATGGCATGTGACAGCACCCGCGGCAGTGAGATGTCCATCTCCGGCAGCAGGCACATGTCCGCGCTGCCTGAGACGGCTCCGCTCCTCTTCTTGTTGGGCGGCGACGTCTTTTTGGGGACCCCTCCAAATCACGTGATGTCCTTTTAAAACGAACAAAAGACAGCACCTGCAACAAAAGGACACATGCCAATATGGGCGGCTCGTCTTTCTTGCTGGGGAACCCCTTTTAGTTGGTTGAGGGGGCAACAACGGGGAAACCAACCTTGGCGGTCCCCAAATTCGAGACATGCCCCTAGTTTCCCTGACATCGGTGACATGGACCCTCTGGCTGCACAAAGGGCTGGAGATAGATCGAGCTGTTGGGCAGAAACTGGAACAAGTTAAAAGGTTGCCTCAGCGAGCCAGTGGCTCGCAAAAAATGGGATGCTACAATCCTGGGCTGCTCCCAGATCCCCCGCAAGTCGAAAGCTTTTGGTGGTTCAGTGGGAAAGTACCACTAAACCAACTAACAAGATCTAAAAACATCAGCAACCGGATGGCTGGGAAGCACCAAGACTCTCTATCTCAGCACCTGGGGGCTCCCTTTTTTTCTCTAATTGAAAACACGCAAAAACTGGGCTCCCTAAAAAAAGGACGAGCCATCTATCTCTAATCTTCAGATCAGTTCTTCCATTTCTCGCTTGGCACCCCTGCGTGCTGCCAGTGTGGCATGCAGAGCGATGAATCCACAGTGCCGGCCTCAAGTCTCAAGCCCAAAGCGAGCCGTTGCACAGGCCGCTTAGCGCTTAAACCGTGCCCCAGTTTTCCCCGGCGTTCTTTTCAAGCAAAGCCAAAAGGCGTAAACAAGTCGATGTCAAACAGGTGGCTTTGGAAAAAAGGCTCGGGAAAGCGCATAGCTCTTTCTTAATTCCTTGGGCGCCGTGGCAAAGGGTTCCTGTTCCTGCGTTTCCTTTCATAGACCATGTCCGCCAACCTGGCTGCCTGCACCAAGGTAGAATCATGGAAACATGAGGGTCTGGCGGTTTGCTTTTTGGTCTCAAACCACCGACCCTCCACAATGGGTTTCGCTTTTTGGTGTTTCCTTTCGTTTCCCTTACCCCCCCCCCCCCAAAAAAAAAAAAAAGGATGCCGGGCCCCAAGAACAAGGAACGGCCTATGCAACAGAGGGCCCACCTTGGAGATCGGGAACTCCGAGCTGGGGCCAAGCGGCCCATGAGCTTCACCAAGCCGATGCAGTGGGCGTTGCAGGTGGCCTCGACCTCATCCGATTCTCGCGGCGCGCTGAAGGGGCGGGATCTTCCTCGCGGGTTGGGCTGGATTTGGGTGGGGGTTGCTGTCGGTTTTGAAATTTGAAGATTTGTTTGGCGGATTTTGAGCTGGCTTCTTTTCGAACCCAACCAAAAAAGGAACCCTCCCGAAATGTGTGGATTGCCTTGCGGTTTGCCTTTGAACCAAAAAGGGAAGTCTCAAACCATGCCCAAACCAGTTCAAATGAGCATATTTTGAGTCAGGCTGTTCTTGCGATTTCTGGGATTCAGGGCTAGTGACTCGACAGCAGATAACGGCCTGCGCTGCGACTTTGCACCTGTCAACTCAAATCGCACTGCAGCACCCTCCCCCACCCCGCAGCTCAATGTGTTTCTCTCCGAATAGCCAAGCAAGCCACACACACAGCCAGCTCTCGTCCTCGGTCGCGCTGGCTGCTACTTGCAAGCACGTTGCCCACTCAGTGCTCGTGCTGTGTGCAGAAAACCTAGCTCAGGTTTTGCGCAATTGCCGTCTGCTTGGGCGGGCTGCATTCTGCCCTGCAGTATCTGATAAGGACCTTGAAGTTCATCCTCCTCCTTCTCCTCGCAAAGCTGCAAGAGCCCAGCAATCCACAGACTACCACAGGCGATCTTCCTCTTCTTCTGCATCGCGCGCGGGCAAGGTGATGGATTCATAGGTGAGGGCCTTCTCGTACATCGGCTTTGGGTACCGAAAAATCCTTACCAGAGCTGGCGACTTATCGCAAGGGCCAGAGAAGCAAACCCACAACTCGACCAACCGTGGAGTCAAAATCCAGAACAGTTTCCCCCACAAAGAAGAAAAGGAAGCAAACCACTGAAGGACCTTGGCTGCCCCGTAGTTGCAACTTTGCTCACTTCATGAGTGGATGGGCCGAAAATAAATCATCAAACCTTTCATTTACACGCTAGAAAGGCCCAAATCCACACAGTGACTCAAGTCCGAAACAGAACTCATGGAGTGGGTTCATGAACACCCCCCCCTCACTTTTGCGGTCTCCACTCCCAGGCGGAGCCTGAAATCCGCCACGCTCGCGCGGCATCCAAAAAGCTGCCTTCCGAGCCTCTGCCGCGCCATGCGCCACAAGTCGTACCAAAACTCCTGCGCCACCGCCGCCTTCGCCGGTGGCGGCACCGGGCAGAACTCCGAGGCGAAGTTCCGCGCGTAGCGCTCCGCCGCCGTGGCCCCGGAGGTGGCCATCCTGGGCATTCGACCCGTGCCGGTCGCGGGAAACCAAACCGGCAGAGCCCCCAAAAAACCCTGCAGCTCTCGCGCTTTTTGAAAACACTGGCTGGGCCAAGACTATGCTGCCAGCAACAAAGATCCCCCAAGCTTGGGCCTTGTGATTTGCAAGTTCAAAAGCCAAATGCTCAGGCACCTCCCAGCCTCGCAAACACATCACACCCCAAACACAACTCCTTGGAGGAGGCTGAAGTGGTGGTGTCCCAAGCCGAGGAGAAACGGCTGACTTTTGAAACAAGCGAAACCCTAGTGACTCCCAAGCAATCCTGAGCAGCACGGTGAATGGGAGCGTTCTCAACTTGTCTTTTGCTTGCTGCTGCGATAGGCAGGGAATTACCTTTGGGTGTAGGGAATGAACCCAGAAATTCCCTTCAAAAAACACCATAGGGCATTGCTTGTTTGCAGGGTCATTCCCTCAGTCCCTCCCCAAACGGCTTGTTTCTTTGCCCATCAGCAAAGTTGTTTCTTTTGAGCCGAAAGGCTGGACCAAGACCTCGGGGTTGTGCTTGAAGACCGCAAAGCTCGGCAACTTGCAGCTGATGCCCTCGTGCATGCCCCGAAAGCCCTCCTGTTCACCAAGCTTGCTGGTTCGATAGGCAGGGAATGAGAAATGGGATGAACCCTAAAAGAAATCCCCTGTGGTTTCCACTGAGGGGGTCCGCAAGTTAATTCCAAAAACCGACCTACTGAGAACCAGCAACTTTTATTCAGCCGTGGACGGCGGTTCTATGCTTTCGCGCCACACGGTTATTTCCCTCAACGAGTTGTCCAACCTTGGAAATATCTACCTTATCATCTCGCGTTACTTGAATTGAACTCTACCCCAAGCCACCCCCTGCGAAATGGACTTCGCAACCATCCGCAGCATGTACCAATATGCAATCGTCCATTTCCAGCTTGGGAAATGGAGGAACAGTTGTTGACATACATTCCCGTTACATAATTTGTCCCCTCCAACATGGGCAGTGACTGGGATATCTTCAAGAGGAAAAGTTACTCTGACATGCTTGTAGAGCTGCAAAACAAAAAATAGTGTGGGCCACAAAACGGCTTCTTTCCTTTGGTGCCCCCTTTCAACACTGAACACACACACAAATACATATATATATATATATATATATGATATATGTATGCACATACACACATATATGCATGTCTATGTGCATACATAATTTGTCCGACAGGGGGTAGTGGTTTGGGGACAGCAAACAAATGCATAGCACCCCGATGCTTCGAGACGGAGCTGAAGCCGGCGACCACGGGCTATTGAGGAGCTCCCCTCGCTATGGCTATGAACCGATACTGACATATGTGGGTTGGAGATTCCCCCCCCCCTCCCCTCCTTGCACGGTTTTTTTTCTAAGGAGGGTTTGGCGGGATGCGCACATCCGACTGAAACAGAGTAAGGGGAAGTGGGAACATGTATTTCACCCGGAGACTGCTGCTTCGGCAGGTGTAAGCAAGCGTGCATAAAGCAGTGACGCCTGAGATCCCAGCCCGCCCGCAACATGGGCTCCAGTGGTCCTCTGACTGAAGAATGGAAAGACCACCCGTCACACTGAAGCTTCGATTCAAAACACGCCTCCTAGCAAGCCAATCCATTTCAAGCAAAGGGCTTGTTTGGCAGCCAACGGCAACTCAACGAGACCCCCCCACCCCCCACCCCCGCCGGTGCCACATGTTTCCGGCTCCTCGTTGGAGAAGAAGGGCAGGTGCGAGCTCATAATCGCGGCGCGCATAGGCGCGCTCATGTTGGCAGCCATGCCCGCCTCGCCCCAGGCGCCCCACTGCATGGCGACCCCCGGCCTGCCCAAGGCGTGCCGGTGCCGCATGAGGCCTGGGCTCCAAAGATTCACCGGAACCAAGTCTGGAACTAGGTTCGCCTTGGCATGTTAGTCCTGATTCCTTACGCTTGCAAAACCTGCTTGAACAACTAAGTTCTTCAAAAAAAGGCTGGTGTTTGGATGTGTCGTGTTCCGCAGGCGGCGCGCAATCAGCAACCAAGAGGCCATCCAAGAAGTGGTTGGCCCCCGCGTAGTTGACCTGCCCCATGTTTCCAGAGACCGAAGAGGAGGAGAAGGCCCAAAAGAAGTTCAGCTGGTTGGACTTGTGCCTTTCCAGGCTGTCGTGGAGATACAGGGCCGCCTGCGACTTGAGGATGCGAGTCTTGCAGTGGATGCCCCAAATATGCAAATAAACAAAACATATTCGCAAAACCATGGTAAATCAGGGGACATTAGAGGCTTTCCTGCCTGAAGGATAGCGGGCATTATCAAGTTCGACATGCGGCCGGCATGAAAGAAAGGATTCCAAATCTCACCAAAAAGGCCCACTTCAATCCTGAAGTGCCCCCTTCTCTTCTTTGTTTTTCTCTCTCTCTCTCTCTCTTAACAGGGTTGGGCCAACCCCCGTTGCTCTTAGCAAAAGGGAGCCCTTTTTGCGGGTGTGCCATTTTTGGTGGGGAAGCCACAGAACCTCGGGCCTGCCCAGTCAAGCAGAATTGACATTGACTCTGATTGGCCAGGGCCCCGGGGCCGACCTTCTTCCCCGGTTGCAATCTCGGCCATTCTTCCAGAGTCCTGACTCCTGAGTCCCCAGCCCTGGTAGCCATCTTTCTCCCTCCCCGCAGGCCCGCAGTCAGCCGAAACGCGGCACCGGCCTTTGCCTTGCACCCCAGGGTCGCCGCCATCTTCTCCCAGCTCTGCCCTGGCAGCAGCGCATCTTGCAGCACCCCAGCCGTGTGCACCACCCCCACAATCCTCGGGGACAAAGACGCCACCAGGTCCTCCACCTGACACTCGAAAGCGGAGCGTGGGAACCGAACAATCGAGCAATGGCGAAATAGCTAGGCAACAGTACCTGGACCTGTATGATGACATAACTTGGTCTAACATTTGTCCTATGATAATGACGTAGTTTGGTCTTGAGAGTGCCTGGACCTGGAACAAGTGAGGCTCAGTTCCAAGGAAGCCTAGCAAAAACCTCCGTAGTACTGGCGCTAAGTCAAGGCTAGCTGTCGTTCAGAAGTAGATGAGAGCGGAAGGAGAGAAGAAGAGACAAGAAGAGAAGAAAAGAGAGCCACAGCGAAGAGGTGACATGTGTTCAGATTGTGTGACCGGCGCAGCACTTCGGGATAGAAAGTGTGTTTTTCGCGTGCTGGGAAGCGCAAGCGCGCCTTTGGCTCAGCGCAGGTTTATCGCGGAAACGGTGCGCCGCCAGGCTCATTGGCACGGACGCGCGCGCGCGCGTCGTCGACGTTTGTGTGACAGGCGCAGCACTCCGGCAACCTGAGGTACTTTGGACATGTCTTGCAACCACCGCTTGCGGTCGAAGGCGGGCGCAACATGCGCAACTCACAGCAACTTGCCAAGAAAAAGGAGCGCAGAGTGGGTGTAAGAGGGCACCGACCAACATGTTTTATAAGCTGTTCCCTGGGTAGAAACTTCGGAAAACCGGCTCTGCCGGCTCTACTGCTAGGCCTGATGTACCCAACACATCACCCCATGGACACCGAAGTAAATGGCCAAATTTGGAGGTTTGCCTGGAACGGCGTTATGCGTTGTGGGTTTGGAAGGAGCAGCTTCGGGAAATGCCGCAATACCACAAGAAACCGAAAAGGGACCGACACGCCCCGACCCCCAATCTACAAAAGATAAGGGCCCGTCAAACAGCGATCAGTAAATTATGTTGTGTTGGTGACGCCTGGGTCCAACATCCCCGTACGGTTGATCTAGGGGGGTTCTACGACTGGAGCGACCATGAACAAAGTCCGTTCAATACGTACTACGTACCCATTCTCATAGTCTGATACAGAGCCATAACCTGCGGATCCTGACATTGACTATTGGTGATATCAAGGACCATGGGCCACATCGCCATGGGTCCCCTTCCTATGGCTCTGACTGCATTTATACAGATGCTGACCCTCTTTCCGACAGAACAGTCCAAAAGGCAGCCTCACGGCTACTCAAACCTGAACAGAACTATGCCAAGCGGCTTGCTTGTAGCCCTGGCTTGAAACGAAGAACGGTGGATAGGCCGCTACTTGTGGTCAGATCAACCCTAGGTCTCACTTCTCCCACTCTTCTTGGCCGCCGGTTTTGTTTACTCTGAAAAATCGCTTTGGTGAGAGCATAAGGCTACATTGTCTGCCTCCAGCAACACGCTGATGTTTCGAGGCCGCACACCCCGCCTTTTCCCGTCTTGGGAAAAACACTTGCTGGTTCGATGGGCAGGGAATAAGGGAATGACCCCTATAAACCATCCTCTATGGTTTCCTTCAAGGATTCACTCCCAAAACCCTGATTCCCTACAAATGGCACCACCAAGAAAAGGATCCCCTGAAACTTGTCCACCGGCTCACTTTGACGTGGCCATCCGAAACCTGCCTCAAATATATCCGGCCCGGGACTCCCATCCAAGCTTGAACGCAACCCCTTGGTAGAGCAAGAGTCGCCTTAGAACCCAATTTTCCACTACCACGCACCTGGTGGCAGGGTAAATCCTCAGATTTGGCCGGCGAAAGGCCAACCCCAGCCGCGCCTCCTGGGCGCAGCCCACGTCGCAGCGCCGCTGCTCAACCTCGCCAAGTGAACGCCGAATGCGCGGTGGACGCCCCGATCCCATTTTGCAAGTAAGCAACCGATACTCAACCACAAAATTGTGGCGCACAGTACGTTGGAGGTGTCCTTGTTTTCTCTTACTTGCAACATTTGAGGGGCGAGCAACAATGGAATAGTTGGCACAGTTACGAAGACTTCTCCCTAAAAACGGGTGGACCATGGGAGGCCCATGTGCTAACCCCACCCTACCCCCCCCTCCCACCCCATGGCGGGGAAGATTAGGTATGTGGCGCGCGTGCTGGATGATTGATTCCCCCTAAGTGGTACGCGCGCGGGGGGGATGTTTCCCTCACTTACGCAAGCACGCGCGTGGCGTAAATACACACACACACACACACACACACACACACACACACACACACACACATGCACACACGCACGCACGCACGCACGCACGCACGCACGCACGTGCGGACGCAAGCACGCACGCACGCACGCACGCACTCACGCACGCACGCACGCACGCACGCACGCACGCACGCACGCACGCACGCACGCACCCACACACACACACACCCACCCACCCACCCACCCAGCCAGCCACCCACCCACGCACTCACGCACGCACGCAAACACAAACAGAGAGAAGAGAGAGAAACCGAGAGCACCAAGGGCACTCAAACAGACTGACAAGCATACACACACACACACCAAGCGCATTAACACAAAACACTAAACGCCCTTTTTCTTTTTAATTTTCGAATGATTCTAGAAACTCCCAAAGGGGCAGAAGACTGTTGGGGAATTCCGAATCAATTTCTTCTAACTCTTTCAAACTTCTACTTGTTCTATTTATTTCCCAAGGGACGGGCGCGCTTTGGGGAATGGGTGCCTTTAGGGAATCTCCAGATTCATGTTTGCTCTAATCTTTCTAGTTGTTCTGAGTTTTCTATTGTTCCTAATTATTCCCAAGGGGGCGGGTGCCTTTGGGGAATTGAAGATTCATGTTTTGCAAAGAAGCCTACTTATCATCGCCATGTTTTCTCCTTATTCCAAGAGAGGCGGGCGCCTCTTGGGGAATTCCAGGTTCATAGTTTTTTCTAGTGATTCTACTTCTGATATTGTTCTCATGATGATTCTCATTCCCAAAGGGACGGGTGCTTGTGGGGAATTCCAGGCTCTTGTTTTTGCAATTGGTCATTTCCAAATTTGAGGAAATTCTGATTACTACCCGCATTTTCCAAATACTCCCAACGGGGCGGGTCCCTTTTGACGAAATCCAGATTCATTGTCCGCTACACTATTCTACTTCTTATGATCAGTCTTCCCAAAGGGACAGGTGCCTTTTGGGAATCTCCAGATTAACGTGTGTTCAATTATTCTAGTTATTCTAACTGCTCTAATGTTCTAATTATTCCCACAGGGACGGGTGCCTTTGGGAAATTGAAACTTCATGTTTGGGAAACTTTGTCTACATATCGTAGCTATTATAATTATTATTCCTATTCCGAGAGGGGCGGGTGCCAGTTGTTGAGTTCCAGAACCATGTTTTTTGTTGTTGTTTAATGTTTTTAGTGCTTCTACTTCTGATAACTGCTCTATTTATTATTGTCATTCCCAAAGGCCCAAAGGGACAGGTGCTTGTGGGGAATTCCAGATTCATAGTATCTCTAAAAATTCTACTTCAGATATTTTCTGTTTTTGGAAGTACCCGAACTATTTCAATTCTGCCCAACGGGACGGGTCCCTTTTGAGGAATTCCAGATTCATTTTCTAGTCTAGCGATTCTACTTATCAACTTGTTGTAACCATTCTTCCCAAAGAGACGTCGTTCCCAAAGGGACGGGTGCCTTTGGGGAATTGAAGATTAATGTTTTGCAAAATAGCTCTTCTTGTTTCTACTTATTCCAAGAGGGGCGGGTGCCTTTTGGGGAATTCCAGGCTCATAGCTTTGCACCTTCTGATAATTGCTCTATTTATCATTCTCATTCCCAAAGGGTATGGTGCTTTTGGGGAGGTCCAGAGTTCCACATTCATGTTTTCCAAATAGTTACTTCCAGGGGGGGAGAATTCCAGATCCATATTCTCGCTAACTATTCTACTTATCATAATGATTCGATTTCTTCCAATGATTCCCAACGGGATGGGCCCCTTTCGGGAATTCCAGATCAATTATCAAAATTGGTCAAATTATCCTAAGTACACGAATCTTTGGAAAACAGTACCTTATGTTGCCTAACTATTATTAACCAGCATGGTTGCAAGAACAACTAGGCAACTTAGAATATGTCTTATAAAAAGCAACATGTTTTCTACTCAAATATGTTCAAAGAGACGGGCCCCTTTTGGAGAATTCCAGATTCATTTGTGTCCAACGTCCGAAAAAAATTGGAACAAATGAACATGTTTTGGTAACTAAGTATTTAGATATTTCACAATTAACACAATTTGAAGGGCAACCCCTGGGCCAGTTCCGAAACTGAAATTTTCAAAATGAAAAGTTTAAATAATTTCAAATTGTGAACGGCCCTGAACAACATATCTGTTCAAATAATCCAAGTTATGTCCAGGACCCTTCCTGGAATATTTGAAGAATTTGGATGTCTCGAATTCAAACAATTCCAAATTGTGGGAATAACAAATGCGCTTTTTAGCGCATTATTTGTTGGAGGCTTTTTAAGTCATTTAGATAGTTCTACGAATTTGACTACGTGTGCTATTCAATTTTTTGGCTCCCTGAAAAAGACATATCCTGGGCCCTCTCTGGGCCCATTGTGGAATACCCAAAGAAGATAAACAATTCAAATAATCTCAGTATTGCTCCACTTCTTCAATCCTTTTGGAGGCCCCTGAGAAAGCATTATGAAAAAATGTTAATTGGTTGATTATTTATATTTCTGGAGGCCTCCCTTTTTTTCAAATAAGACAATTGAATCATTTACAGGGTTCTCCCTGGACCAATTCCAGTCTGAATATTTCACAAAAAAAATGAATATTGAAATGTGTATCATTTTTTGAATTTCTGGAGGTCTTCAAAAACTAACAAAAAATCCAGGGTCTCCCTGGGCCAGTTCCAGGATATTTATAAAAATGAGCTTAAAAAGTCCGATTTATGAAAACGTATTTATATTTTGTTGTTTTTATGAAAGAATTAAATAGTTTCCCGGGTTCTCCCTGGGCCAGTTCCAGGATATTTGAAAAATGAAAAGAAAATAAATATATATATATATATAAAATCAACTAATTTACATAAGGCTAATTTCGGGAGGCCTCCAAAAATAAATTCTTTTTTTTGAGGTCCAGGAACTGGGAAATATGTTTTTCAATTTCCTGGAGGCCTCCCGAATTTATTGTTTTAAAAAAGAAAAGAAAACACAAATGGATATCAAAACTATTTGATGTGTTTTTAATTATTTAAATTACTTAAATTATTCAAATATCCTGGAACTGGCCCAGGGAGAACCCGGGAGTTAAAAACAAAAAAACTAGAGGCCCCCAACAATTTTCAAAATGTCAAAAAGTGGATTTTTGTTTTTTGATATGTGTTTAAACAAAAGAATAATAAAACAAATATGTTCAATTTTTCAAATATCCTGGAACTGGCCCAGGGAGAACCCAGCATTTTTTTAATATCTGGAGGCCTCCAGGAAATTGCAAAAAACTGATATTTAAATACATATATATATATATATATCATTTTTTAATATCCTGGAACTGGCCCAGGGGGAGAATCCTGGAAATTATTTAATTTGTTTACATCATCAAAATTGTTTAATTTGTTATTAGTTTTTGCTTTTTGAAATAATATCCTGGAAATCTTAAATAACTTAAAGAACTAAACATTTACTCTGAATCTGTGAATTAATATAGTGATTGCATTTCAGGGCCTTGGGCGACACATAGGCCCAATTCTTCCCTCTTACCCCTCCCCCCCCCCATTCGCGGCCCCGAGCAACGAGCGGTAGCACCACCCGCCTGGATCTTCAGGCTCTTGGCGTAGCTCTGCACCCGGCGCCAGGCCTCCAGCTCCCTCTCCCGCACGCTGCCGGAGCGGGAGAGCCTTCCATAGGCTCTACCAACTCAGCCAACATGGGGCCTACGTGGCTCTTTCTGAAAATGGCACAATATAACAAAGAATATGATGATATGTTGCGATATGATAGGGTATTATGAGTTAATACGATGTAACACACAAGTCATAACTATCTAGACACATACATAAAAACATCATGCATATACATATGCAATATATATATATATACATATTATTTATGTATATATATATATGTATATGTATACGTAGGGAGACCCGCTCGGAACCCGGCCACAACCTAATCCTTCACACCCTCCTGCACCCACTGCAAACCACTCCAAGGCCCATGTGGGGAAAGACCCCAAAGCTGCTCAGCTGTTGAGGCCAGTCATGTCCGAACCCCTTTTTTTCAGGAACTCCCGTGTGGAATTGCACGCCAGCGGCCATGGCGGCTTTGTCAAACAATATCCCCCCCCAAAAAAAAGAAAGAACAGGGTGTCTCTTTTTGGCGTGTCTCGTAGTGACCTTGGAATTGCTCTAGCAGGAGTGCAAAGAAAAGTTCAAGCGGGGTCCCCATCTTGACACAAGCCCAAATAAGAAGGGTCGGCCACTGCGCCACAACTGCGACGACTCTGCCCTTGGGGCACAAAACTCCGCGTGGCCCCGTGGTTGTGGCTTCCGTGTTGGGAGCCGCCAATTTCCTAGGGTACGTTCACAGGGAGTTTCTGCACGGATGGCTCGGTACATTTGCCCAATACCAGTCTAAAGCCCGCCCGGGTCAAATTCCCCTGGTTTTGTGTTGGTCAGCCCCCAAAAAAGCCCAGACGCTTTGGCACCGCCTTGAAGGACCCTCGTGGTAACCAGATCTCCCCCCACCCCACCAGACATCGCCCGACTTAGAAAGCCGGTTGTTCCCGAACAGACCTGGCCTTGCGAACGCCTTACGGGATCCCTAAGGCGTGCCGAGGGAAAAGCCACCCTGAGCCACCATCCCAACGACGACCATAAAACATCACTCGGGTCCCTTCGTAGAACATGGCAACCTAAACCCACTGCTCCAGAACCGACCCCCCTCCTCCTTCCCCCCTCCTATACCTTTGCCAAACAGCATGAGCAGCCGAAAGCTGCAGACCGGCAGGTCAAAGTTCTCCCTATTCCACCGCTCCGCCTGCGGAGCTGAAAGAGCTCCCTTCGGGCGAAAGCAGATGCCACAATTTCCGCGTAGGTAAAGGGGATGACTAAACCCAAGTGGGGGGAATGGAGCCCTCTACTTCTGCCGTGTCATTCCTTCTTCAAGCACTGGTGCCCATCTAAGGTCAACAAAAAGATAAGTGGAACCCCTGAAAGATTGCAAGAAAACCACCTTGCGGGTTTCTAAAAAATACCGACTAGGTTTTGCTACCAACCCACATGGCCAGAACGCATTCCCTAAGCATCGCACATGCGATGATGCTCTAGTCGTGATTTCCTCCAGGCCACCCCTGCAACCACTTTGCTGGGCGGATCCAACTGCATCCAATTCATTCCCTGAATTGACGTTAACCAAAACCTAAAGGGTTTCTATCCATGGGGTGGGCGCCCATTGCAAGCAAACTACAAATTATGGGATACTTCGGGGGCTCAATTGTCCCATTTGCAGAAAGCCGGTCGAATCTGGCCGGCGCGGCTGTGGTGCGCAGAACTGGTCACTTCCAAACGTACAACGAGCTGCGTCCAAATGGAGCTCGAGTCCACGCGAGCTTTGCGCTTGGCGGGCCAGGAAGGCCACAAACATCCGCTTATGCAAAAGGCTCGGGTGCCCCCTTCCTGCACCCCAAGCACGGAACTAAATGCACATGTAGAACCTGACTCCTTAAAGGCTGCGTCCGAAAACCGCCTGCTTTACAAGAAAGTGCTCAAAAGCCAGCCAGTAAAGGTGACTTTTTGAACTTTCGACCCTGTAGAACCCCTACTGGCCGTTCCATCTACCAAGGGGTCAGTTTTGGAGGTTACCACCCCTTTTTGTGAGGTTCCATGGAAACCAAAATGAAAGCCGGAATTTTGGGGTCGCCTCAAAGAATAGCCAAGAATCCAAGTGGTTTGGTATGGTTTGGTAGTCATTTGGCAGTGGCGTTGATTGCTGCTAGGACGTCGGCAGAACTCCGAGCACTTTGTTGCTGATCCACTGTTCCAGGCATCCTTGATCCCCCTGAGCCCACTAGACCATGTCTCAAAATGTGGGGGAGGGAGGGGACAGCAAAAGAAAACCACTTGGCGAGTCTCCTTATTCTGAGACAAAGCCAGTACAACGAAGTCTTTTTGTTGGTTGATCAAAGTGTCTTCGGAGAAAGATGGCATTTGGACCACCTCACATTATGGGGGCTGGGCAGGAGGGAGGGGAGGGGGGGGGAGCTTTTTGGCCCCCCCCCCCCTCCCCTCCCTCCCCCAGCCCCCATGATTATAGAGGGAGGTCTGTGCCCTCACTTCAGCAAGCACCCCATTACTACGGGGCAAGGGCACACTCCCACTCACCTGCAGCCTCAAGCAAACCTTCTTCAGGGCCATCTTTCGATGGAATCAATTACTTGATGTTGACCCCGGATTAATAAGTCCCTGTTCATTAATATAGGGGTGTCCCCCTCCAAAAGTGATGAATCCCCAGTAAAACCAGGGACACCCCCCCTTTTAAAAAACAGGGGTTTATCAAAATCCTGGGTCCCCCCCCCCAACAAATAAACAGGGCTTGATGACGCCTGGGTCCACCTTCCCTTGAACCAACGCGCCCGTCACTCAGAAGCGCCGCCCGCCCGCCTGCTGCAGCAGGTGCAGCGCAAAGACTTGCGCCAGGCTCCCGTTGCCCCCGGTGATCAAAATCTCCCCACTCGCTGGAGGCTCGAAGCGGTGCCGCAACCTGTAAAAGACAACTCCGTCTGGAGGTAGAATCTTTTCGTGGGCGAACCTACGGCACAAAAAGAGGGAAAGCGCACCACTGAACAACTCGGACATACAAGAATCTAAGAGTAAAGCATGACATAAAGGCAGCCCCTTCTTGGTCAGGGGCAACCCTCCAAAAGAGGGGGGGGTGCTTTGGAATCGCCAAAGCATGCAACACTAAAACGGGCACCCTCAAGCAAGACATGAACAAACAAGGTGCCAGTGGCCAGTCTGCGTGATTGACCACTGCATTTGACCAATCGAGCTCGGAAAATGGTAACCTCAAACCGTGCTTTTCGCACTGCATGTTCACAACCCTATTGCAGTGTCTCCACTGAGAAACTCGCAAGCCAAGTCAAACGAAGGTCCGACCACGCCAAGCCACCCCAAACATTTGGCCTGGATGATCAGGGGCGCGTACAACAAAAACTGCGTTTTGTTTTCGCAAGACCCTTTGGCGACCCGGTTCGCCTTTGTTGGTTGCTACCTAACCAGTTTAAGCTGCAGCCCAAAAGGGTGTCTGCCAAAAGGAGATTCCTCTAATTTGAGTTTTTGGGTTCCATGTTGAACTGCAGGAGGGTAAACTACTTTTTGGACTCCTTGAACAAGACGCCCAATCTGTTGACCACATCACCCCCCCCTCCCAATGGCCCAACTCCAACCTAAAGGTTTCTTAAATATCGCCGGAAACTGGAAACTCATGTCAACGTGACCGATTTTAGGTGATGCCTGCATCACCCGAAAAGGAATGACACCTACATGTGCGTAACACATAACATGCACGTATACATATAAATGCATGCATGCATGAAGTTGCTTCCAACTAGTTGCTTATTGCTCTTTAACAATGTATTCATGTATTTATCTATTGTTTAGATACTTATTTATGTGTTTGTTCATTGCATGTTTATATTGTTTTATCGGTAGATATAAATATATAGATGTGACATATGATATACACAAGCATCTTTGTTAATATATCTCTCTACATATACATAAATACATAAATACACAAAATACACAAATGTATATATATATATATACATGGATGGATGGATGGATGGATGGATGGATGGATGGATGGATGGATGGATGGATGGATGGATGGATGGATGGATGGATGGATGGATGGATGGATGGATGGATGGATGGATGGATGGATGGATGGATGGGTGGGTGGGTGGGTGGATGGATGGATGGATGGATGGATGGATGGATGGAAGATGGGTGGGTGGGTGGGTGGGTGGGTGTGGGTGGGTGGATGGATGGATGGATAGATAGATATGGGACCCCTCTTGCAACGGTTCTCTCCAAGGCGCTGGTACTGTTCGCTGGGCACCTGGCGCAGCACGAAGCGGCCGACGGAAGCGCCGACGCCGGCCAGGCGCAGCGTGGAGCTGCCGAAGGCCTGCGAGAAGAGCTCCGCGGCCAGAGAAGGCGCCAGGCCCTGGAAAGCCGAAGGTCGGGTACCACTTAAAACCCCCCCCACCCAGTTTTGCTAATCCTTTGGGGGGAAGAGGTGTTTTGGTTTCTTTTTTTTGGGGGGGGCCGGTGGAGGGGTTTTGGGGGGGGGTTGGGCGGGGTTTGGGGGGGGGGGGGGGGGATTTTGAAGGAGGTTGTTAGGGGGTCCTTTTGCATGGGGTTGTGGGGGGTTTTGAGGGGTTGTCGGGGTTTGGCTTTAGCCAACCTGATTCAGGGCACCTTTCACCTCAAAAGCAACACACGCACACGCACAGGAACACGCACCCGCACGGGCCACGCGCACGCACGCGCATGTCACAATGTCCCCAGAGCTCCTTTGCTCAAAGGCTCAGGCAGTTTCGCCATGCGTCCTTTGAACTTTGTCGGCTGAGTTCTATTTTTTTGGAATTCAGAGTGTTGCAGGGGAAAACGACGACCCCGCCTTTTTGCAACAAAGCAATGTGCGGGATTGACTAGGTTCCGTTAGACACTTTTGAACCCAATTGTAGCGACTGTAGCTCGCGACTTTTCCTACACTTAACAGTAGGTCACCTGGACACTCGGACCCTTGGTGTGCCTCTTTGCGCATGCAGCATATTGGAGCATAGCTGTCCTTCGTTGCTTGAAGCGGGTATGCGGAGCATGTGACGTCATTGCGACAAAATATTCGACCTTTGGTAAACCAGCACCTGACTCAGTCCATCCGATAATGAACAAAACTCACTACATTGCATGTCTCAGTTGGCGTTTAAATACGACCATTTCTGCCTCGGTCCCAGAGACGTCGATGTACTGCAACGGGAGGTCCTCAAGCGCCCCTCCCACTTCCGATATGAACAAACATCTGTTGGCTGAAGCTGTCCTGCCCCCAGTTGGATGCTTGTCCAAGGTATGGCACCTTGTTGAAACCTTGCGCCGCTGAAAGGGGATACCAGAAAGGGCAAACCTCATTTTCACGACGCTCCACGTTGGGAACATGTCTGCCTTCAGAACGCCTCAGACGCTTTTGGCCAACGCGTTTGGTCGCACCAAAAGAAAATGGAAAGGGAACTTTGCCTGCCAATTCGAACCCCAAGAGCAGAGGTCAGGCACGTGAATTGATTCCCCCCGAAAACAAGTTTCCAAGCGACACTGGTAAGTGAGGCTCCAACCATCCAACCATGGAGGCGGCCACAGGGTTTTGGAAGGCTGCCCTGTTGGTCCAGCATTGGAAGGGGCATATGAGCCACAGTCAAACCACGTGGTCACTCTCTACGGGGTTATTGGACCCTTTTCCCAAGCAGAAAAGTGCGGGAGGGGAGCCTTTTGTGGATTCCCTGTACGAAAAGCCCCCGAGGGATCGAATCAAAGATTGGTCAGAGTGGGTCGCTTCCAGCCCAAAGGGCGGCCAGTGGCAAAGCCAAGCTCTTACTAAGAACGCCCAAAACTGCGCCCACTGTTCTTCTTGCTGCATGGCAGGGTGGGGTCGCCAGCTAGGGAACTTCAGCCTCGGCCACTGTTACCGCAAAAATCCCAAAGGATCCCAAAGTGGTGAGCTCGTTCTCCCGCAGCTCGAAAGGGGCTTTTTGGGCTTCCCCCCCTCCCTCCCCTCATGCGTTGCGGCCGGCCAGCGGCCAGCTCCAGGCGGATGCAGTTGCCCATGGCCCACAGGCACCCGGCCGCCAGCGATGCCCGGCGCTTGGGGAAGAAGGCGTCGCGGGTCAGCACGGCCAGGCGCCCGCAGGGGGACCTGACGTGACGTGATCGACCGGCTGCTTCCGTTGATTGGTGTGGGTCCCAGATTGATCCAAGATTGAAGCCGTTGTTTTGTTGGCACTTCCAGGGGACTGATCAGAAACCAGGGTTTCCGAACGGTGGTGCGAGAAGCGGATTTCGCGAAACCATCCGCAATATGTATCCTTGGGACGAACGAACGAACGACTCCGGGTCAGCACTGAGTGCGCGACCTTTAGGGAGTTTGGCGGTGGCCAAAAAAAAAAGCCCAGCAATAACTTGTGTGTGTGTGTGTGTGTGTGTTTGTGTGTGTGCTTTAGCAGGGCCCATTTGGTACGTGTCCCTTGGTGGAAGAATGCAACGCCCTTGGCATCCTGAAAGCGGCACCAGCTGCCAGCCATGACCATGGTAGAGAAAAGGAGCCAATCCTTTTCGGGGAGCGAGCCACCCAGCAGTAGAAATTTAAAAGAAATACCTGAACATTTGGACCCCTGTGGGCGCACCTTTCCGTTGCATTCGAACTGGCAGAGGCCCAAATCACATTCAAACCAAAACAAAAAACTAAACACACCTAAACAAGCAAACCTCGAAGAAACGAACCCTCAGGGCATTACGGCCGCAACAAAACCCCGGTTCACAAGCCCCTGGATCTGGTCCCAGTGACCGCTGCAAAGCCCGCGCCAGCTCCAAGTACCACCGCGACAAAGCCTCGCAAAAGCCAGGTGTAAGCGCCCCCTCTCGGGCACCCAGAACCTCAAATGGAAGCTACCTGATGGCTTTGAAGGAAAAGGAAAATGTGCTTCACAGAAAAGCTGGCAACGAATGGCACATGGCACTTCCCGCCATTATGGCACATGAGGTGCGGGCAGACCAGACCCCAAACAACCCCAGAACCTGCCTCTTTGGAGGAACCTCAGTTGCAAAAACTGTGCGCAAAACGAGAAACCTTTCTAGGGTTGATGCAATCTCACTCGATCTGCACGTCCCCACCCCATAGATTGGCCTACTCGAAATCATGCAACGAATCGCGAGGCGGATAGCCGCGCCCATTTACGCCCAAAACTGCCCCACCCCCCAATCTTCCACCAAACGGGTTTTGATAGCAGCTCAGCCAGTAACAGCCAGTAGACCTCCCTACCAAAACACAACCAAAACACCACACCCGGCCCACTCCGGTTTTCCCCTCGCCTCCGTGCGCGCCCAAAGCTCCTCAGTCACCTCCGCCTGCGCCAAGAGGTCCAGGCCGAAACCAAAGACCACCAGGTCCCAGCGCTTGGAAAGAAGCGCTTTGAACCCCTCCTGGCAAGCGGCCGCAGTGGCAAAACCTGCCTGGATTTCCCCAAGTCAAAAGTTGATCAATTGATTGGTGGCTTCCATTGCTACGAGAACGCCACTTTTGGAGGTTCCAAAAAAAGGGAAATGGAGGGAAATGGAGGAAAGCCCGTCAAAACTGCTTCGAGTGAACATCATGGTTGTGAGTTCTCAAAACGCATGAGGCTGGAAAACCCCAGTTAAAACACCATCTCACCGTTCGGAGAGATAAAGCGGATGGCTTAACAGCAAACACCTGCTACCGTCAACTTCAGGAGAAGAAGCGACATTACGTGGACTCAGCTGCCCAGCCGCTGTGGAAAAGCAACGGGCAAAGGATCGGGTAGAAGGGAACAGCTCGATGGGTAAGCCGCATGCCTCACATCTTGGTTAGCCCCACGGGCCTGTCGCTATGAGCCGAACAAGACATTGACAATTTGAGAAACCGGGGATGGGTGAGTCACCATTCTGTGAATGGCCTACAATTCATCTGCCAAGACCGGCGTCATCCCCACAGGATTGCCATTGGTGCCCCGCGCGCTTCGTGCTTTCCAACACTGTCACAGGCCTTTGCCAACTGGAGAGCGCTCTGGCAGCTTGCGTGCATGTCCCTCAGTCCCTGCGAAACACAGGCAGGCAGGCAGGCAGGCAGGCAGGCAGGCAGGCAGGCAGGCAGGCAGGCAGGCAGGCAGGCAGAAAGAAAGCCCAGACAGACGGACCAGACAGACAGGCAGGCAGGCAGGCAGGCAGAAAGAAAGCCCAGACAGACGGACCAGATAGGCAAGCAGGCAGGCAGGCAGGCAGGCAGGCAGGCAGGCAGGCAGGCAGACAGACCAGACAGACAAATAAACTAAACAAAACAAAGCTAAAAAACAATTACAATCAAAACAGAACCAATACAAGCAGCACAACGAGCAAAACAACAAACACAACACCAAAGAGGAACAGCACAATCAGCACAAATAACAGGGCAAAACAAACTAAGCAAATAAAACAAACACAACAGACAATCCAATATCACAACAAACCAAAGACAACAAACAAAAGAACGAACCAAAAAGCACAATCAACCAAGAAACCCAACCCCCAAACATGGCAAAGTAAACAAAACAGCCATGGGCGATACAATCAACGCGAAACGAAACAAACAAAAAAGAAAATAGCACAACAATCAAACAAGTCAAAACACAACAAAACACAACAATAAAAGCAAAAATAACAAGAACACAAAACAGCACAACGGAACCAACTCAAGAAACACAACAAACACAAATCAAACAAACAAACAACAAGCACACAAAACAAACAAGAAAAAAAAAAAAAAAAAAAAACATTAATCAAACCTTAAACCGCAACAAACCAAACACACAAAACACACACCACAACACAACACAACAAGACAAAACAAACAAACCTGTGCTGCGGGGCAGGTTCGGGGAAAAAACAGTCGCACGGTGTTGAGGTTTCCACGGGACCGGGACCGATCCAGCCGGAGCTGGAGCGGTCCCGGTGGTACCGGGTCTTATGCTGTCCGGGCAACTAACCGTTACCCAATACCACCGCCTCGGGGAAAAAAAACAAAAACAAAACACCTTTTAAGCTTGCCTCCCCCTGTCCGCCCCTCTCTTTTACACCCCCTTCCCCCCCCCTTCCCCCCCCCAAAAAAAAAACCTACCTAACAAAAATGATAAAGGGGAGAAAAAAGAAAGAAGAAGAACAGCGGCCGCGGAAGGGACTCGGGGAAGCGGAGAGATCCTGATCCGGGAAGTCCGAATCGCTCACAAAGGTCGCCCGCACGCCCGAGCATTCCAAAGCGTCCCGGCAGAGGCGCCTGAGATCGAGTGAGCTGCGTGCAATGAAAAACCCGAGTCCAAGAAACCAGCGAAAAAAGAAAGCTGGAAATTCTGGAGGAAAGCAACTTGGCTTTGAGTGGGCTAAGGTAGCAACCCCTTTCTAATTTTGGCAAATGAGGTCTTTGGGCGCTGCCCACTGGGGTTCAAGGAGGGCTGTGCCAACCAAATCTCGTTTAAGTGCGCGTGAATATACTTCATTGAGCAAGCTTCTTGGTTTTCCCCTGTGCAGGAGCAGGGCTTGAATGTGCTCAAACCCATGTTCACCAGGTTCAGGCGGCTTCTTTGGAGGTGTGGAGGTGGGAAATAACATAGGCGTAACAGTTAAATGAGGGGGCTGGGCAGCATAATGCCCCTCATGGTTTCACGACTTTGTCTTAGATTGCTGGACCTAAACGAGTGACCTTCGGGGAGGATCCCTTTAACGCAAGCGCTCTGCGCGTAGCGTGCAAAGACACCCACCCTCCCAACGAAATAGGAGAACCCAGGGTGTTTTGCTACTAGGTGCTTCAGAAACCAGAGGGGGCACCTCGACAATGCTGAAAGACACGGGGAACAAAGTTTGGGCCGATAAACTGCCACTAACCCAAACAAAGCTCGGCTCAAAGAGCGACTGAACGATGTCAGGAAGAAGCAAAACGCTGAACACCACCAAGAAACAACTTGTCTTTCACTCCTTCTGCAGCCCCTGCCCCCTTGTCAACGACAAACGAAGGGGCAACAAGGATAGTGTCCAAAACAAACGACCTTTATGGGTGGACTCGGAGTCTCCGACTAAAACAGCACCCATCCACCAGAGAGCCCAGTTCTTTCCCCCAGGCCAGGCTGTTTTGGTGCCACCCACCCAAACACTCCGAGATTCCCCTGGTCTTCGAAGACCAGCACCTCCTCCTTGGGCTCGGATTCAGGGAAGAATTTCCGCGAAATGGATCCTAGTACAGTAGCTTAATTGGATTCACTGGGTTTGGATATGTTTGGATCACAAGCAGGCATCAATTCTGGCCTGGATCCACTCATTTACTCGTGACCCATTCACGTCTGCCGTCGGGTTCGGCTCCACTACCCACGTACGGTGGATGCCCGACATATCTCAAGTAGGAAATTCACCGTACCTTAGTAACTTACCATGGCTGTGTGGTTGAGTATGGTTGGCTTACTTGCCACATGTAGGCCATCCACCATAGGTGTCCCTTCTGCTTTCCGCTTTCCCTCACAGAAAACAGCGCCTCCACCATGGTGACTTTGGTGACTTTCCGCAATCTGTTTGGGCCATGGTGACTTTGAGCTGTCCGAACCCAGGTCAATTCACCGGACCCCGCCACGCGCTCACCGCCCGCGCGTGTCCAGTCCTTCCGCACATTCGATGCGCCGTCCGCCAGCTGCGCCTCGAGCGGCAGCTGCCACAACTCGGCGAGCCCGGGCTCCTCGTACCACTCCTCGCTGTGGGAGGTGGGAGGTGGGAGGTGGTCGTTGGGAGGTGGCTGTTGGGAGGTGAGCTGGCCGTAGGTGGGCCCTGGTTCCAAGATGATTGGACCACTATGGGTTCATGTGTGAAATGCACAAGTTGTAATGGGAAGGTAATGAAACTGTCAAAACCCAAGCTGGATTTAAAGAATGTAGAGGCCGTGCGACAAGTGTGGAAACAATGATGGTTTTTCAATACCCTCTGATTGGTGTCCCTTTAAATTGAACCTGGGTCTTCTTGTAGCCAAGTTTTCACACCCCTGAATCAGCTCAGGCCGGAAACCAAATCCCTTTCCAGGTCAATTGAAGGAAAGCTGTTGATTCCCTGGCCCCAAAAAAAAAACAGGGGAATGGAAAACAAGGTAGAAGTCGAGTTCAAGTCCGACCGGCGCTGTTGAGAAGAGAGAAGACCCATTTTGCAAACTGACAAAATCGCGCATCAAATCTGAAGTAGGGCCCATCCAAAGTGGAACCCGTCGTGAGTGAGCTTCGTTTATCTCCAGTGCTCGCCGAAAGCAGAAAACAACAAAACGGCCTCTCAGAGTTTCGGCTGGGAAAAATATAAATCACGCCCAGCCTGGATCCAGCACATGTTCCCACGCATCTTCTCCAAATACTCGGGCAAGGTGTTCTCATAGTGCCGCTGCCCATGCTCCGTGGAGAAGTACGGCAAGCGCTCCGTCTTCATGGCAAAAGGAAGCAGGCGACTGACACAAAACCCCAGAGATGTGCAGGGCCCTTTTCGCGACCCACAGGACCACTTGCGTCTTTCAGGGCGCGCCGTTCACCATGTGGAGTGAGCCCAGCAGGCAAAGGAACAGGGTGCTGGTCAACCGGGATTTGAGTGTTTCCCAAAGCTGGGGGCTGCTTCCGGTTCGATGACATAGCTTGACGCAGAGCCTCACGCATCGCATGCGACTGCCTGATCGAAAATGCGCCCAAAGCCCAGCGACTTTGAAAATGGTCACAAAGCCAGAAAGATCAACATCGCCCTAGGGACCAAAACAAGGGGAGCAGGCAGAACCCTTGACCAAGTTGGCCAACCGCTGGAGATGCCACTTTTCACGGCTTGCCAATGCTCACTGCCGACGTGACACGGGTCCGAATACGACAGCTCCGTTCTCTTTGCCACAGCCCAAAAAGCATCCTCACTTGTTAAATTTGCCCAAGATGCAACCCTACAAATCAGGGGTAAGGGGATCCTCTGCTTAGTGGGGAAGTTCTTCACAGTTGCATTCCTCTGCTTAAAAACCGGCCTTCATCCTTCCAATCCGAAGCTCGAATTTAACATCGCAACCTCTTGAAACGGCCCAACAACAACTCATTGCCCAGGAAACCTCCACATCTCCTGCCATTTTGGACCCGCCGCCCCCATCCGCCCGAAAAAACCGCCGCATTGAGGCGTCCCCGCGTAGGCGGAGTCGATGGCGCGCTCCGCCTCGCTGCAGGCCGTGTTGAAGCCGAAGGACCTGCCGAAACGAAACCGCGGCCGGGGGCGAAACGCGGCAAAGCAAGCGGCGGAGGAGGTTCCTCCTAAAAAAGTCGCTGGGGCCTTGAAAGTGGGGGTCCTCTTCTGCCCCACTTGCTTAAGCCCTATGGAAAGAATGAGAAGATATGCCCAGTAGTGGTACTCTCTTTGAAACCAAGAGGGGCAAATACGGCATTCTTCAGGAAATGGAAGGGTTGAAGGGATTGAGCAAATCAGGTGTTCTGCAGAAATGTTGAACATGTGCTAAGCGGTTGGCGCTTCCAAGCTTCAAAGCATCCCATCTTGATGCCGTGTCATTGAAGTCAACTGGCAGTTGAACTCAAAATGATCTTTTCCGAATGGTCCCTCAACATGACACCTAGCAAACAAAAACCTGCCGCCGGTGGTTTTTGGAGCTGCGGCGAGACCCAACACACCGGCCCCGGTCATTTGCAGCTTCAAGGCCTTCCAGCCCCCGGATTTACAAGGCAGGTCTGCACCCGGCATCACTGGCATCTCCTTGGCAAATCAGTAAGGGGTGCAGGGGACACCAGCTCCGAGATTCCGGGATGTGACCAAAGACCGGCACCTGGACATGGTTCTCTCCCCAAGCTCGTTGATTCATGACCCTTGCCCAACTCGACCGGAACACGTGAACCAGTGAACCAGACCAAGTTGCAATCAACACTACGTTCTTGTCCACTAACGCCATGGAGCCTAAAGTCTCGGAGTCCTGCAAGAAATCATCCTCTTTTCAAAATGGGCACTTGGGTGCGCTCTACATTAAGTGGGCGCGTTAAATCAGAGGTCCACGAGAACCAGGACCCCGCCTATCCAGCACCGGGATGTCATTGTCGATGGTCTTCGGCACGCCAACCTGTGGGGCTCAATACCTTCGCCTTCTTGAACCCTGCGCCTAAGACAGGCTGACATGTCCACTGCCAGCGACATCTTCTTGTTGTTGGGGAGGGGGGGAGGATTTCAGCCTCATTGAATGATCCCAACGGCTAACTCGACTGATCCAGAACGTTCATCCCACGAATGCAGCTAGATCTTCATCCAATCTCCCGCTGCCGCGCCAAACGGCTCTTCCCTGCCGGCTTCCGGAGGGTTCCTGCACGAGTCTACCTCCAGCTCCCTGACGCCCACCCAACCAGAAGGGACCAACAGTCTTCGGGCCCCTGTACCCCAAGAAGGTCCATTTCTCCAAATCCGACTTGGACAAATCTTTGGATGGGTGTATCTAATTCAATCCATTCTGTGTGGTTAAAAGCCCCGGTTTCCGGGCGCCCCGAAGCCCGGGCTTTGGAACCCGGGCTTCAGGCGCAAATGGCACCCAGCGAAACCCGTTGACCAGAGATATACAGCATCCGAGGGCCAAACCACGGCCACCTCGTGCTGGATCTCCTGGCTTGGTGAAAGGTTGTACTTCACCAGGCCCCTGGAACATACTGTGGATGGACGAAATTTCTGCACCACCTAAAAGACCCTGGAATGATGGCCCCCCTCTATGAATACCAACCGAGATGGTTTCTTAGGTGGTGCCGGATTTTGTCCATCCACAGTAGGTCCCTTCAGCCAAAAGTCGAGTCGGCAAATTAGGGGTGTTCATACGCTCTAAGGCTTACCTGTCGTATGTCCTCTGTTGGGGGTCGGTGGGAGAAGTCTTTGATTGGGTGGTCGGCCAAGTTGTTGTCTTAACCAAGCTACAACCCCGCTGAAAAAAGTCCTTTCAGTGTTCTTGCTGGGTTGCAACCCATGCTAACTTGGCCGAGCCAAGCATTGCAAGGGAAACCACATGGAGACGGTTGCCATCAGGCGTTTTTGCATGAGAACGTCCGTGGCTGTGGAGCCCGGTCTGGTAGGGGTGGTGTCCCATTTGCCCTCACGCCAGAGTAGGGTCAAATCCCTAAGCCAGTCCACACCAAGGGGCACCTGGCAAGCCAGTGATTTGGAGAGGCAACACGTGCTCAATGCGATGTAGACTCACGAATCTTTGCCGGGGTCTCAAGCAAACCGACCACTACTGCTGCGCGGAGCCTCTAAAAAACAACCCACAAATTTCCCGGCAGACCCCCAGGAGACAATGCTGATGGACTGGTGGGACTAGCGCCAGCCAACCAGCACCTACATTAACCTGGTTTTCTGGCTTCACACAATCCCGAGAGCTCCGTACACTCGAAAGGGGATTCGGATACATCCCCCCTACCTCCCTACCTTGAAAAAGAGGGGGGTGGGGGTGCCCCAATCCCATTTGTCTAATCCCCAAAAAAAAGAGAAAATGGAACCATGCATGAAATTCCCTGACATGCTCAAATACATATGCAAATAGAAATATGTTACCCAACCCCGACCCCAACCGCCCACCCCGCCTGGGTAGCGGTGAAGGTCTCAAAGGCACCCATCTGGGTGCCGTCCCCGCCGATCACAAAGTACTGCCGAATGTTCCTCGAGCGTCGCCAAAAGGCGCAAATTCCAAGGAACTCGTCAGAGCCAGGTCTTGGAACCCCCAAACAGAGGTAGGCGAAAGATGGCACAACTCCCTTGTAAGCAAAGGGGATGAGTAAAGCAAAGAGGGACCTTTTGGCGAACCACTTGCAAAAGGTGAACCAAAGAAATGTGGCGAAGCGCCCCGCGAGACAAACCGAAGGATCAAAAACGAGGCACCGCTTCATGTTGGTTCTGTCCCTAGCCGAGGCTTGCCAGACAGCCATTTTGCCAAACGGCTAGGCTCCGCGGCAACAACTGCCCGCTGGAGGACAAACCCCACTGCGCTGCAACACCACTGTCCCCTGAAGCGCGCGCCCCGGAACAAGATCAACAAGCCTCATAGAATTCCACTCAACGCTTGAGAGCAACTGGCAATTGCAGCCTACGACCAGGGCGCCCGTTCTCTCCCCTTGCCCAGGTCTGAAGCGTTGACCTTGTTGTTGAGATGCGTTGCGAAGATTCAAATGCCCCACCCCCATCGCTTAGTTCAGGCTCCTCTCTTTCAAGGTCTTGGCGATGTCCATGTGGGGCGGGTTGCCTGACAGGATGGTAAAACGTGATGGCACGGCACGCCCCGGCAAAACTGGATGTGGCTGTTTATAGGAGACCCCCGAAAATGGTGGTGATCCGTTTGGATTCCCTTTAAACCCACCAACAAAGGGTACTCTAAAAGAAGACACATCCAATTGTCCGCGAATCAATTCAACCCTTCGCCAAAAAGAACACCTTACCGCTGAGGGCTCCTACAGACCCCCTTCCTCCCATACATGTAGCATGGCCCCATGTCACACCAGCCGCTCACGCCTCGGTCGCTGACCAGGATGGTGCCGCCCTTGTTGTGAATGTCTTGGACCACCGCCGGTGTCAAGGTGACCCAGTCATCCGGCTTCACCATGCCTGGCCGCAACGATTCCAAAACCGAAGCCCGAAGCGAGCCAACCCCTCTCGGAGTGTAAAGGGCCTGTGCCCATTTTTTGACATATAGGGGTGTGCATTTTTGAGGCTACCCCTGTTGAGGCTGGTCGGAAAGCCACTATGTTCAGGGTCAACATTTTTGGACATACCCATCATATGCGCAGCCCCAAGCTGAAGCCTGGCCCCTGGCCTTTGTAGCCACCCTTGCACCCGTAAATGTGCTGCACGCCGTAGCTGGTCAGCGTCATGACCTCTCCCGGGGCAAATGCGAATTGCAGTCCCCGCAGATTCCTGCATGCAAGAACTGTCGCCTTGAGAGTGCACCACGAATACTTCCAAGTAGATAAGCCATCGATAGCCACGAAAAGGTGACCTGTGGCATGCAAAAACAAACAATATTTGCCAAAGTGCGGAGTAGGTACCCCCTTTTACCATCATACCCTTAGATGTGCTGTTCATGAGGCAGACATTTTTGAGGAGGTAAGTAGTTTGACATATCCTTCTACAGTTCAAACTTGTGACCCGAAACGTTGACGTTCCAAACGGCCGAAACGAAAGTCAAGGGGTCGGCCCCAGCTCATGGGCCCCGGAGCTATCAGTGAGCTATCGTGGTGGATTCCCCACATGCGAGGGCCGCCCTTCAAAGTTTCCCATAGCTTCTGCTCAGAGAGGGAGAGGGAGAGGGAAAGAGAGGGAGACGTAATTATATTATACACATACTAAGACACTCATATCATGCCTATATTAAAGAAGTAATGATCACCAAAGGAAATCTAGTTGCACGAAATCCGTCATATGCAAAGGTAGGCAGTAGCGCAAAATGTAAAAGCTGCCTTCGAGGGGAGAAAACACCTTGGAACATGTCGTGTTGAAAAGGAGCATCAAGCGAAAGGGCCCATCAGACCCAGCCAGTCAGTTCATCCACTTCGTTCGGAATCCGTCCATCCCTCCAAGGGCCCAGGCGATCTCGCGGATGACCTGAGCTGCGGCTCGCTCGGAAGATCTCGGGGCCCGTCTGACAGAGAAAAAGTATTCAAAGATGTCCAGTAGTGAAATCGAGTCCCTTTAAAACCAACAAGAGAACACAAAAAAAGAAAAATCATTTCGGCATATGGGAGAAACCTGAGGTTAACATACCCGGCCACGCCACACCTCTGGCGCGCCTTTAGGCGCGCGCCAAAACCTACGGGGGGACTCAGGCGCCGGCAGAGTTGAGCCCCGGGCACAGACCTCGGCGCAGTCGTTTGGCCCTCGGCGCTTGCCTGAAACCCCTACCAGGGCAAGCGCCGTGGGTGTGCCCTTCTTTAAATGGAACCTCCTGGTTGCTGCATGGCAACCAAAGGAATTCAGACGAACTTGAAAGTTTTTTTTAGAAAACATGTACCATTTCTTGTTCAACCACGTGTTTTGTGGGGTTCGCTGTGGGGCTCACAGAGTTTGGCGCGAAAACGGGAAGCCGCAATCGAGATTTGGAGCTGGAGGGCCCACTTAGACCCCGGGTAAAGAGTCCGAAGGGCGGATGTCGCACCTATTTGGCCGCGCATAATCGGCTCTTCTGCAAATTCCACATCAATCCTGAACTCACCTCCTGAGTGGATTGGCAAAAACCAAGTCCAAACATACTGTTTACCACTAAGATGGCCTCCCCAAAAAGCACAAAGTCTAACTCGGGAGGTGAGTCAACCTTCATTTCCCCAGTGATTGGCTCCCGCCCACCCACCCTCAACCCTGCGGCCGCACCGACTCGCACCGAAGCCGCGCCTCCGCAGGTGACGATGACCGCGGAGCTGCTGGCGGGATCCTCACGAGAGCAAAATCCAACAGCTTGCCGCCCAGCCAATGGAATCGGAGGATCCCCCGTCTGTCGCTCTCGGCGCCTGGGTTTTGACATGGCTTGAGCAGTGCTTCATGACAGGGAACTGGAGTTGGATAAGCACCTGGTTCATGACAGGGGAATGGATGAACACATCCACTTCATGACAGGAAAATGGATGAGCATCGCCCACGCAAAGCCTTCGGCTTCAGCTGCGTCGAACTTTGTCAGCTAGGAGAGTAAAAATATAATGGTTCAACATGTCCAGACCTGGCCTTTGTATGCAACCAGTCTCAGCCCGTTAAAGCCTTCCAAAATAATAAGATCGGGAGCTGTGCAAGAGACGCGAAACACTGTCAAGCCTTTTGGGGAACTTTTAGTAGGGAACCATTGGGGAGAGAGGGGTTGCCCATCTGGGGGCAACGCAAGCCATCCATTTGGCAGGCACATCACACGCTCCAAAATCCCTGAGGCATCCATGCCGGCCCTTGAAAAACCCCAAGCAAACCAGGTCTTTCTCAGACAAAAAGACAACCTGCGGGCATGAGGGGGAAAAACCTTGAAGGGTCAAATCACCTGCCTTGAGGGGCAAAAAAGCCAAGTTTCAGGGCCAAAGCTCGAGCGTCGCATGATGCGAACTGCGGCGACCCGGGGCCCGTGCAAAGTGGAGCGTCTTCCGGGGCCCGCTGCGCAGGAGCTGCACGTAGGCCTCCCGTCAGGCCGGGGCAATGGGATCCTCACACTCTTTGAGCATCCTTCCCCTGGTCGATTGATATGGGGGGGGGGGTTGACTGGTAGATTAATTCATAAACCCCTGATTGATTGCTGAAGCGAAAGCTGATGCATGGGGGGTGTCCCCTTTTAGTGGGGGGGGGGGGGGTAGGCGAGAGCGCCCCAAAGACTTCATCCCAGGGCCAACACTATGGCGGTTGCCTCTAGGTTGTGACGGTCAACACAGAAACTTGGCATGAGAGGAACGGGGGCTAAAGCCCACCTATGTCCTTTTGGCAATGGAGATGATGACACCACAATGGGGCATTTCTACGTTCACTCAACTGTAATCAAATATGCCATTTCTGTTTTGCTCGCACCCACAAAGGGGGCATCTACGGTGACGAGCCATTCCTTTTATTGGGGGCGAGTGGCAAGTACACAACTTCCACGCTCCGCGGTCAAACGTCTCCCCTCCCCCCACAAAAAAGAACGAAACACATCGGCAGAACGGCTCTTTTCGCGGATCATGCACGGGATTGGACAACCAGCCTAATTCAATTCACAATACCCCCACAGCTCGCCGATCTCACGGACACTTTCTTCGCCCCACAACATGGCAAAGGAAATACGATAAATGCGATCTCCTCGCAATTTCGGAGATTTCGGACTCAAATTCTCGCTGGCTCAATCGCTTCACCAAAGATGAGATTGGCTTTTCCGGGGCCGTGTTCAACGCCCGTTCTGCGAAAAACATGCATTTCAAGACACGCGCGCGGAACGAGGCGCAGAACCCCTCGGGGCTCCCGGCGTGTCCCCGGTCGTCCCGGCGGTTGTGGCGCATCAGCGTCTGGGTGGACCAAGAGTGCTCCGTAAGCACCTCGAGTCCCCAAACGGATTTGGAGATCGGGCGTCCTCTTGGTTTCCAACGAAAAAAATCCGCCCCAAAATATCTGTCCAACTTAAAACCAAAATCGGTCCAACTCCATTGAACACTGAAAAGAACCACCTTTTTGGGGTCTTTGGGCTTTCTGATCGTCTGATCTTTGGGAGGTTCTCAACTGGTCCCCTTGACCTGGGGGAAGAGGAAGCCTTCTCATTTTGGGGGGGACCGACTCATTATTTTGACACCCCGGCCCATGTTGAAATGGGGGACCGTGAAAATGGGTGGCTGTCCTTTTGGCTTCCCTTTAAAGGGCATGGCACCAAGAAGAACAAGAAGCTGCAAGAATAGTTGTAACTCGCAAGCCTGAAGTCTGAAAATCCTCCAAGTAAGGGATCCTTCGGCATGGGTGAACCCGTTTTACTCAGTCTTGGACGTGAAGATTACTGAACTGGGGAAACTTGCTCATGACCCTGAGAGGATACGTCTCAAGATGGCGCAGCTGGGGAAACTTGCTTCTTGCTTCAAATGGTGTACCGACTTTGAATGAGTATTCGGCTGAGGCAGCAATGCCAGTCTGCATCACCAGCATCATTTGGACACCTGGATGCTGCAAGCGCGATTGAGGCAGGAATGCCAGTCTGCATCACCAGCAGCATTTGGACGCCTCGTGCTGCAAAGTGCGGCGGAGGCAGCAATGCCAGTCTGCATCACCAGCATCATTTGGTCGCCTCGTGCTGCAAGCGCGGCTGAGGCGGCAATCTGAGTCACCAGCATCATTTGAACGCCTGGGTGCTGCAAGCGCGGCTGAGGCAGCAATGCTTTGCTCTGCGACTTGGACGATTAGCGCGCCTGTGGATGAACCAAATCCAGTTCGCCCCACCTAAAAGCACCCTGGTTTCTGAGACTTCCCCTAATACCAACAAACAATGGTTGAAAAACCAGGGTTTCATTTCGGGGGGCGAACGGCTTTCGGGGACCCATCCACGTGACTTGCAGTATGACTTCCTCCCCCGGCCGACCATGTCCCTGAAGGCCCCCGCCATCTCGCCGGGGAACTTCAGGGTGTTGGGTGCCTGGACGTTGGAAAAAGCGCCCGGGCGCTCTGCACCTTTCGTGTCTTTGGAATCTCGGTTGCTGTTGACCCCTCTACACAAGTTGAACTGTGAATGAGTTTTAATCGAACACCTGTTTGGATTTCGACCCTCACAATGGTGGTGCTTTTCCTTTTGGTTTCCCTCTTAAAACCACCCAAAGAACACGCATTTGAAGAGTCAGAACGGCTGGTGGACATTCCAAATGTCCGTGGAAACCCTGCGCAACTTTCTGGTCGACTCAATGAGGTAGGAGGAGCCCTTTACAAAGGACCTGGATCACTGGTCAATATCAGTCAACCGGGGGTTTACTACAGTACTGCAATCCGAAGTTGGGGGAACCAATAAGAAATATTAAATCAGGATCTCCCGTGTCTGCCCATGTCACACCCATGTCCAAATGGACCATGGACCTTGGGATTTCGATGGTTCTCCATTTGCTTAAGTCCCCTGGAAAAAATATAAATATGTCGTCCAGTAGTGATAGATTCTCTTGAAAATCAACAGGGGGACACAAAACATATTCTTCACCAAGTGGGAGTGTTGAAACGCCTGGATATGATTCACATGTGTTGTCAAAAAGTTACAGGCTAAGGATCCAACCCGACAGCCAAGCCCACCCCCGTACGCCAGCCGGCCTGTGCCGACGCGAAGGTGTCGCCCAGATTCACCACCTCCGGCTGGTCATACGACCATGTGGAGAGCTCTTCGTTGAGCCATGGCCCATTTGACCATGGGAGTGTTTCAAAATAGCAGTGTGCACCCCTGCTAACCCCTAACCTAACCTCGAGTAGGTGCATCTTAGGTGGTGTTCAACACCACTCACACATTAAACAGCGATTCACAACCCACTGGCAACCAGAGGACCCAGAATTTAGCTTTGAAACTACAGGTAGAAGCTTGGCTTGAGTCAACGACTGAGAGAAGTTTGGGTCACACCTTGCTTTGGGAAAGGGCAGGGACCCGCACCAGCTGCCGTTGGCGGCTGCACATAAGCTGCCTGGTAGCTTGTCATGCCGGTCCACCTTCATCCTAATACTGACGCTCAAGCCGCACTGGTGTGCATGAAGAGTGTGCTTCATGCATGCCAAAATTTCTCTACACACGCAGACCTACCAACATAATAGCAAAGTGCACTTTCATCCATGCAGACGCTCTGTACTAGCAACCCTCCCACGTTCCAACAAGGCTTCTACCTCAGCAACCCATCTGCCTGGAGTCGCTTGACCACATCCCCCGGCTGAAGGAGCTCGTTGATGCTGCTGCCCTTGCTGAGGGCCTGGCTATAGCGGGCATGGCAACCCGTCACTCAGAATCCGAGTCAACGTTTGCTTTCATCCTGGTGTGAGACACGGCTCCAAGAAAAATCATGCTTAGAATCCACTGAAACAAAACGACGAAACGACGCGGAACTCGACAGGAGACATCCTGGCAGCTGCGGTTTTTCAACCAACGGTCCAGTTCATGTCTGTCCCCTCCAAACCCAGGTGGTGGTGTCCCATTCAGCCCCGAAACCCACAGAACCCTCCGTGAAAGCTGCTCCGGGAGGCCCAAATTTCAAAAAGCACAGCCTAACATCCAACCGACGGCTCGTTTTGGCACGGTGGCAACCACGGCATACGGAGTCACTTTCGCGGCTGCCACGAGCCGCTTTTTTAGTCGAATATCGGCTTTAGGCTCCAGGTCCTGTTCACCCGCCGCGCTTGGTGCCCGTAGCGCCCCGCATTGCCTGCACGCTCGATGGTGGGCAAAAAAATGCAAACCCTTGGGCCCTTCTTCCCCGCTCGCTGGTGGGCAATAAAAATTCCCAAGCCCTTCCTCCCCAAACAGCTCTTTTGCTGTCAGATTCTTGCTCTGCTGTTTGGACCCTTTGGAAAGTTTGAACAGGAACCCAACTGGGCGTTTGGACAGGTAGCTAGTTGGACACAAGCCCTGATAGATCTATACCATAAACCAAATGGATTATGTTTCAGGCCTTGCTACGGTGGTGCACAAACGACTCCTCTTTCTTCTGCACATGCCTGCGCATGGCTCACGACCTATGGCCTCTCAGGTCCTCTAGCATGGGGTGGCCGTCAACTAGGTGATCGCCCTACCAAGCCTGACGCGCTAAGATGCCTAACCCATCAGTGAAAGCAACATTGGTTTCCTGTCCGACCCAACCAAAGCCCTGATAAATTGATAGAATCATGATCTATGTATAACATTCAGAAAACAAACATGATAGACATTACAAATTTCTCGTGAATGGCATTTTGCATAAAGTGCGAATGACTGCCTTGGCAAGGGAAACAAATCTAGAAATCACCCAAAACTCATATGTAGCCAACCCCTGCTTCCTTCCGATGGCTACCATGAATGGAGACCCCCAGGCTCCGGGAGTCATCGCGAGCTTCCGACCCCCCGACCCCCGAGCATCCCACCTGCCACCCCCAGCATGGAGCTGCGCATGGAGCGTCGCCAGAAGGCGCTCACCAGCAACTCCCAGTCCCCTCGAGCCGAGCTGGAGTCGGCCGAGCTGGAGCTGAGGGCCGAGCGAGCCATGAGTGAGGCCAGAAGACATAGGGCTACTTGGGGAATCCTCTTTGAATCTTTTAGGTAGTCTCGGTAGTTTATGGTATAGATGGGGAATCACAACTTTAGGGGCAAACTCAGATGGGTGGGGCGCTTCAACGTGCTGAAACCTGGCAGTGGGGTGCTAAACCATGTGGGGGTGTCTTTTGCTTTAAGTACCCCTTGTTTGTGAGTTCAAAAGGGAACCCAAAAGGAAAACCAGGGAACTGCCTGGTCAGTTCCATGTGGACAGCGTGCCCAAGAAAAACACCCACCGGAGCCCCGCGAAGTTCTGACACACCCTTGGGAAGGAAAAAGTCCCTTGGCTCAAACCACATCCAAGCACGGGCGCGAGTTGAGTTGGTTCTCGTGGTTATAATGGGAAACCAAAAGGGAAAAACAATTTATTTGTTATTTTTACTATTGTATATTTTGGGGGTCCTCTTAAAAAAGACACACCCATAGAGTAAATCCTATGTAACAGTGTACTTGCATTTTGGGACATCCACCATACCCCGCAAAACCAACATGAAACCCCAGCACTCGCACCATTTCTTTGTCACAAAAACATGTTTGCCAGCAGCTAGTCGACCGGCGTGGGAACTAGATTGCATCCCCCCCAACACGTACTGTAGCCTTCAGATGTCCAATCGTTCTAATTCGAATCTTGGCGGTGGACTGCAGAAAAAAAAAAAAAAAAAAACCTTCTGACCCAGACATTCCACACAATTCTTAGCATCGAGCGCTTGACTCCTCCATGCATCGATGCAGCCCGGGAGTCCCCATTCATGAAGACCTGGTTGACTACTGCTGTGCATGGACGAAATCTTGCGCCACCCGAGGAACCCTGGAATGATGATTCTCCCGTAAATACCAACAAACCACGGTTTTCCATGCTTTCTTAAGTGGTGCGAGCGGATTCTCGGGGACCCATCCACCGTAGGGACGGGACTGCAGCATTTTGGAAGTGATTTTTCGCTTTCCACGGACATGATCCCCCAAACTTATCGTCCTGGGTGATATTAATTATCAGGCTGATCCTTCAACTGCCAGCACCTCAGACAACAGCTTTTGCTTTTGGCCCGAAACCCGTGGACGCCTGACACCCAACATCCAAGGTCCATTTGCCACCGCTCCCTTACAACCAGTGAGGCTGCTTGGAAGAAGGCATGAAGTTCTAATCTGGTGGACCAATGATCTTCCGGAGGTTGCAGCTATGGTTCCAGGCTCTGGTTTCAGAGGCGATGTTCTGGGAGTCAGGACTGCGGCTTGGGCTCATCTAGGTGGTTCGATGGGATGAGACAAGGAATAACCCCAGAGAGCAAAGCCATTCCCTGTTTGGATTCCTTTAAGGGAACCCCCCAAATACTTCATTTAGCACCCAGAAGGCTCATGCCCTATCTATCGCGCCAGTTTGCCAGGGGCCATCTACACCAAAAAGGGCACCTCCGCCTCTGGACCCGTTCCAGGCCCACACCCGCGACACCGCGCCAGATTGGCCGGGCCGGCGACCGCTCCGCCCGTTCCGCCTAGATCTTGTCGCATGGACTGGCCCTCGGCGTGGAGGGCCCAGTTGTTCCCCACGCACGGGTTGCAGATGCCCCTCTCCAGCGCCAAGGACCACAGCTCCTGGGACCAGTCCTCAGCTGGAAACGGCCGGAACCCGGGGGGCCGGAGGCGTCCGGCCCCAAGGCTCGCAGAAACCGTGGAGCTGAACCAGGTGGTTTCCTGGTTTCCCGAAAAGAAGCAAACAAAAAAGGTACCCTCCGAAAAATCGGGCCATGGGGCTTAAGGAACAACCAAAGAGGGCCTCACAAGGTGAGCGGTGGCAATGCGCTACTGCCCTTCCCAAAAAATGTGTCGACCGCCGACCAAATGGAGGCGCTTTTCGGTGCAAAAGCCTTCACCTCTGGCCAGGGAATGGATTTGTCGTGGCGTCCCTTTCAAACCACCTTTAATTTCAATCAGGGTTCCCTCAAACATACACACACACACACACACCACACACACACACATTTTAGAGATATGATGATATAACATGTTTTCCGGGTTTCAACAAATATAGATCTATAGACATATTTCAGCACATATAGGTATGTATGTACCTGCGCATTCATACATTTAACGAAGCGACATCCCACCCCCGCATCTCTCTGGCGAAAAAAAATCAAAAAGCACCGCGCAGCCGAGGCGCCAGGTCCTGAAAAAGCTCCCGGGCCGTGACGGAGGCCTCCCGAGCACCCCGGCAGGTTGGCACGCCGGGCGCGTGGGTGTTGCTTGTTTTTCGTTTAATCCCACAAAGGAATTTAAAAACCAGCCACTGAAAAAGGAATGTGGCTTAAATGGGGAAATGGTTAAACTGTTAAATGGTTTTTTTTAATGGTTAAATGGAAGCAACCACTGAACCCGGAAAAAGCGAAAGTCCAAGCTGCACAGGTGTTAAAAATCGCCAGGGAGCTCGAAGTAATTTGTTAACCCCATATGAATTTCAAGCAACCAGTTTATTTTAATATGGGGGGTGCTTTTCCCTGGGTGAGATGTGGGGAACCAGACCACTTTTGGAGGGGCCTTCACCCCCCTATGAATAAACTGGGGCTGATTGATGTGGAGTCAACAATAGTGACGTGTTCCTTTGGGCTTCCCTTTGCCACCAAAAAAGGGGTACCCACAAGCCCAAATGGAGGATGATGAGGTTTCTGGGGATTGGTGGGTGATGAACCTTGGGTTTTCGAGACCTACAAGAAAGCGGCGGCTCCCCAAACGCGCCACCCCGCCACCCCGCCTCGCAGGCCAGGGCTGGGCACCCCAAGGCCCCCAAGCTGGCCAGACCTTCGGAAGAGAAGCGGCGCGGGCCCAGGAACCGCACCAGCGTGCGGTTGTCCTGCGTCGGCTTCCCCTCGCTCTGGCTATTTGGGTGCTCAAAAATCGGGGTCCAAAATAAAACCAAATCGGCAACTGGAAAGATAGACCAAAACCTGCGGTAACCGCAGCTGCTTCATTTTGACCCACCCATTTGGAGGCTGGTTTCCCATTCACTCCCTGCAAGCTTCAAATCCCCAAGCCGCCAATCTGAACCACCAAAATAAGGGGTTGCCTGACGAATGGGCCATGGAAAGCTACACCAAGGCAAACACCCTGCCACCACTTCGGATGGAAAACTAAAGGGGATGCTAGAAAGAATTGCGCCATCTGCTTCCCAACTGTAGGCGGGAGCCGATCACCCGTGCGAGGAGCCGATCCCCGCTCTCAGCAGCCATCTCTGTTCATTTCTTGCCGAGGCACGGTTGATTTTAACTTCCCAATTTGGACGTGTTTTTCGGGCTTCAACCTTAACCATTGGCACAGTTTCACGGTTGGAACTGAAGCCAGGGCCACCCAAACTGAATTGAACAGATACCTATGCCTGGCTACCATCCCTGGCAGTTCTTGAACCCGCCCCCAGAAACCAATCCAAACCACCAATTAGTTTTGGGTAACCTCATGCAAGATGACGACGGCCAACGGACAAAACACATGGAGCGAGGTTGTCAAGTTGTCCTTTTGCCGAAGCCTTATTATTTGGGGCTCGCATGGCACCGCAAACACAAAACCAAACAAAGAGTTCTGAAGAGGACCGACATGTTCCAGACATAGGTGGCCTTTTGAAAAACAGGATGGCCCTGGTAAATGGAGCAAACCCATCTAAACCAGCACCATCTATGTTTAACCAAACTAACCTAAAAAGGACGCCTATGGTTCCAGACGCATGTGCCACAGGCGCAAGAGGCCGAAATCCACGGCTTTGGGGGAGCTGGCTGTCTTTCACTTCAGCGGTTCAACCCCGAGCCTTGGCAATGAGCTCCAGCCACATGAGGTACTCCTTCCTTGGATGCTTCGCTCGCTTTGTCAAGCACAGGGGGAAAGCAACAGGCACATGCCAACGAGTGCGGAGAACGTCTATCGTCACCCCAAGCTGAGCCTTCCAAATAAATGTGTTGGCGCGTGTTGCTTTCATGTGGCTCCTGTGCATGTGCGCGTGTACAAGAACTGGACCACTTAAAAGAGCATGAAACAGCAACTAGTTTCTGAAAAAGCACGTTAACATACACATACATATATGTTGCAATGATTTATGCACGCCTTAGTTTTTGACCGAGGGACACAAAGACCGGGTTGTTGGGCTCCAACTCAGAGGCCCTCTGGTAGTACTGCCCCGCGCGCTGGCTCTGATCCAAGTTGTAGTCCAGGTGGTATCTAGGCTCCGGATTCCCATGCGTCGGCTTTCCGAAAGACTCGCGAGCTGTGGTTGGCAACTGCTGTGGATGGCTGACGACAAGACATTGCTCTGCGCCCGAGCGTCCCCATGATGTACTGGAAGGCGGCATCCTTGGACCCATGCCTTGCAAGAGGAAGATTCGCGAATGAATTCTAATGGGGAACCCTCTTCTTGGTGGACATCACTTGCATGGGTGTACTTTTTTTTTATGGGACCCCTCCAACATGGTGGTTTCTTTTTTGTTTTCTTTGTTGGTTTCCCTGTAAAAACACGCAAAAGGGGTACCCTCAAAAAAAGAACACCCACATGAGGATTCATGCCTACCATGTTTGAGGATGTTCCCCATCTAGACTCTCATGTCAAGCAAGCGAAGGCGGACACGGAAGTTTCGCCAGCCAAATGAGAATGCCCCTCATTCCCACCCACGCAGAAACTCCTGACTAATCTTGGCCCAGCCAAGAAAAACACAACAACGTAGTTTCTAGATTCTGCTTTGTCCGTGCTCCAAGCATAAAAGGCATAACATACTGTGGATGCTAAGCCCCGCACCACCTCAGAAACCTGGAGTGATGATCCCCCCGCGAAATACCAACCGACAACGGCACCAACCATGGTTTCTCAAAGTGGTGTGCCGTGGAATTTCCGGGGAGGCCCAAATGACCTATCCATGGACCCAATGACCCAAAGACCCAAAGACCCAAAGTTTCTGAGACCCAATGACCCAACTCAGGTTTTCTCAGATGACCCTTTCAGCAGTCCGGGGCGCTGCTCCGCCCATTTCAGCAACGTCTGGGTCACCTGGCGCCGCCTTTTTTCGCATCTTCCAGCGGCCAACTGCCAAGACGTCCCTTCGCATTTTTCGGCCCCTGGAAAACATAAAAATCCAGTGATAGATTCCCTTTTAAACCAAAGTTGGAAAATAAGAAGAATTCTTGAGCAGATGGAAGAAGACCACCTTGCAAGGAGAGGAGCTCGGTGAAAATGATGGCTACGCGCAGGAACTCAGGCCATGTGCCGATGCCGTCGCCGGAGTCGCAAAATGATTCCGTGCCCCAGGGAGCACGTGTTGCGAGGAAAAAGAAGCCGTGCAAAACCATAGGAATTCACAACCAATGGATCTGGAATGTGAACCTTCCATCAGGGCCCCACCAACGGCACAGTTGATGACAATATGACGACTTGGGGGGGATGCCTTGATGAGACTCCCACATGTTCGGGAGAGGGGGGGGGAGGGCGGAAGGCCTGACAACGCTGAAAAACATGACCACTGCTGTCAATGCTGAACGTTAAAAATGAGGCATTCCCAACTAGAAAGCAGAGTTGCTGTCTGCCTAAGTGTAATTCCATGCAATGTGTGACTCTCCCCCACCCCCCCACCCCACCCACAAAAAAGACTGATCTATGAGGACCCTTGGCAAAAGGGATCTGTAATTTGACGGGCGGTTTAAGACAAACCTTAAAAAAAAAAAAAAAAAAAAAAAAAAAAAACAAAAAAAAACGGCACCTGCCAAAACACCCGGTACTGTGGATGCCCTTTGTTTTTGCAAGTAAATCAACCATAAACCATTGTAATTTACAGGGTTTTCCCTGTTCCCTACCTGCAATGTTCAGGGCAGCCTATGGCCCGGGAAGAGTCCACTTATTCACGCTTGGGGCAAATAGGGGGTGCAAGAGGCTACCACAATGGCGGGTATAGAAAAGACCATCCCCAAAACACACAAACACACAGACATACACATACACACACAAACATGACAGGGGGGGGGAGGTGTGTTTCCCTTTCCCCTTTGGTTTCCCTTTAAACCACGGGGAAGCAGGTGGTCCCTGGCGATTTCGAGCCGAGCGCGCCTTGGGCTGCCCCATCTTCCGGAAGGCCAGCGCCAGATCCGCGGCCCGGGCCGCGCAGTGCTCTGGCTCCTCCCCGCCAAACAAAAAAAACGAGCTTCGGGTGCGCTCCGTTCGACCCGATTTTTATTTTATGATTTTTTTTTGGGGGGGTAGGGGGTATGTCCACATTTAAATGTGTGGTCTTTTTTTGGCGGGGTAAGTAGTAGGGGGTACTGCCAAGTTTGAATAGGGGTACGATCCCTCCCACCAAAAGAAGGCCTTTGTGGGAGGGCACCTGGAAGATCAATTTCCTCTTCAAGGGACGCTTGGTTAGGTGAATTTGATACCCCAATTTTATTTTTGATCGCTTCCCCCCTTTAGGGTAACTCAAGGGAAGTGTCCAAACACATCACCCAAAACTAAACTCACCCTTTGGGGGGGCGGGGGAAAGGTGATGTTCAAAACCAAAACGGGAACTATAGAGACGGCAATTGTCAAAAAGAAGGGCGAAAGACCTTCTGATTGTCGGTGGGGACATGGGATCTCCGGGTCATTGTTTCATCTCCCCACCCCACAAGACGGAGATCGTCCATTGCCGAATTGGTTTCGTTTCCTACCCTTGCAGCTTGTCATGGAACTAAAAGCCACGGTTTACAGAGGAAGCTGCTTTGGAGGGGGGGTTCATGGAGCGTATCTCCCAGTCACATGTTCTAGATAACCTTGACATAAACAAGTGAACCTTTCGAGCTAAGACACAACGCAGATTGGCATTTGGCCGACTGGCTGCTCTTGTGGAGGGATTGCTCGTCTCAGTGGTTCGTACAAAACAAAGCAACCGTCTGTGCTACTTTCATGGGATGTACTTGAAGCAACATATCACTACCTGTACAGGATCTCCTCACTCCATGGTTTACCAGATGTGGGCCCAAAAGTAAGCCTGGCCGCAATCAAAGCCACCTGAAACACGAATTCGACATCATATTTCATGCCATTTCCTATGTTCATCAATTGATTAAATTTATGTTCAGCATCTGCTGGTGGGGATCCCCCAATTCCAGTTCCCTCCAATTGGTGGTTTGGATTTGTGGGTTGGTGTTCCGGAGGGGTAAACCCCATCCCTCCACAAGAATCTGGGACCCCTTCAAATCCCAACAAAGACCATCAACCCAGACCACCAAGTAGGTCTTTTAAAAACAAAACTGGACTGTTGGTGGCCTCACCAAATCCCAAACCTCCCCATCCAGACCTCCTTGGTGGGGTGGCACCTGAAAAAACCCAAGAACCGCCTCCTCCAGGCAGCGCTTCAGCATGGGCTCCCAGGTATGGAGATCCGCCACACTGCCGGCCTTGGCCTCGCGCGGTACCTCCTGGCAACCGGCAGAGCGGGGGGGAGGTTTCAGCCTCGAGTTGCGGGGGGCTGGTGGGAAAAGCGGCCGGGTTTCTCAAGACCTTCTTTGAACCACCTCTTGTTGGTTTCTCTTTTAAATTGAACCTGGGTCTTCTTGAAGCCAAATTTAAGCCCCTGTAAACGTACTGTGGATCATTCGAAATCCCTTCGCGCCAACGAAAAGAAACCATGGTTGAAGCCGTCGTTGGTGAGTACTTGCAGGGGGAGCAATTCATTCCAGGGTTTCGACCTACCTCCATTTGGAGGCTGGAAACCCAATCCCTTGCCAGGTCCCTTAAAAGAAAGTGGTTGATTCTTGGGGCCATGACCTCCAGTTGCTTCATAGGTCCCCTGGAGAAAATCAAGAAAATATGTCCAATAGAGCTTCCCCTTAAAGCAAACAGGGAACAATGCAAAATACTTGTGAGCAAATGGGCCTACTGTGGACGGGTCCCCGAAATCCGTTTGCACTACAAAACGAATCCATGGTCGAAGCCATGGTTTGTTGGTATTCAAAGGGATGTCGAACCATTCCAGGGTTTCTGAACGGTGCTGCGGAATGGACTTCACCCATCCACCCGCAGCAGGTGACATTCCAAAGTGTTGCTTTTCAATTTGTTTCGAAGTGGGCCCGTTGCAGCATGCAATTCTGTGTGGGCCTCTACAAGTCTTAGATCCAGTAAGTTCGCCTACAAAGGCGAACCAGGTTTCAACCATGGGGAAAGAAGTGGAGTGGAGGGGGGATATATGCTGAACACTTATGGTATCCACTTTGCTCGCTCTTGGGAGTTTGAGTCTGCAACATTGGTGTGTCTTATTCTAGGGGACCCACAACATGGTGGGAACCCACATCATGGTTGCCACAAAATTCAAAAAAGAGCACCCGCGAGAAAAAATACTCACACCCAACCAAAGCTAACCACGGCACGCAGAACGCAACCTGCTCCCCCCCCCCCCCCCCCGGCCTCCCGCGCAACCCCCCCGCTCAACCATCCCGCGCCTCTTTGCCCCGCAGCCGCAGCACCGCGAACTCCGCGTTGGCCCACTGCAGCTCGAAGAGCGGGGAGGCCAAGGCCCGCGGGCAGAAGAGGTCCTCAGGCTCGACGGGGCCCAGGTCAAGCGTCTGTTATCTCGGTGGCTTTCTGCTCCCTGGCGAAAAGTTTTGAACTTTTTATGGGTTGAATAGAAAACCCATTGGCTGGCTAAAAGGGAAAGTCCTAGCATCCAAGCAAAATGCACCTCTGTTTTAGGTCCACTGCTGTGGATGGTTGCGAAATCCTAGGCACCATACAGCGCGCGTTGTCTGAACCTATGGGTCTTTCCGAACCAAACCTCTTTGCAAATTCCATGGTTGCATGTGGATGGCTCAGAAACCCTGGAATGTGCAAATACCAAGAAATTATGGTTTCCCTTGCTTTTCAAAGTGGAGCGCCGTTTTGGAAGCGAGTTCTACTACCTTCAGCAAGGATTGTAAACACGGCCTATGTAAAATTTCCCATGCATCTTAGAACCAAAAGACTGGTGTAAACAAGCTGTGGATGGACGAAACTCGATCGCACTGCTTTGAAACCAAGAAAAAGCCGTGGTTTGTTGGCATTTGCAGGAGAACCGCATCACTATGGATGGACGAAACTTGATCGCACCGCTTTGAAACCAAGGGAAACCATGGTTCGTTGGCATTTGCGGGGGAACCGAATCATTCCAGGGTTCTGAAGGGTGGTGCGAAATGGATTTCGCAACCATCCACAGTAGCGGAACCAAAAGAACAAGGCCTACGTAAACCTTTCAATTCATCTTAGAACCAAGAGACTGGTGTAAACATACTCTGGATGGACGAAATCTGTTCACACCAGGTGAAACCTTGATGTTGGCCTCCTGATGAATACTCCCGCCTCGCTTATTGGGATTCTGCAATGACCGGGGGTCAAGGAGGCTCGCAGCAGCCGAAGCGCACCTTTGCGCTGAGATCGAATGTCCACGCGCCCAACGGCGCGGTCGCAACCGTGGCTCGGTGTCGAGCGGACAAAGGGGCCCCTCTGTCTAGGGCCATGGTGGCAGCAGTGGATCAACAGTTGACATGTCACAACCGAAGGAATCGCATGGGCCAAAAACCTTTCTCAACTGCTGATCCCGTTGCTGATGTGCCGTCACGTCCTTGATGGCAGAACGCCCTTGGCCGTGGCTCTTACGAGCTGAAGTGAAGGTGTTGTCGTATGCAACACTCCACAGGCCTGTTTGAAGAAACTTGGTGAGACCCAGGCGACACTCAGCTTTCTTCTTGGTCAAGGCGTCGCCGAGATCATAGTCGCTGGCCACCCAACGAAGTTCAGCTCCGGTTCGGGTGAGATGCTCCCGAAGTTGAAGAGCTTGAAGCGCGGCTCTTGCGTTGCTCAACCCAAGCATTGGTGACTCGTTGTAGATCACCGCATCGTAGCCGCCCTTGCTGTCGGTGGCCAGAATGCCTTTGATGCCGCGGGCCATGCGTTCAGCCCATTCCACCCTGTCTTCATGTGGGGTGAGATCGTGACCGGCTCCATTCATTTCGCACCAGAGCACGCGGATGCGGAAGTTCTGGTCCTCGCCATCCAGGATTGCCTGGACTTCAGCATCATTTGAGGATATGGCCTTGCGGCGCAGCTTCCAGCTTCGCCATGCCAGGGGTGCCATGTATGTGACCTTGCCCTCGCTTGCATGAGGTCCAGTAGCAACTGAGATCAAGCCGCCGGTGGAGTCCATCTTGCTGCGGTTCGCGTGGGCTTGGTCGCAGAAGGTCACAAACACCATGTCTCGCCATGACTCGACTCCAGGTGGTTTCTTGTAGTGCAGCTGGTAGGCGTGCTTGCGAATCTCGCCGACTAGCTGTTGAAGTTCCAGCGCCGATTGCATGAGGCGCTTGGTCGTGATTTCAGATGCAAGTAGGTTGCACCTGGCGCAGAGCTGCGGCTGAGTCTGCAAGGCCAGCCATTGAAGACTGCCCCAGGTAGTGCGGCAGGCAGCTACCTCCTCAGGATTCATGACCGCATTCTCTTGACGAAGGCGATCGGGATCAATGTTCACATCGGCGATGGAGTCGATGTAGTACTGCTGATTGATCTTTACCTCCACGGAGCCGTCCTTGTTGATGATGGAGGTCAGGTCGGTTCCGGCGTGCCGGTAGTTGCCACGTTTGGCAGTGCCCCACTCGTAGAGCTTGTCAATCTGGGAGCAGACCTGAACCCACTCAGGCGAGAGGCGATTGCCACAGCGATGGAAATCATCCACGTGGCCGCCCATGATGCCAAGTACCAGGGGGATGCCGAAGGCGTCCTTCTCCGTGGCTGACTGCCAGATCCAGATGCAGCGTTCACCAATGAGTGGTTTGCCGCCGATGGAGGCCAGGCGCCGGTGAAGGTCCAGCCAGAGTCCCCTTGGTGCGGTCGTTGAGCCGTAGATGTTCTTGAGGATCTTCATGACTCCGTCTGCTGGAACATCCAGGGCTTCACGAAGCTCTGATACACCGCGAGTCCACAGATCTTGATCCGCCTCTGTGGGCTGCGTCTGCAAGAATGCAGTGGCCAAATCGAGACCTTCAAGTTCCCAGCCGTGAGTGCAGGCCATGGTGTACAGGAGGTTTCTTCCCAGCCCAGACTGCACAGGGCTAGAGGTCTTGAACTCAGGCCGAAGAAGGTCCGGATGTTCGTAGCCGAGAAGCACAATGCGTGCTTTTGCCTTGCGTTGACCGTCCTTGGTGTAGGTGGACTTGGCGTTGGATTTCGCCTCGGCTTGAGCTTCTTGAAGATCTTCTGGAGGTGTTGGCTTCCAGGTGAGAACCCATCTGGCTCGCATGATGCGGCCAGAGTCGAAGGCCTCGCTGACCTCCTTGTTGTCCAGAGCCTTGCGAACAGCCTCAGATTTGATGAAGCTGCTGACTTCCTTGGACTTGGCTCTGCTGAAGAGTTCTCTGTGTTCAGGAGAGAGACGGGAGAGCACAACCTCGCTGTCTCTCATCTTCTTGACCATGAAGGCCGAGGCGTCCCGGAGGAAGTCCTTCTCCTTACGGTGGGAGTTAAGGTCAACGTCAAACTCGATCTTCATCACCTCCTGGGAGTCGATGAGGAGCTGATGGAGATCACCTTCAACTTGGTGTAGTTCCTCGAGCCAGCCCAGGTCATAGCCGTCGGTACGCTGCTTCTTGTTGTCTGGCTCATAGCTGTTGGGATCTTCAGCTGCGGGATCAGCGCTTGGACTTGAGGTGCCAGGTAGATCAGGTGGTAAGGCTTGAGGTTCAGTCGAGGTCTCCGGCATGGATGGTCCCATAGAGCTGTCCAGTGACTCGGGAGTGTAGTCCGGGTCGTCCGCCATGAAGGGTACATGAGCAGGACGTGGAGGAACCAGAAATGGTGCGGACTTCACACGGATCCGCCTCTTGGGGATGTCGATGGTCTCCTTGTTGGGGAGATCGGGCAGATCAGGCTGCTCTTGTTCATCGACTCCGGGTTCATCGTCGGCAAGATCGATGAACTCCTTGTTGGGCAGCATGTCGGAGAGGGAACGCCACCGGGAGACGTCTTCCTTAGCACTGATCTCGAACTGGGTCTCTTCCAGGGGCGTGGTAGGTCTCACGGAGTGGACAGAGCAGCGCAGGAGCTGGTTCTGCAGTAGCACCCAGACGATGTGCCTTCGGGCGTCACTTGGTTGTTGATGTGGAAGGATCTCGTGAAACACCACTCGGCCAGGACCGATCCAGTGCGGGCGTCCGGATTTTCGAGCACCGCCCCGCTTGCCAACGTAAACGTGGGATGGCCATTGCTTGCGCCATACCATCACGAGTTGCATGGGATGGAAGGTCCTGATGGGCTGTCTCACAGTCGAGTTGCTGAGCTTGGAGAGGACACGAAGGGCACGGGTTTTGCGTGCTACTTGTTCAGCACTCTGACGCAGCTGGACTAGACGTGCGTAGTCGTCGTCGGGCGACTCAGGAAGTGTGGCAAAGGTTCTCACGTCCTCATCGGTGATGGAGTAGTCCTTGCCGTAGCACCACTGGAAGGATGAGTACCCTTTGACGTACTCGGTTGAGTTGAGCGCGGCGATGGCCAGGTGCAAGGTGATGATCGGGTCCTGAGAAGGAGAGCCAAGCTGAATGGCTGATGCTGTCATCTTGACGTCCTTGATGGCGGACTCAACTTGGCCATGTGCCCAGCTTTCCTTTTCCGCAGGAGGTGCAAGTTGTACACCGATGTCGGACAGGAAGTCGCTCACGTCCCGAGAGACCAGGGTGATGCCGTTGTCAGGGATGACGACTTCTGGCCGTGGTTTGTCGGCCAGCCACCGTTCAGCTAGACCTTTGATGATGTCTGCCGAGCTTTCGCTCTGCATTTGGAGGACATCGTAGCACTTGATGACATGCACAGCTCGGAGACGTGTGGCCAGGTCCATGATCAACATGAATTTGAGCTTCAGCTTGCTATGGGGTATCACCCACTCGGTCACGTCGACGCCAATGGCTTGCCAGGCGCGATACAGTGGATGCGTGGATGCCGGTGGTATACTTCCGGAAGATGATCCGCCAGGTCGAAGAGCATCACACGAAGCACACTTGAAGTCGCGAGCCATTTGAACCTTCCATTCGGGCAGCCGAGCATCTCGAAGTAGGTGCACAAGGTTGCGGTTGGTGGGATGCCCAGCGGCCTTGTGGAAGTGGTGTAGCTTGGCAGACCAAGCTCGGTGTTCTGGACCATCTTGAGGTACATCTGATGGCACAGACAAAATTGCTTCACTAGCGGGGTGACCATCTGCATGGAGTTCTCCAGCATGGAGATCATCGCGAACATGACCAGGAGGTAGAGCTAGGGATTGAGTTGCCTCCCAAGGTTCGTGAGATGGTGTGAGGGATGCATGCGATGGCCAGGTTGGGTCTATGGAGGTGATACCGTTGTGCTGGTAGTGCTTGAAGTTCCAGTGGTCGTCATCCAGGTTGACGTCCTTGTCAGACAGGTTCTGACAGGCCGAGAGGTACTTGAGGTACCGTTGTGGAGCAAGTTCAGATAGCCATCCGCGGACGATGGCTTGCACGAGTCGCAGTGGATAGTAGCTGGAGCGGCTCGTCTCTGCTCCTTCTATTCGTGCATGGTTGTGGTTGTTGGTGCAGACCCGAGCGCGGAAGGTCTGATGGAAGCGCTCATCGGTGGTACGGATCAACCACCGTTTCTTCAGGAGGTCAGTGCCGGCTTTGTTGGTCATGCCATAGCGACAGCCGTCAACTCGGCAGGGAAGCCAGTCCAGACCACGAGCTCGTAGACCTTCACGAAGGTCAACCACTGGTTGCTGCTCCCACCCAGCGCAGGGATGGGTCCATTCCCAGTAGATGTCGAAGTCCGGGTCCTCGTCGAGGGCCTGCAGGATGAACTGCTTGGCGTTCTTGAGCATTTTGCGTTCTCGACGTCGGGCTGTTTCAAGGACTTCTCGACGTTCCGGGGTGTTGTAGTTCAAGTTGGTGAATTGGCACCACTTGGTACATGGGAAGGAGAACCAAATGCGCTTGGGTCTGTGTTGTCGCCGTAGGTCTTGAAGGCGTACCCACGTCTGGGGGTCGTAGATGTCAAAGCCTGCGTTGTAGTTGATGCGGCGTGCTGGTAGTCCATGATTTTGCACTTCGGAGGTGAGCCATGAGTTGTCGGAGCAGGCCACCTCCCACAGGAGATCCCGTTCGTCTAGAACCATGGAAGCCGTGGCGTTCGAGAGGTTGGTGGTCATGAGGCTCATGAGTTGTAGAAGTCGCAGACCAACAGAGTTGGGGAGCTTCTTCACGCCATCGGTTCCGCGTTGGGATTGTCCCCGAAGTGCTGGGTCTTGCGCATGGTCAGGGTGTTGAAGAGCTCGAGTTTCTCCTCCTCGGTGAGGTGCTGATCCAGGTCCGCCAGAATCGTGGTGGCCCTGTGCTCCACCTCGCGAGGTGGTTCGGAGGTCGTGGACATCTTCTCCCAGCTGTGAAAAGACTCCGCCTTCTGCGCAGGGCGCTCCTTGGACTTGGAGTTCATCCCGGAAGTTGCCGTCGAGGATGCTGCTTTCTTCGAAACGGACTTTGCGATCTGGATCTTGTGGAACAGCTTTTCCTCGGCGTTGATCTTCTCCTGCATGGCCAGGCAGATTTCCGAGGTCGGGCGCACGTCGCCCATCAGGTCCTGGAGCTCCTTCAGCATCCTCGCCACCATGCCGGGATTGTGAGTTTGGGTGCTGTTGGCTGGGCTGCCCTTGCGAGGGATGTAGGACAGCCTCAGATTGCATATTTGGCAATGGTTCCACTTGCCATGAGCATTGCTTCCGTAGCTGCCCGGCAGATGTCGAGCGAAGCATGGCCACTGGTCCGGATGACTTCGAGGGTCCCGAGGATCCAGGGGGACACTGCGGGTCTCGTCGAATTCCTTGACACCCTTCTTCTTTGGGACCGCCTCCTTGATCTTTGACAGCAGGTCCGTGGTCTCCAGATCGTCCGCGGTCGGAACCGGGGTCGTGTAGGCCATGGGACTCGGAGGTGGCACCAAAGACTGGGGTGTCACTGGTAACCTGGTTAGCTAACATCTGAGCAGATGCGCTACGGAGCCGCATCATCAGTGCAACTGTCCGGGTGTCAGGTGGTGCATGTTCAACGTGCAGGCAGTCATGTTCTGGGGAATCCAGTTGAACACGGAGCGTGTGGAATTCCAAAACCTGACAATCATGGATACGGCGTTGCCCGGCACCACGAACATGGATCCTGGGGTGGCCCTTACCATTGCTGAGACCGTTGGTGAGAAACTGTCTGATGTCCAACACATAGTGACCCTTGTGGTTGTGGCGCAAAGGATATGGCTTGGGGTCACTCTCCAAACTGTTGAGGGTCATGCCGGTGGAGAAATCAATCATCATACCAGCCCCGTGAGGTCCCAGATGATCCATACCAACCAGGATAGGAACCAGCATAGATCTGTCAAAACCAGGTTGATGTAGCTCTGGTGGATTGGGCAGGGCATAGACCTTGAACTGTTTGGGCGTACCTGATACATCACTCCGGAGGGTGACCTGATAAAGAGCCTGACCCCACTTCCCATTCCCGTAGCGGAAATACGGGCGAGCGGATTGATCAATCTCCACAACGGTGCAGTGGTCCTGTGCCACAATGGACTGTATGAGGCCCTTGACAGCCTCTTCTGGGCCAGCAGATGCTGTGGCCCCACAGTCCACCATGCCTTCAAAATCACCGCTGGTGGATGGCATGGTGGCAGGCATACATTCACCACCGTGGAGGTCCATGTCCAGGCCGCAGAACTCGGCCGTGTAGGAGTTGACAAAACTTCGCGAAGGGGTCGCGCCATAGCCCTTACCAGATCCAGAGTGCTTGGATTTGCCCTTGAAGTACATGGCGTCGTAATCATAGTCCATGGAGTAGGTGTTCTTGCCCTTGGACTTGCCCTTCTTGGAGCCTTTGTGCTGGTAGAAGTCGTCGTAGTAAGGGTCAACCATGAACTGAGAGTTGCCCTTCTTGCCAGAGGATCCCTTGGGATGTGGTGCATGCCGAAGGTCGGGACATTGGCGGATGAAGTGAGCGCCGCCACAGTTGTAGCATTTCCCGGAGTTGCCCTTGCCGAAGCCTCTGTCACGGTGTATGGCGGCCGTGGCTCGTTTGGCTTCAGCCCAGGTACGACTTGCTTCTTGGGCCATTTGTTCGGCAAGCTGTTCAGCTTGATGTGCTTCCTTGAGCTTTGACTCCTCAGCCGGGTCGAGATGGGGAGAGGCAGGACTGGTGTCCTTCGACTCGGAGTCGTTGTCCCAGTCCCAGGAAGTCTGGTCTTCGGCAGTCCAGTGTTGGTGCCAATCCTGATCCCACCACTGGACACTGGCATAGTGATCGTGCCATGGATCAGGTCGAGGGCCAGGTTCTTGTTCTTGAACATGTAGATGATGCTGTACAGCGTGAGGTTGGCGTTGTCCAAGAAGTTGATCGTCCCACAGCATTTGCAGTGCTCGACTGATGGAGTCGTAGTTCATGCTGTTTTGGGTGGTGCTGAGGATATCACGTTTTTCTTCACTGGTCAAGCTGGCAGCCTGTAGAAGACGCCAGCCACGCAGGACGCCCATAATGAAGGAGTCGGCAAGGGACATCTCGTCAATGACATCCACCTGAGTGATGTCCAGTTGAGGTTGCGCATGAGGGATGTCCTTGCCCTTGCCTTTGCTGCCAGGTCTGGAAGATCTGCCAGGGGAAGCACCAGGTGCAGCATCAGGAGAGCTGCCGTCCTGAGAGGCGTCCGTTGCCCTTGTTCTTGGTGGAGTGGTAGCTTCGTCGGGAACGGATTCATGCTCATCTTGATCTTGATCATCTTCTTGGAGAAAGGGCTCAGGTGAACCACTGGGGATGCCGAAGTCCTTGTCCTCCTGCTTGATGCCCTTGCGTTCCTCGAACAGACGAACCAGGGCTTCGGTGAACTCCGCGTAGCCGAGGGTCTCGCGGATGAGGAAGGCACTCATGCTCTCCTGGGGCAGCCGCTTGAAGGCGAAGTACTGGGCGCAGATGGCTGCCGTGTTGGGAAGGCTCTGTCTGACCAGAGGAGAGCCGGCCAGACGTCTGAGAAGATCTCGCGTACCATCTGGTGAGTCAAACAGTTGTAGAGGCCAAGACATGGCGAGGAGCCGTGCTGGGCCCGTCAATCGACTCACCAATTTGGTCGCGCAGTAGCGCCGCTTGTCCAAGGGGACGCTCATCACCCACCAGGCGACTTCACGGGTGTACCGTCTCCATGTCCGTGCAGATCCATCCCATTGTGGGATGTGGCCTTCCTTGTCTGACATCGTGTTGATGTTGAGGTTGAGCTGGAGGTTGCCGTAGTTGGTGTTCTCGTGGCCTGGTAGTTGATGTGTTCCAGGAGGTTGCCGTAGAGGGAGTTCAGGTGTGGGGAGATCTTGATGTTGTGACGCAGGAGGTCCTTGAGGTGTCCAGTGTGACCAGGGTGGTCCTCAACGTCGGTACCCGACGGAGATCTACACCTCAGTCTAAACCAGGTTGCCACCCTCAAGGTCGGGGCACGAGCCGAAGGCGAAGTGCGGGTGTTCCTCGGACTCCCGGATCGTGTAACCGTGCTCCGCTGCCAATGCAATGACCGGGGGTCAAGGAGGCTCGCAGCAGCCGAAGCGCACCTTTGCGCTGAGATCGAATGTCCACGCGCCCAACGGCGCGGTCGCAACCGTGGCTCGGTGTCGAGCGGACAAAGGGGCCCCTCTGTCTAGGGCCATGGTGGCAGCAGTGGATCAACAGTTGACATGTCACAACCGAAGGAATCGCAGATTCCCTTCTTCGAGGGGGAGCTCCCTAATTCAGGACTGGGTGCATTCATCAGGACTCGACATTACATGAAACTTGTGCACTACTTGTGCGAAATTCCTCCGAACCACCCCCCCCCCCCGCCTGGCCTCTAGGCACATCCTTGCGATTTGTTTGCAGAAGACTGTGGGGTCTCTCAGGCCGCCGTTGTTTAGCCCATTCAAAACCCACAGCTCAACCCTCTGCTTGAAACTGGTCTTCTCCCTCAACTGGCTGGAGCGGACGCCCGCACGCCTTCCCTGAACTGGTGTTGTGTGCCTCTTGGGTTGAGCTGTTTTTGGGAACCTGAGTTCCAATCCCAGTGCCTCAGCGCGGACTTTTTTGGGGAGGTTGAATTCTTTCTGCCCGCTCGGGCCCCGGCCTGCCAGGGCCGATCACCCTCCTGGCGCTTTCTTCTTTCGATTTTTGGGGGGATCGCCCCTTTTCCCCTTTGTGGGGGTGAGGTTCTTTTTAGGTACACAAAAGGGAACCCCCCCCCCCCCCCCGCCCCCCAACCCCGGTTTTTCCCTTGTTGACCGATTTTGACACATACCCAGTTGTGGATGGAAACCCCTGGCTCAAGAAACAAGACATGGGAAATTGAAGCGCAATGTGAACCACCTATTGTCTGCCCACTGGGCGACAGCAATCAACCACACTTTGCCTACCAGGAAAGGTTGAAATCGGGACTGTCGCCTCCCCCTCTTTTCCAACGTTGAGTTTTCCCTCTGGTTCTCTCTTCGAAAAAAGAAAAAGAAGAAGAACAACACGCGCAACAATTGCCCAGTTGAACTCACGCCCAGTGCCTTGCAGTTCACCTCCGGGTATTTGTCCAAGAGGAAGGGCCCAAAGCCTGGGTCAGAAGCGAATGTCTGATCTCCCATGCAAGCCGCCGGAATACCAGCTCCTCATGATTGGTGAACTTGCTTTCTTTCTTCCCGGCTTTAGGCTCATCCCCTTGTCAACCCGGCCCTTTTCATGCTTGCTTTAAGAAGCCAAAGGGAAGCTGCGCACATGTTGAGTATCTCTGGTGATGGGCAAACCCAAACAGGCCCTGCAACAACATACCTGCCCCGGCAAACGTTCTCCGAGCCACTGCAGCGCTTGAACTCGAGAACCAGATACCGGGACCGGTACTTCTTCATGGTCTTCGCAAAGCTCGCCTTGTCTCCCGCTGAGCTACAACTTCACCCAGGACGTGGGGCATTGAGTGAGCCAGTTCTTGTGTCCACGCCCCTCCCAAATGGACAACGGGCTCGCACGCAATGAAGTATGCCAAAAGCCTTTGCAGGATGGTTCTCCAAAAAGCCTCCCGTCCACTACGCCCTAAACGGGAACGGGGAGCCTCCCGCCCTAACTTGAGAGGTGCCCCACAGATTTGGGACCAGGTTCCAACCCCCAACTTGGGAACTGGCTTGACAACTTGGGACCGTGTCAGTTGCAAGCCAACTGGAGTCGAGTCCTTTGGCGTCCCCCTTAAAAGCACAAAGCTGGGCGGGCCTATATGGATCAGCAGATGGGACCTTGCGGGTTTCTAAGCACCTAATTATCCTTGGTGCAAGCCAGAAGCCGTTGATTAGAACCCGTTGAACGGGCCCTCTGATTAGTTTCGAGAGGTTGCCCCGTCAAACACCCCAAAACAAGGCTCCCTGCTGCAGGGAATCCTCCAAATCAGCTGGCGGTTGGGTGATTTTCCACTGGCCAGGTGTATTTTGTGAGGGCTCCTGCAAAGGGCAATGAACTGCCCGCAGGGCGCTTGGGGCGGCTTTGGGCCAAGCTTCCTTTGATTTCTCTGCCCAATGAAAGAGGTGTTCAATGGGCGGGTTCTTTGCTTCTATGGTCGAAACATGGCGACCCCAAATTGGTGGTGGTCCTTCTGCGTTTGGCCGACCCAGAAAAGGTACTCCCAAACCACGAACACGCACACAAAAAAAGAGAAACAAGTAATTATGTTGCTTTGCTTCTCCCTCAGCCCCTCTCCCTCCCAAAAAAAAAGTGAGTGGTCACAAGGTTGTAGTCGAAACTCGGGAGGCGTGCACTGGTAGAACTGGTACAGCTCCTGCGTGACATATGGCCACTCCTTCAAACCCAGGCATCTGCCTGAAACAAAACTGGAGGACCCGGAGCTTCTGTCTTGGACCTCCACAGTTTACCTGCTGGTCCCAGTCCCAAAAACGACGCTTTCCACTTTCCCCAGCCTAAAAGTGGGGGAGAAGGGCCTTCTCAAGCACCCCGCCGGCCTGCACGCGGTCGCGGAGATGCTGGGCCTGACAGAACGCACATCCATCTAATGGCCCTTTGGGCCATCTGTGCGCTCCCGCCTTGCTTGCCGGTCCGGACAGCCCACCGGGTGTTTACATCAAGCTCAATAGACGACACCTGAAAAGCAAATGGTTTCTCTAGATTCATGTTCCTCTTGTCATGGGGCCTCCGCCCAGTTCCAGAGTGGAGACAGAGTGGTCTAGGGTTCAGGGTTCGGTTCCAAAAGTCTCCCAAGCGGTTGGCTCTGGACTGCGGACTCACAAGGGTCCGGTTCCCTGTGAGCCTTTGCTTTGCTTTCAAGGGAGTGGCTGGATGGTGCGGAGCCGTGAACCACCCGGGCAGTTGTTGCGTTCAGAGGATATCACTAAAACGTGTTACCATCGGATTCTGGCTTGCATGTCCAATTCTGGCGTTAAATGTCTCGAATGATGGTGGATTTGAGAAGTCACCAGAGTAATTGACGCAGCCAAGCCCCATTGCACTTCCCAGTTGTGTGGTCGCAAAATCGAAAACCCGAACAAATGAGTGGCTTCCCTCTGAACTCGTTGCCATCCCGAAAATCTCATCAATTCCTACACCGACGGGGTCGAAGAGAAGCAAGCCCGGATATGGGTGATCCACTTGCATCTTGCCCTCGTCTGCTTTTACCCACGGAGTTAACCTACAAAAGGGCCTCCCTCATTGACTCATCGGACCCCTTCCCTCTGCATAGGGGAGGGTCCCCTAGCCCGGGCTCAGCGCATCCGGGCGCGAAACGCCTCGAACTGCGGGTGGATGGCGAGCTTCAGCGGCGTGGCAAGGCGCAGCTCCGCCGAGAGCGTCATGGCCGCCAAGACAATCTCCTCCTTTGGCACGTGGCGCCTGGCGCAAAGTGAGCGAGCCGCGACCTGTCGGAACCGACGCCAACGTGAAGCGCGCCGGGGTTCCGGGCGGAACACGGGTGGAGGCTCCAGTGAAACCCAACAACTGCAGGAAGCAAAAGGAGAGGGGGTCCAAGTCTGGATGCCAAGTGGTGGGGGAGGGGGGGGGAAGCAACCTGTTGTCTTCCCGGGGTGAAACAAACAATCACATATCACATGCCCAACATATTGCAAGTAGGGAACCCATATAAAAACTTGTAAATGCTAATGGTTTCTGGCTGGCTTGTTTCGCAACATTAAGGGCATCCATCGTGCCTGCCACCCACACGTCCGGGTCAAACGGCGCCAAGCTCCGGCTGGCGCGTTTCGCTTCTCTTGGCCGAGGGGCGTCATCCAGTTGAAGAACTCTCCGCGGTCGCCGTCCGGCCAGGCCTTGTCTGCATGGATGCCTCAGCTCGGCCCACCAAAAGACATCGGAAGACCTGATGTGGGCATATGGCCATGGGTCACAAGCCCTTACCCCCAGTGAACATCCCAATCCTCACTGAAATAGACCAGAATGGGTAGTGCACCTACCCCAAAATGGTACCATTGGTTTTGACCCACAGCCACATGTCCAACGCAACCCATGTGTGTCCAAAACGGGTGGATTGGATGTTCCCCGTTTGATTTGCTCAAAGGATCATCATTTCACTGCGTTCTTGTTTCAAGGATTTGTTCTCGCCTGCGGTGCGCAAATGCAAGCTGACAAAACCTGTGTCAGAAGGCGCTGGGTCCAAAATCAAAAGCACTGAGCTTCTCAAGGTGGTTGTGCAGTTCATGTGTGTATCCCCTTCACGCACCAGTCACGGGGGGGGGGGGTGTGGGGCGGGTGTCCCATCTTCATCCACCATGGTCCCCCACGTCCATCGCCATAGAAAGGGACCCGAGAACTCCTCAAGCGCAGTTTGGCCCAAAGCAAAGACCACAAAAATGATCTGGGAAAGCAGCCCCCTTTCAGACCCGGCCGTGTGCAATCGACAGGTTGCAAATCAAACAGCCGGCGCGCTGCAAACAGTTGGGATGCATCGTTTTTGTGAAAAACTGGACTGACCCCATGCCCCAAGTCCGGACCCTCAGCCCCAAGCCCAGCGGAGCTAGCGGCTGGCGTGGCGGTTTTCGATGAAGGGCAGCTTGCTGCAGAGGAAGGCCAACCGCCCCAGCTGCGCCCCGGCCGCCAAGAGAATCACCGCCAGCCTGGCTGGGCCCCCGACTTCCTTTGCATAAAGTCTCTAGATTTTGGTGTGGATGTGGCGAATCTGATCCATTACCAAAAAGATTGCTTGATTGGCACGGACGATCGGCCTGGCCGGAAGTCTGAACTTCTGGTTTGGTGAATTGTTCCGCAAAAACCGCCAAAGACCTGGAAAACTGACCGGCTCAATCCCAAGGTCCACATCCAGGGAGATGTCCGTGGTACTTTTTCGCGGGCACTGGCATAGACTTGGCATCCCTTAGGTTCTTTTGAGCCCTCGGCGCATCTCCATTCTGCATGTTCAAACAGCTAGCCTCCATGGCTTATTTGAACATTAAGGGGGAGCCAGGTAGGGAGAATTCCTGTCGAATCTTGCAAATGGATTGCTTCGTAGGTGGCTTCGTCCTGGTCCCCACGGGTTCGCGCCGCGCCTCAGCCAGCGGCCTCCGCTGTCAAGGCCCAGCAGCACTTGCAGCTGCCGTGGGGAGCTGGCACTGCAGGCCAAAAGCAGCAGGAACGGAGCCCCGATGCCTCGCACGATTGCAAAGCCCCCTTGGCCTCGCACGATTGCAGACGTCTATCACCGGGTCAGAAAAGTACTCAATCGATGGGGTGACAGGAGTGTTCAATGGGCGCGTCTTTTTGAAGGCTTCAGGGAAATGAAGAGAAACATGAAATATGAAGCTCCAAAGCTCTGCGACGCAACAACGCGGAGCCAGAGAGGCACGTAGGGCAGCCTGACATTTGCTAGGACCCGCATCACTTTCAATCTTCGGACGCCAAGCTTCAAGCAGATAAATGTCCAGCATATGTCTAGCTTAGTTCCTGCCGATGTCTAGCACGGTCCTAGTCTGGCAAATGCTCGTTGCCGTGCCTAGGTCATGATGTGCTTAGTTGAGTGGCATTGGCTGGCATATCATCTCAACTAGTGGACGTTTGGTACTTCGACGCTGCTGCTTCGGCGGCAGCGCCGCAGGCATCCAAAGAATGTTGACTGGCATTGCTTTGGCCGCATCTTTGCTGCCTCGGATCCAGGCAGGCGAATAGTGCTGGTGATGCATTGGTCACCAACTCTACTGGTTTTTCTGCTAAGGCGTACTGTCAGTCGCCATGTCCGGCCGCGGCGTCATGTCCTGCAGCATAACTGCATGCAGACCGGGATGATCTGCAAAACCCCGCACTTTTAGATGACGCTTGCATATGGGCCGAAAATTAATTTGGGTTATTTTGCAGCACTTTCTCACGAAATGTGCGTATTTTACACTATCCCGTCAACATCATCAGCATCGTTTTCAACATCCCCTGCATGTCCAGCCAACATCCCCGGCATCACCAGCAAAACGATTTATGGCTTCCTACATCCTCATCCTCAGCATCATCAGTTCCTCTGGTAACAGTCAGGATTCAAATAGGGGTGCAACTCAAATATCAAAAAAATAGCGGGGGAGTTTGGGGGGGACGGACGGCACTCCCATGATGATCACAAAAGTGATGATTCAATTAGGGGTACATTTAATCTCTGCCAAAAGTCTAAAAAGTGGCGGGGGCGGCAGCCACCCAAATGTTCGAAAAAGCGATGATTCAATTTGGGGTGCCTTTTAGTCGAAAAAGTGATGATTCAAACAGGGGTGCATTTGAATCTCTGCATAAAAATCAAAAGTGGGAGGGGGGGCTGCCCCCCTAATGATGTTCGAACAAGTGCACGCGTGCAAACTTACATACATAGATTATACCTACATACTTACATACCTACATGTCTATATACCTACGTACATACATAACCCCCCCATGATGATCGAAAAGTGATACTTCAATTAGGGGTACCTTTTAATCTGCGCAAGCAAATCCAGAAAGTTGGGTGGCGGGGGTGGCGGCGGGGTGCGCCCAAAAAAAATGCAAAGGATGCGAAAAGCCAAAGCCAGAAAAGCCACCAACGCCCCAAAAGCCACATAAACCTATGAAAAAGCAACAAAAGCCAAAAAGCAAAAAAGCCACCCACCCTGAAGAGAACAAAAAGAACTAAAAAATGGCCCTCCTTTTGACGCTTGGTGCTGCATGCGCAGCTGATGCTGCATCACCAGCATCATTTGGATGCCTTGTGCAGCAATGCCAGTCTGCATCACCAGCAGCATTTGGACGCCGGGTGCTGTGGACGCCTTGTGCTGCAACGCAATGCCAGTCTGCATCAACAGCATCATTTGGAAGCTGGGTGCTGCTGAGGCAGCAATGCCCATCTGCATCACCAGCATTATTTGGACGTCTCGTGCTGCAAACGGCTGAGGCAGCAATGCTAGTCTGCATCACCAGCTTCGTTTGGAAGCTGGGTGCTGCTGAGGGAGCAATGCCCATCTGCATCACCAGCATTACGTCTCGTGCTGCAAGCGCGGCTGAGGCAGCAATGCCAGTCTGCATCACCAGCAGCAAGGGCTGCAGGGAGCACGGCCCGTCTGCATCACCAGCATTATTTGAACGTCTCGCGCTGCAAGCGTGGCTGGGGCAGCAATGCGAGCCTGCATCACCAGCATCATTTGGACGCTGGGTGCTGCAAGAGCGGCTGAGGGAGCAATGCACGTCTGCATCACTCGCATCATTTGGACGCCTCGTGCTGCAAGCGTGGCTGATACAGCAATGCCAGTCTGCATCACCAGCGTCACTTGGACGATGCATGCGGTGGCAGCAATGCCAGTCTGCATCCCCAGCAATGCCATTTTGCATCACCAGCATTCTTTGGATGCATGTTGATGCAAGCACAGCCCAAAATAGCAGTGCCACCTGTCACTTTCAGTATTCCCTGCCACTGCAAGCACAGCTGAAGCAGCAAGGCCAGTCTTCGCATCACCAACATTACTTGGACACCTTCTGCCAGCACTATTTCATGCCTGCTCATTTTGACTACTCGGATGGCCAGAGCACATGCAATGCCGACTCGCATCACCGGCATCATGCGGACTCCTGGTGTGCAAGCGTGCAAGCGAATGAAGCAGCGATGCCAGCATTATTTGGATGCCTGTTGATGCAAGCGCGGCCCAAAGCAGCGCTGCCTACCCGCATGGTCTTTATTAGCTGACGCGCCGGCTCGCACCATCCGGACGCCTCAGTCGGCATCTGCAGCATTACTCGGACGTCTGCTGGCGCAGGCGCAGCTAAAGCAGCAACGCCTTCATCACCAGCATGCTGTGCACGCCTGCTGCTGAAGCTGCTGTGCCAACACGAATAAATCACGAAAGGGAGGCGCCATACACGAAGAAACATGTTTTGTCTTCAAATGCGGCATTGCCTTCAGCCTTCCTTTTCGGTCCATTCTGTTATGGCTGTGCCGTTGCCCACGCCGTCACAGTGGACCTGCTCTGCAATCAACTCATTTCGAGGCTCAAGTATTTGCAATCCAAGGCCTCAGACCGACTACCAAGCACCAAGCAAAGAGTGACAGGCATTCGCACCGCAGAGCATCCAAACATAAGATTATTCAATTCCGGCATCCCTATTTTCAGGATGCACTCCCAAAAAGAATCAGCGTGAAGCCCATAAACGCCCCCCCCCCAAGAGATGCTGCGCAGCGGAGTATCATAGGAGATGACTGCACTACATACATGATTGTCCGGTCATGAGGTAGTTTGGTTTACAGCACTCCACGACCCATTCGAATCATGTGGGCCCTCGGGGCTTCTCAAAAAAGGCGGACCCAAGAAAGGAAACGAGCCATTTCAGTTTCGGAGCTACATGTAGGAGCCTTGCAAAAACACATCAATCTTCACAACCCTTTCTATGGCCTTGCAAGAAAAAGACTTGCGGTTTCTTTGCAGTTCAAAAATGAACTGGGAAAAACAACTTGATCCAACGGCGAAACTTGCGTTTATTGCAGCCCACTAAAAATGAGAACAAAGAAAGAAACTGCTTCCAAGAACCGCGAAGGTTTTGGCGATGCTCCACTTTCTCGCACGACGCTTGGTCCAAGTGGCACTTCAGACGGCTGATGAAGGCTCCGAGCACCAGAAACAGCGCCGTCTGCACCAGCAGCACACAACAGGCGAAGGCATAGGCGTAGTCTGGGACGGGAAAATTCCCCCCCCCCCCCCCGCCAATGGTTCAGCTGAAACAAATGCGGCATGATGTGGGGGCCCGAAATATCGCTTGTGGATTTGAGGTGAGCTTTGCGGAAAGCCATGCATATTTGTTGGTTTCAACCTGGAACCAGGGAAGCCAAGGACATCATCATACAAAGGAGTTTCCTACCTTTAGGGAAAAACACATGTCCTGGATGTCCTCAGATCCCGGAAGCAACAAAGGAGGCCCTTGTTTCAGGGTTATTGGGAGCTGTTCGAACCATTGGACCATCCCAGAAAGTAAACAAAGCCTTCAAATGCCAACAGGGACAGGCAGCGCATTCATTCCCAATCAGCCACTTGCAGTCATAGGTGTGGACAAAATGTTGGACAACTCAAACCTCAGAGCCCGGAAAGCCAGTCTCTGCTTCGTTTTCCCAGAAACCGTGACTGCGTGTCTGCCTGCCAAAAAATGTGTCTGAAGGCTTGCTTCTACTGGACCCTCTCCATTTCAGGGGTCACGAACCAAATGTCTAAGAGAACTGGACCCGAAGGACGTGGTAACAGCTCTTGATGAGCCACCCTTGGGACTCTCAACTGCAACCAGCAGTTGGCACAATGGGTATGAACTTGAAGCGGGAATGGATGTCCGCCGGCCATTTTGTAGGGTGTCCTCTGTTAAATCCATAGCCGAACAGCCCAGGATCCTGGATTGGGATGAGGGATATGCCGCGCTTGAACCACAAATCACTCCCAAGCTGAAAGTAGGAGAGTCCTTGAAGACCATTCGCCCCCATTTGCCGGCAACACCCCTGCCAATGGACAAAGGACCAAATTGGGGGGGAGGGGGGGTGCAGTGGACACTCCTGCGCCATTTTACGGCAACATTCCCGTGTAAAGAGCGAAGCCGCGACTACGGCGGGCCCTGCGGGCGCGGCGGGCGCGGCGCGGGCGGGCGCGGCGGGCGCGCGGCGCGGGGCGGGCGCGCGGGCGCGGCGGGCGCGGCGGGCGCGGGACGGCGGGCGCGGGCCGATGTGCGCGGCGGGCGTGGGCGGCGCGGCCATGTGGGTGCGGCAGCGCGGGCGCGCGGCGAGAAATGCGGCACGGCGGCCGGTGGCGTGGGCCCGATCGCGGCGGGCGCGGTGAGCGGCGGTGCGCGCAAGCGCGGCGGGACGGCGGCGCGGCGGGCGTCGCGGGCGCGGTGGGCGCGGTGGGCGCGGCGGGCGCGGCGGGCGGGCGGGCGGCGGGGGCGGGCGGGCGCGGCGCGCGCGGCGCGGCGGGGCGCGTGCGGGCGGACGCGGCACGGCACGGTGGCGCGGGCGCGCAGGCGCGGGGCGCTGGGCGCGGTGGGTGCGGAGGCGCGGCGGGTGGCGGTGTGCGGGCAGCGGGGCGCGGGCGGCACGGGGCGCGGCGCCCGGGGCGTGGCGGGGTGGGCGCGCGGAGCGGGCGGTCGGGGCGGGGGGGGCGGTCGGTGCGTGTGGGCGCGGCGGGTGGGGTGCGGCGGCGACGGGCGCGGCGGGCGGGTGGTGGCGCGGCGGCGCGGCGCGCGCAGCGGGCGCGGCCGTGCGAGCGCGGCAGCGCGGCGGGCCGGCGGGCGCGGCGGGCGCTGTGGGTGCGTGCGCGGTGGGCGCGAGGTGGCCGCGGCGAGCGGCGCGGGCGCGTGCGCGGGCGGGGGCGCGGACGTGGGGCGGCGGGCGGACGGGGGGCGCGCGGCGCGGGGCGGGCGACGGCGGCGAGCGCGGCGGCGCGGTGCGCGGCGCGGCGGGCGCGGCGGCGCGGCGAGCGCGGGCTGGGCGCGGGCGTGGGCGTAGCGCCGGGCGCGGCGGGCGCGGCGGGGCGCGGCGGGCGCGGGGTGCGGCGAGCGCTGCGGGCGCGGTGGGCGCGCGGACGCGGCGCGGGCGGGGCGCGCGCGGGCGTGGGGCACGGGCCCGGTGGGTGCGGCAGCGTGCGGGCGCGCGTGGCGCCGCGGGCGCGGCGGGGCGCGGCGGGCGTGGCGGGCGGGCGTGGCGGGCGGGGGGGCCGGGCGCGGCGGGCGGGGGGCCGGTGGCGGCGGGCGCGGCGGGCGATGGGCGGGCGCGCCGGGCGCGCGCGGCGGCGCGGCGAGCGCAGCGGGGGCGCGCCGGCCCATCGCCGCCGCGGCGCGGCGGGCGTGGGCGCGGGTGCGCGGCCGCGGCTCGCGGCGGGCAAGCGCGGCGGGCACTGGCGCGAGAGCACGGCGGGCGCGGCGGGCGCGCGGTGCGCGGCGGGCGCGGCGCGCGGGAGCGCGCGCGGCGTCGGCGCGGCGGGCGGGCGGCGGCGGGGCGCGCGGCGCGGCGCGGGCGCGGGGGGCGCGGCGGTGCGGCGGCGCGGGCGCGGAGGGCGCGGGGGGTGGGGCGGCGTGGGACGCGGCGGGCGCGGCGGGCGCGGCTGGGCGCGCGCGGGCGCGCGCGCGCGCGGCGAGCAGCGGGCGGGGCCGGCGGGGGGCGCGCGGAAGGCGCGCGAGCGGGCTGCAGGGGCGCGGCGCGGGGGGGGCGCGTGAGCGCGCGAGCGCGGCGAGCGCGGCGGGCGCGGCGGGTGAGGCGGCGCAGCGGGCGAGCGCGGCTGGCGCGGCGCGAGCGGGTGGGCGCGGATGTGCGTGGCGGCGGCGGTCCAGGCGCGGGCCCGGGCGCGGGCGGGCGTGGGAGGCGGGCGCGGGCGGGCGCGGCCGGGCACGGCGCAGGCGCGTGGCGTGAGCGCGGCGAGGCGGCGGGCGCGCGGAGCGCGGCGGGTGCGGCGCGGCGCTGCGGGCGGCGCGGGCCGGGCGCGGGCGCGGGTGGGCGCGGCGACGCGGCGCGGGCGCGATGTGCGCGGCGGGCGTGGGGCGCGACCCGGTGGTGCGGCAGGCGCGGGCGCGGTGGGCGACGCGGGCGCGGCGGGGCGCGGCGAGCGCGCGCGGCGGGGGGCGGGGGGCCGGGCGGCGGCGGGCGCGGGCGAGGCGCCGCGGCGAGGCGGCGCGCGCGCCGCGCGGGCGCGGCGGGCGCGGCGGCGCGGCGCGGGCGCGGGGCGGGGCGCGGCGGGCGCGGCGGGGCGGGGGCTGCGGGCGCGCGCGCGGCGGGCGCGGGCGCGGCGGCGCGTGCGGGCCCGGGCGGCGGGGCGCTGGCGGGCGCGGGCGGGCGCGGCGGGCGCGGCGGGGCGTGGCGGGCGCGGGGCGCGCGCGAGCGCGGCGGGCGCGGCGGGCACGGCGGGTGCGACCGGGCGGCGGGCCCGGGGGGCCCGGTGGGGGGCGGCGGAGGCGGGCGGGCGCGGCTGGCGGGCTGGCGCGCGCGTGCGGCGCGAGCGGGCGCGGTTTTCGGCTGGCGGGGCGGGGCGCGGTGCGGCGGCGGTCACGGGCGCGGCGGGGCGCGGCGTTCGCGGGCACGATGGGCACGGCGGGCACGGCGGGCGCGTGCGCGGCGGGCGCGGGGGGCGGGCGCGGGAGCGCGGCGCGCTCGCGGGCGGGCGCGCGAGGCGGCGTAGCGGGCGCGGCGGGCGCGGCGAGCGCGGCGGGCACGGCGGGCGCGGCGGGCCTTCTCCTATTTGCCATACTGGCACTCTGCAGTCTTGTGCCCAGTGGCCAGGCTTGCCACATCGATGGCATGTTGTGTAGTTGTTGTTTCCTTTTCCTTTTGGTTTGCTATAGTTTCCTTGGCCTTTGTAGCCTTTGCTTGATCCATATCCTTTGGATCCTGAGTAGCCTTTTCCTTTGCTCTTGTTGTATCCTCCTTTGTTGTAGTTTCCTTTGCTGCCTTTGTCGAACACTTTGTAGTGGCCTTTGTTTCTGTACTTGCCTTTTCCTTTGTTTCCTTTGTAGGATCCTTTGCCTCCATATTTGCTTTTGCCTTTGTAGTTTCTTCCTTTCCTCCAAATGTTGTTCACGTCCATGGGTGCTGTTCCACCATTGTAGTTTGTGCCAACCGCTGAGCTCGCTCTTGAGAATGCAGATATGGTCTTGTAGTAGTCCAGGATGACAACTCTGATCTCGTTGTAGTTCGTGATCTGTCCAGCACGTAGTTGGAGATGTTGTTGAAGTGCTCCTTTGGTCTTGTTGAGTAGTAGTGCAATCTTCACTCCATCTGGTAGTGCTGTGCCGTTGTCTTTCTCGTAGCGGTTGATGTCATACTCCCACTGTAGGAATTGTTCTTCAAATTGTGCTTCATTGAATGTAGGTTCCAGTAGTTTGGTGAGGTAGCCAACACTGCGTGTTCCTACTGGTAGGCTGAACCTGTTGTGCAAAAGCCGTAATGTTTCGCATCCATTGGCATTGTAGCGGTTTTGTCTGACCACTGTAGCTGCTGCACCTTGGCAGATGTTGATGAGGATGTAGTGTAGATCTCGTGAGAGGTATACTGCTTTTGCTGCCTGTGTAGGGTCGCGTATGTGGGCTCTGATGTCTGCATCTTCAATTTGTCTTGTAGCTGCTTGTGCTAGTTGTAGTACCATGTCGAAGTCTCGGTCGATGAGTCCGAGATATGCTTGTAGTTTGCACAGCCACTCTTCGTACTGTGAGTAGTCACCAGTGAAGAACGGTGGTGGCAGTTTGTATTTGTGTAGCCTACGTCTTCCTGCTCCTGTGTTGTTCCCGTAGTTGTGGCTCCTATTGTCTCCTCTGCTGTGGGCCCGTTGTCTGCTCCTGTAGTTGGTTGTGCTGATGCTGCTGCTGGTTCTCCTGACATGTCGTAGTAGTTGGGCATGTGGTTGCCTGTGCAGTTGTATTACTTATTGCTGTTTCTGGAGCTCCCCCTATATGTTTAGAATCTCAGCTCCGCTACCACGTTAAAATACGTCGTTACTTTACTACAAGTGCATGTGTTGTTTATGCTGTCACAAACACAAATGTAGTTTCCCAGCATGCGCTCTTTTGCTTGTAGACTCAAGGCCTGCGGTCGAGTAGTGTACATCATGCATGTACAAGGGACAAGTAGTACAGCATGATATTTGACAGAAGAGAGAGAGAGAGAGAGAGAGAGAGAGAGAGAGAGAGAGAGAGAGAGAGAGAGACAGAGAGAGAGAGAGAGAGAGAGAGCAGGAGAGAGAGCAGGAGAGAGAGCAGGAGAGAGAGCAGGAGAGAGAGCAGGAGAGAGAGCAGGAGAGAGAGCAGGAGAGAGAGAGAGAGAGAGAGAGAGAGAGAGAGAGAGAGAGAGAGAGAGGGAGAGGAGGAGGGAGTGGGAGATAGAGAGAGAGGAAGATGAGAGATAAGAAGGAGAAGAGAAAGAGAGATGATAGTTAGATGATCGAGATAGAACGAATGAATAGAGAGATGGAATGAAAAAGAAGAAGCAAAGAACACAGAAATAAAAGAAAGAAAGAAAGAAGGAAAGGATGAGGGATAGGAAGAAAGGAAGAAAAGGAAGGAAGGAAAGGAAGGAAAGGAAGGAAGGAAGGAAGAGGCAAGAAAGAAAGAAGGAAATGAGAAAAACAAACAAAAGAGAAAGCAAAGAAAGATGGAAAGAACATAAGCCATTTAAGAATACGAAGAAAGAAAAAAAACATAATAAGAAAAGAAAAGATCAAGACACTATATGTTTGAAAAAATTCCCCCGGCTCTGCCGGCGGGTAAGTGGCTTCACCAGGGTCGGGGAGCGCTGCGTGTGCTGCACGGATGCACTCGCGCCGGCAGAAGGCACGTGCAGCACTTTCGCAAGGTAGGTAGGATAGCGAGGGCAACAAAATTCGCTTCACAGGCAGACAGCTTCACAGATAGGTAGCTTGACAGTAGACAGATGACAGACAGGTAGTTTTGCCATCGTTGCTGGCTGCACGCGCGGGGTCGGTGCTGCCGCCAGAGTCGGGGAGGCGCGGCGTAGCGGGGTGTGGGCTTCGCGCCGGCGGGGCAACACAGAGTTGTGAAGTGTTAGATCAGACGTTGGCTGGTGGACAGCGAAGGTCGGTGCTGCCACCCGTGGTCGGGGAAGTGGCGCGTGTATAGCGGGGTGCACTTCGCGCCGGCAGAAGGCACGCGCAGCATTTTCCCGAGGTCAGCGAGAGAAACAGTTAGCTTCAGAGACAGACAGCTTGACAGATAGATAACAAAACCAATAAATATCTGGACAGGTAGCTGGTAGCTTGACAGACAGACAGCTGAACAGACAGGCAGCTTCAGGCAGAGACTTCCACAGGTAGCTTGCTTGACAGATAGATGGCCCAACAGATGAGACAGCCTGATTAACAGATGATAGCGCAACAGAAATTCGGATACAAATGCGCAAGCGCAAGTGAAGTGGGACAAGCAAGCAGAAGGTTTCCATGACAATTTCAATGAGGCCCAGTGGGTTCGCCAAAGCAAAAGCAAGCGCCCCTATTGCCTAAGGCTCTGCCGGCTTTACTCGTATCATGATCTCGCACGATTGTTGCCAGGGGCTGGCGCTCAGCGATTGAGTGACTTGCGGTTTAGGTGCGGCTCAAGGAAGCACGCCTGGAGTCATGGAGGCGCAGGAGGACGCGCCGCTGCAAGCCTGGCTGCGCCTGTACTCGGCTCGCCGGCTGGCAGCGCTGGAAGACCCTCAGGTGCTGGCTCGCAGCTTTGCTGAGTTGGAGACAGCGCCGGCTTCGCAGGTGGGAGTCGTCCGAAAGGTCCTTGCATTCAGGAAATTAGGAAGGGGAAGACTTTTTTTGGTCGTATTACTGCCATCCGCGAAAGCTTCGCGAAAGTTGCCATTTTTCTTTCGAAAGTTTTGCCTATTTGCCTAAGGGCAGTTTGCTAAAAGGAAGATAATGATGAGCTATATGCATTTGCCGTCAGTTTGCGCAGAATGCGCAAAGCTAGTCGGAGGAAAGCGCGGCCAGAGGATTGCCGCCAAAAAATGCAGGAAACCCTCAGCGCCATGGGTGGCCAACGGGTTCCCTCCTGTGCTGCTGCACGGCTTTCGAGCTGGGGCTGCGGAAGTGCACTTCGCGTACTACTTTGGAACTGAAAAGTTGCGACTTTCGAGCTGGGGCGCCATAAATTTACTTTGTACAACTTTCGTTCTGAACAGTTGGCACTTCCAAGCCTCACTGCGGAATTGTACTCGTGATGAAGGCCGCGAAAGTTACTTTTTTGTTCCGCGAAGATTGCGTTTCCGGGGGAAGGAATATTTTCAGACAGCCGCCAGGCTCGCGTGCCGAACAGCACAGCTGCGCAGCCTCTTCCTTCTGGCGCCCTTGCCAGTAGCTCCAGAGGAGGGCTGCGCAACTTGGACGAGATCTTGGAGACATGGGCTCCTGCTGGCTGTGAGTGTGGTCCTCAAGCGAGCGTAAGCGAGCTGGCCTTCACCAAAGATGTTAGCTAGTGCGCCCCAGGACAATGGCAGAGGAAATGGATGCTTTTCGGGGACGTCAAGATTGACGAGGTCCATCGGCATGGAAAGGCAAAAGGCAAGGAGGACGACGTTATCTAAATGCATTGCGAGCCCTGCGCAGGTACCCTTATTGCTGCATGCACCCGCAAATGCCCCAGACTGCATGTGCGCAAGCTGAAACTGCTCCTACCAGCAAGATCTACCGCTCTTCTTCTTGCGACCCAGTACCGTTCCCACGCCGCAAGCTTCTTCGATTTCCTGAACGGCGCCTTTGAGCATCCTTCCACAACACCATTTCATCTTGCCACTTGGACTTCTTGCTCGGCGCGCTGAGAAGGGCTCAAGCGTATTACTTGGTCTTTGGCAAGCTAGAGGACCGCCAAGCGGCCAAGCCCTCCCTTCTTTTGAACAAAGGTGCAGGGGTACTTCCCTAAAATGCCTCTGTTTTGGTATGTCCCTCAAGGTTCCCCTTGTTGCTAAAGAAAAAAATATTGAATAAGGGGGCGGGGGGACACCTCTCTCCATTTGGGGACGAGCATAGGACCCGCCAGCGCGCAAGCTCGAGAATGCGATCTTTGAGGTGCGTGTCATACTGAGCACAGGCGAGGAGCAAACGCTCCTTGAGTGGCAGATGACTGATCTGCTTGGGCGTAAAGCTGAGATGAAGGCCAAGTTGTGGTTCTACGGCTTGAGTGAACTCTGTCGAGATCTTCGGCGCCAGTTTAGCGAGCACAACAAGAACATGGTGAAGAATTTCCACCGCTGGGCGGAGAGCAGCTACGACGCCTGCAAGCAGCCGGGTGTTGCGTTCCAGGATGCTTACATCTCCACGGCAGATGGTGACATCAAGCAGCTCCGAAAGGATCCGCGGCACGGGTGCTACGTGCAGGTCTCGCACCAAATCGTGTTCAGGCCATCAGACGTGAGTCGGCGCCGGCTGGCCTCTATGCTTCTGGCGTCTTTCTCTGGCGGTGATGGCTTGGAGAGGCTCCTTGCGCAGAGTGCTCTTGCTCTTTCCGGGATGCGCCAGCCGGACGTCATGAACGTCTTTTTTGGCGCAGGCATGGAAGGCAAGAGCCTGATCCTGGTCGATCTCATGGCAGCGTGCTGGGGAAGTGGATTTGGCAATCCTCCGGGCACTATGCTCCAAGTTGAGCGGGAGTTTCAGCAACAGGGGCTGAAATACTTGCATTGCGCCATGCTGACATTTGACGAGTGCCGTCGAGACCAGGGTATTGTTGAGGACGTTGTGAAGTTGTTCATTGGCAACGGCATCTTGCCTCTGCGGCGGAACCATGAGGCTGAAACCAAGGATGGCTCCTATGCCTACTGCGGCAAGAACTGGTGCATGAACTTGGGCGATGTGCCTGCCATTCCAACGGCATTGGAGAGGTCGCATTCCCGCCGGTTTCGAGGCGTCTTCATGCGCGCCAACATGACAACGCAGGTGGAGTTTGTGGATGTAGCCTCCAAGAAGTTCTTGGCCGACGAAGACGCAAAGGGCTTCATGTCTTCAGGCGATGCTGTCTGGTCCTTCTTCCAAGACTTCTTGTTCAAGTACATGCGGCAGAGTGGCCCACGCCAGTGGTACAGGGTTCTCGACTACGTCAAGCCGGGTTCGCAGACGGAGAAGGACACTGCTTGGCTCTTGCAGAAGATGGCCCGCGTGACCACCGCAGCACATCCTGACGCGCCTGGTGATGCTCCAGCGCCTCTTGGGGCCGGCCTGGAAGAGCGAGCTGAGTCTCGCGCCGTCCGGATAGTGCAGGAAACGCACGCCGCCTTGACCTCTTCTGCGCTGACAGCCCACTCGGTGAACAGATGCAGCCACGTGCAGGCCAACCCCGGCGGAGATGGCAGCAAGTCATCGAAGCACAGAAGCCGTGCAGAGTTCCTACAGGATGCAATTGCGGAGTTTCCCTATCTGCTACGACGGGCCCCAGAAGATCGCAGAGGCAGTGTGAAGTTTCTTCGCCGGCCCGTGGATGTAGGGAAGATGATGGCTGTTCTGGAAGAGGCAGGTTGTTGCGCGGGGGTGTTGATTCGGAAGGGCATCGTGAGTGTTGGCGCTTAATGGCTTCATGTGTCTCGCAGACTGATCATTGACCCGAGGTGTCTGACTGCGACATGGCAGGCGTCTTCGGCACCTGGAAAGATTGGACCTGGCCTTCGGAGCTTACCGGGGAGCGTGCGGGGGACGAGGTGAATGAGTGCGAGGAGCATGGTTTTGCAGATGGCCCGCACTGGGACTTTATGTTCCGAGTGGATGTGGAGTCGTTCGAGAAGTATGTTGCTGAAGGCAAAGACTCTCGACCACAGCAGGTGGCAGAGTACATGCGGCTTATTTCCAGCCATGTTGAGAGAGATGAGTGTGGCATGTTCATGCGCCACCGTGGAGTGCAGAAAGTTGTGGCTGGGCAGCCCTTAGGCCGTTACCCTCCAAATTTGTCTAGAGCTGCTCGCGCTGCCTTGTTCCCAGCTGGGAGCTATGAGTTTGACCAGCCCACAGCAGTTGTGCGCTTCATGCTTGAAAGAGCTGAAGAGTTGGGTGTTTGCGCTTGCCTGCTTGAGAAGTACAAGACGCACAAGGCACAGTGGCGTGAGGCCGTCCAGCGCTACTTTGACTTGCCCAGCCTTGCAGATGCCAAAACACTTCTTCAGAAGGCTACGTTTGGGTTTGCGCACCCTCTCGATGGCAAGGATGCCTTGGGAGTGTTGCCAATCCTAGAAGGTCTTGCGTATGAAAGCTTCACACTCCGAAAGGCTTTGTGTCAACAGAACGCAGCTGTTCTTGAGGCTGCCGTAGCGGACGGCAAGAGGAGACCAGAAACCAGCACCATGGCCATGCTGCTTTTTGATGACGAAGCCAAGGTGACTCGCGACTTCTGTAATTGTCTCCAAGCTTTCAAGTGGCTGCCTGCAGCGCCAGTGTATGATGCAGTGGCCGCAGCACCGCTGGCAGGGGGCGAGGCAATTTCTGCCATTGTGGAAAGCTTCGCTGCGCAGTCAAATGTTCGCATGGAGGTGACAGAGCTGCGCATGGCGGGGCGACAGCCACAGGCAGGCACTTTGTCACAGGTTCTGGAAAGCCTGCAGAACGACGGTGCTGAGCGGCTGGAAGACTGCATGGTCGTAGCGGGCGCTCAGAAGTGCTTGGCTTTCTCGCTGGCGAACATCTTTCGCGCTGAGGATGAGACTTTGGCTGCCAGCTTCGGGTGTGGAGATGGACCGCTTAGCTTCAGACAGTGCATGGAACTACACCCAGGGCTGAGCCTGGAGCCTGTCAGCGTTGCTTCTGCTGCAGCTGGTGATGGCAGCCACTACATCGTGCACGAGACCCGGCCAGGGCGGGAGGTGGGCCATGCCATCGGCGTGCTCTGTTACGCTGGCAAGTGCAGGGTGCACAGTGACTCCGTTATGCAGGCAGTGGAAATTGACGCCGCCACTTTCTGGCGTTCCGTGGCAGCCTTGCCACGCGCTCACGTCTTCGAAGCCAAGTTGTTGTCGGCCTCACTTTCGCTTCGCAAGCGCAAGCTGGCGAACCCTCTGCTGGACATGCTTAGCGGGGCTGAAGCGCCCGACGTTGCCGAGCAAGTGTTGGACACAGTGGCTGAGAAGGTGAGGGCGGAGGTTTCTGCTGAAATCAAGCGTCTAGATGAGTTGGCGCAGGAGGGACGGCGCAACTCACCCAGCATGTGGGCACATTTTGTTGTTTTTTGTTTGGTGCGGGGCCTCTCAAGAAGGACAAACAAGTTTAACAAGTTGCGAGCCGTGTTTTTTTTTGAGCCCGCTGCTTCCTCAGGCAACGCGCGTGGGTCAACTGCGAAGTGCCCCTTCTGTCCTTTTCGGCAATTTTCGGAAAGGCGTCAACTCCAGACGCATCTTACGAAGTACCACGTCCAGACACGATTGTTCACTGCCAACACCAGAACCGAGGCTCAGTGGAACACGGTGCAAGCTCTGTATGAGCAGGACCAGATTTTGGCCCCCTTGCAGCAGCCGAGGCACTCTGAAAGCTTGCTGAGGGACTCTGCAGATCTTATCCGGAAATGGGTGAGTCCGGACGAAGACTCGCAGGTCTTCCTTCAAAAGCAGAATGATGTGGATTTGGTGCTCCTGCTCACGGGCGAGGGCCCACGGTATGTCCTGAAGCAGCAAACCTCTCATTGCAAACGCCTCAACCAAAACGTGTACTACGACAGCACCGCTGCAGCCATGTTGCTTGGGTTGGTTCTGAAGCATCAAGGCCGGGTGCAGGCGAGCTTTCAGGATTTGGTTTCTGCCTTCATCGCCAAAGGCATTGAGAGGGCAGCTTCTCGCGGAGGCCACCCAGCACGGAGAATGGCAAGTCCTCAGCCATGATGCCACGTTCAAGAGCTTGTTTAGCATCATTGGTCAAGTTCCAATGTCACAGAAGCCAAACGAAGCACATGCTTTACACAGCATCCTGGGGAAGTCAGGGGCTCTTCCGGGCTTGAGCGCGCAGGCATCAGAGGGCTTGGCGTGCTTTGAGCGCGCGTGCAAGGCAATTTTGCCACCGGAAGCCCGTTCCACAACAGAGTGGATTTTCAGTGACTCTCCTGCTGCCATTGACCATGTCAGGGAGCTCTTCCCAAACCTACAAGGCATGGCAGAGGACGGTCTGCATCTTGCCCTGCGGGTGGAGGCGTGCTTCGGCGAGAAGCGCACAGCCCTCTCACGTGAGATCATTGCCTTGCAGCGCAAGTTCATGGTGCCTGCCAGCGGTCGCATTCACAGAGGTGAGCTTCCTGCCGCTGGAGAAGAAGGAAAGTGGCCAGCAAAGGCGGACAACATGAAGGCTCGAGGCAGAGAGTGGAACGCATACGTGCAGGAGCCCTATGCGTCACACCAGGACTACATTGATGACTTGGCAAGCTTGACCGTCCGCTTCGCCACTGACATGGGTCGAAAAGATAGCAAGGGCAGGACAGTGCTTCAGATTCTTCAGTCTGGAGCAGCCTACCAGCACTACGCCTACCTACTCAACGGAAGCCGAGCCACTGCAGCGCTGAGCCTGCAAGATCGGCAGATGCTATCGTGGGGCACGACTGCTAACGAAGCTGTGCACTTCCAGTTCAACCGCTCCCAGCAAACAGTCACCCAACAGCATGTGGACTCCTCGACATTGAAGCTGGAGGCGTGCTTGGGCAAAATGCTGGCGCACAACTCGGCATCGTACCACCCCACAGTCGCTCAAAGGAGCCAGGCCGAGCTGATCAGCTCTATGCTGGGGTATATCATGAGCGGAGAGTTTGCTGGCGCAGCGGGGGTGGCGATGGCGCCGGTGACTTCACGTCAGGAGCTGAGGCGACCCGTGCACTTTCTGGACAAGGCGAAGGTGGCAAGGATGAGGGCCTTTGCAACCACTCGCAAGTCTGCCTGGGTGAAGGAGGCTGCCAGGCGAGAGGAGATGGCGCGGAAGCGCGGGTGCGAGAGGGCTCAGCAGAAAGTGAAGCGCACTGTCTTCACCAAGCAGAAGCAGAGGAAGCTGCGGCAGCGCCGCAAGCCCGCCCAGACCCAAGAGGTGAGCTTGCGCGGGCTACATGTTCAGTGGCCCTTCTCCCAGCTGCTGTTGGCGGGCTACAAGACACAGGAGGTGCGGGGCTATGCCTTGGGCCACCTCAACATCGCGCATGCGAATGAGGAGATGTGGCTGGTGGAAACGCGCGGAGGTGCATCCACGGCGAGCTACTCTGCTTGCATCCCGGAGGGCTTTCACGTCCCTCCCCGACCAAAAGGGGCGCAGATTGTGGGCACGATCCGGTTCAGCGAGGCGGTAAAACTCACCGATGGGATTTCCTTTGCTGCGGCAAGGGCAGCTCACTGCGTTCGCCAGGGCAGCAAGTTTGACTGGTGCGGCACGCCAGTCTTTGCTTGGAAAGTGGCGGCCGTCAGATCTCTTGCCTACACAGTAGCCGCCCCAGAAGGAAGAAGCCAAGTAGGATACGCCAAGCCTGTGAAAGTGCAGGTGGCGTTCAGGTGAAGCTGTGACTGAGTTGGTATCAAGCGAAAATTGCACATGTCTGGCGGCCGCTTTCGAGATATTAAAGGGTTGTTACTGGTTGTTGGGCAGCACGCGTGGGATCTATTTTGCGGAAGCAGTGCAGAAGTTGTCAGGGCTGCGTTTGGAACGTGATATTCTTGATGCCACTTCGTTAAAGCAATGCGGAAGGGCGACTGGCGCACGCATTTGGCAGCAGCAGGCTCAGCAACCTCTAGAGCTCTGCCTGCGCAGAGAATCAGCTGTCTTTTTACGGATGGCGGTTGCAAGGCCTGCCTTGGCCCCAAACAAGTTTTGCCAGCTATCTTTGAGAATTTGACCTACGATCAGACCAGTTCGCAGGCTCACGATGTTGTTTAGCGTTATTTTCCTACGCAAGAGCTAATCGGTTGGAGTTCGGTTGGGGGCTCGCGACTGCCAGAATGTGTTCAAGAAACATGACGGCACCTACACATGACCAGCGTTCTTGTCATGAGCGCGCCCGCTGTTCACTTGGCCTTAGCTTCTATTTCACCTACGACGGCCTCGGCGCTGACCAGTGATCATGTTTACGCCGCGACTCACTCTCACTTGCACCCTCGGCTTGCAATTATGCGTTGTCGCGATGAACTGTTTGGGCTCGCCTTCTGTGCAACTACGCTGACTACGTAGGCAGAAGCAACTTTCTATTCAGCTTAACAACTGCGCCGCAGGTTTAGCAGCTACACAAGTAGCAACCCTTACTTATTTCGAACAACTGGACTATTGGACGGCCCTCACATGTCAAGCCAGGAGCGGCCGCCAGACATGCGCAATTTTCGCTTGATACCAACTCAGTCACAGCTTCACCTGAACGCCACCTGCACTTTCACAGGCTTGGCGTATCCTACTTGGCTTCTTCCTTCTGGGGCGGCTACTGTGTAGGCAAGAGATCTGACGGCCGCCACTTTCCAAGCAAAGACTGGCGTGCCGCACCAGTCAAACTTGCTGCCCTGGCGAACGCAGTGAGCTGCCCTTGCCGCAGCAAAGGAAATCCCATCGATGAGTTTTACCGCCTCGCTGAACCGGATCGTGCCCACAATCTGCGCCCCTTTTGGTCGGGGAGGGACGTGAAAGCCCTCCGGGATGCAAGCAGAGTAGCTCGCCGTGGATGCACCTCCGCGCGTTTCCACCAGCCACATCTCCTCATTCGCATGCGCGATGTTGAGGTGGCCCAAGGCATAGCCCCGCACCTCCTGTGTCTTGTAGCCCGCCAACAGCAGCTGGGAGAAGGGCCACTGAACATGTAGCCCGCGCAAGCTCACCTCTTGGGTCTGGGCGGGCTTGCGGCGCTGCCGCAGCTTCCTCTGCTTCTGCTTGGTGAAGACAGTGCGCTTCACTTTCTGCTGAGCCCTCTCGCACCCGCGCTTCCGCGCCATCTCCTCTCGCCTGGCAGCCTCCTTCACCCAGGCAGACTTGCGAGTGGTTGCAAAGGCCCTCATCCTTGCCACCTTCGCCTTGTCCAGAAAGTGCACGGGTCGCCTCAGCTCCTGACGTGAAGTCACCGGCGCCATCGCCACCCCCGCTGCGCCAGCAAACTCTCCGCTCATGATATACCCCACCATAGAGCTGATCAGCTCGGCCTGGCTCCTTTGAGCGACTGTGGGGTGGTACGATGCCGAGTTGTGCGCCAGCATTTTGCCCAAGCACCGCCTCCAGCTTCAATGTCGAGGAGTCCACATGCTGTTGGGTGACTGTTTGCTGGGAGCGGTTGAACTGGAAGTGCACAGCTTCGTTAGCAGTCGTGCCCCACGATAGCATCTGCCGATCTTGCAGGCTCAGCGCTGCAGTGGCTCGGCTTCCGTTGAGTAGGTAGGCGTAGTGCTGGTAGGCTGCTCCAGACTGAAGAATCTGAAACACTGTCCTGCCCTTGCTATCTTTTCGACCCATGTCAGTGGCGAAGCGGACGGTCACGCTTGCCAAGTCATCAATGTAGTCCTGGTGTGACGCATAGGGCTCCTGCACGTATGCGTTCCACTCTCTGCCTCGAGCCTTCATGTTGTCCGCCTTTGCTGGCCACTTTCCTTCTTCTCCAGCGGCAGGAAGCTCACCTCTGTGAATGCGACCGCTGGCAGGCACCATGAACTTGCGCTGCAAGGCAATGATCTCACGTGAGAGGGCTGTGCGCTTCTCGCCGAAGCACGCCTCCACCCGCAGGGCAAGATGCAGACCGTCCTCTGCCATGCCTTGTAGGTTTGGGAAGAGCTCCCTGACATGGTCAATGGCAGCAGGAGAGTCACTGAAAATCCACTCTGTTGTGGCACGGGCTTCCGGTGGCAAAATTGCCTTGCACGCGCGCTCAAAGCACGCCAAGCCCTCTGATGCCTGCGCGCTCAAGCCCGGAAGAGCCCCTGACTTCCCCAGGATGCTGTGTAAAGCATGTGCTTCGTTTGGCTTCTGTGACATTGGAACTTGACCAATGATGCTAAACAAGCTCTTGAACGTGGCATCATGGCTGAGGACTTGCCATTCTCCGTGCTGGGTGGCCTCCGCGAGAAGCTGCCCTCTCAAAGTCTGCACTGCATCACTGGAGAAAATCTCATCCAACAGCTGCTGCTGCGTACTCTGGCGCCGAAGGCCTAAAAAAGCACACGGGCTGCCTTTGGCGATGAAGGCAGAAACCAAATCCTGAAAGCTCGCCTGCGCCCGGCCTTGATGCTTCAGAACCAACCCAAGCAACATGGCTGCAGCGGTGCTGTCGTAGTACACGTTTTGGTTGAGGCGTTTGCAATGAGAGGTTTGCTGCTTCAGGACATACCGTGGGCCCTCGCCCGTGAGCAGGAGCACCAAATCCACATCATTCTGCTTTTGAAGGAAGACCTGCGAGTCTTCGTCCGGACTCACCCATTTCCGGATAAGATCTGCAGAGTCCCTCAGCAAGCTTTCAGAGTGCCTCGGCTGCTGCAAGGGTGCCAAGATCTGGTCCTGCTCATACAGAGCTTGCACCGTGTTCCACTGAGCCTCGGTTCTGGTGTTGGCAGTGAACAATCGTGTCTGGACGTGGTACTTCGTAAGATGCGTCTGGAGTTGACGCCTTTCCGAAAATTGCCGAAAAGGACAGAAGGGGCACTTCGCAGTTGACCCACGCGCGTTGCCTGAGGAAGCAGCGGGCTCAAAAAAAAACACGGCTCGCAACTTGTTAAACTTGTTTGTCCTTCTTGAGAGGCCCCGCACCAAACAAAAAAACAACAAAATGTGCCCACATGCTGGGTGAGTTGCGCCGTCCCTCCTGCGCCAACTCATCTAGACGCTTGATTTCAGCAGAAACCTCCGCCCTCACCTTCTCAGCCACTGTGTCCAACACTCGCTCGGCAACGTCGGGCGCTTCGGCCCCGCTAAGCATGTCCAGCAGAGGGTTCGCCAGCTTGCGCTTGCGAAGTGAAAGTGAGGCCGACAACAACTTGGCTTCGAAGACGTGAGCACGTGGCAAGGCTGCCACGGAACGCCAGAAAGTGGCGGCGTCAATTTCCACTGCCTGCATAACGGAGTCACTGTGCACCCTGCACTTGCCAGCGTAACAGAGCACGCCGATGGCATGGCCCACCTCCCGCCCTGGCCGGGTCTCGTGCGCGATGTAGTGGCTGCCATCGCCAGCTGCAGCAGAAGCAACGCTGACAGGCTCCAGGCTCAGCCCTGGGTGTAGTTCCATGCACTGTCTGAAGCTAAGCGGTCCATCTCCACACCCGAAGCTGGCAGCCAAAGTCTCATCCTCAGCGCGAAAGATGTTCGCCAGCGAGAAAGCCAAGCACTTCTGAGCGCCCGCTACGACCATGCAGTCTTCCAGCCGCTCAGCACCGTTCAGCAGGCTTTCCAGAACCTGTGACAAAGTGCCTGCCTGTGGCTGTCGCCCCGCCATGCGCAGCTCTGTCACCTCCATGCGAACATTTGACTGCGCAGCGAAGCTTTCCACAATGGCAGAAATTGCCTCGCCCCCTGCCAGCGGCGCTGCGGCCACTGCATCATACACTGGCGCTGCAGGCAGCCACTTGAAAGCTTGGAGACAATTACAGAAGTCGCGAGTCACCTTGGCTTCGTCATCAAAAAGCAGCATGGCCATGGTGCTGGTTTCTGGTCTCCTCTTGCCGGCCGCTACGGCAGCCTCAAGAACAGCTGCGTTCTGTTGACACAAAGCCTTTCGGAGTGTGAAGCTTTCATACGCAAGACCTTCTAGGATTGGCAACACTCCCAAGGCATCCTTGCCATCGAGAGGGTGCGCAAACCCAAACGTAGCCTTCTGAAGAAGTGCTTTGGCATCTGCAAGGCTGGGCAAGTCAAAGTAGCGCTGGACGGCCTCACGCCACTGTGCCTTGTGCGTCTTGTACTTCTCAAGCAGGCAAGCGCAAACACCCAACTCTTCAGCTCTTTCAAGCATGAAGTGCACAACTGCTGTGGGCTGGTCAAACTCATAGCTCCCAGCTGGGAACAAGGCAGCGCGAGCAGCTCTAGACAAATTTGGAGGGCTAAGTGCTGGGAAGTAGTAACGGCCTAAGGGCTGCCCAGCCACAACTTTCTGCACTCCACGGTGGCGCATGAACATGCCACACTCATCTCTCTCAACATGGCTGGAAATAAGCCGCATGTACTCTGCCACCTGCTGTGGTCGAGAGTCTTTGCCTTCAGCAACATACTTCTCGAACGACTCCACATCCACTCGGAACATAAAGTCCCAGTGCGGGCCATCTGCAAAGCCATGCTCCTCGCACTCATTCACCTCGTCCCCCGCACGCTCCCCGGTAAGCTCCGAAGGCCAGGTCCAATCTTTCCAGGTGCCGAAGACGCCTGCCATGTCGCAGTCAGACACCTCGGGTCAATGATCAGTCTGCGAGACACATGAAGCCATTAAGCGCCAACACTCACGATGCCCTTCCGAATCAACACCCCCGCGCAACAACCTGCCTCTTCCAGAACAGCCATCATCTTCCCTACATCCACGGGCCGGCGAAGAAACTTCACACTGCCTCTGCGATCTTCTGGGGCCCGTCGTAGCAGATAGGGAAACTCCCCAATTGCATCCTGTAGGAACTCTGCACGGCTTCTGTGCTTCGATGACTTGCTGCCATCTCCGCCGGGGTTGGCCTGCACGTGGCTGCATCTGTTCACCGAGTGGGCTGTCAGCGCAGAAGAGGTCAAGGCGGCGTGCGTTTCCTGCACTATCCGGACGGCGCGAGACTCAGCTCGCTCTTCCAGGCCGGCCCCAAGAGGCGCTGGAGCATCACCAGGCGCGTCAGGATGTGCTGCGGTGGTCACGCGGGCCATCTTCTGCAAGAGCCAAGCAGTGTCCTTCTCCGTCTGCGAACCCGGCTTGACGTAGTCGAGATCCCTGTACCACTGGCGTGGGCCACTCTGCCGCATGTACTTGAACAAGAAGTCTTGGAAGAAGGACCAGACAGCATCGCCTGAAGACATGAAGCCCTTTGCGTCTTCGTCGGCCAAGAACTTCTTGGAGGCTACATCCACAGACTCCACCTGCGTTGTCATGCTGGCGCGCATGAAGACGCCTCGAAACCGGCGGGAATGCGACCTCTCCAATGCCGTTGGAATGGCAGGCACATCGCCCAAGTTCATGCACCAGTTCTTGCCGCAGTAGGCATAGGAGCCATCCTTGGTTTCAGCCTCATGGTTCCGCCGCAGAGGCAAGATGCCGTTGCCAATGAACAACTTCACAACGTCCTCAACAATACCCTGGTCTCGACGGCACTCGTCAAATGTCAGCATGGCGCAATGCAAGTATTTTAGCCCCTGTTGCTGAAACTCCCGCTCAACTTGGAGCATAGTGCCCGGAGGATTGCCAAATCCACTTCCCCAGCACGCTGCCATGAGATCGACCAGGATCAGGCTCTTGCCTTCCATGCCTGCGCCAAAAAAAGACGTTCATGACGTCCGGCTGGCGCATCCCGGAAAGAGCAAGAGCACTCTGCGCAAGGAGCCTCTCCAAGCCATCACCGCCAGAGAAAGACGCCAGAAGCATAGAGGCCAGCCGGCGCCGACTCACGTCTGATGGCCTAACACGAAATTGTGCAGACCTGGCACGTAAGCACCCGTGCCGCGTATCCTTTCGGAAGCTGCTTGATGTCCACCATCTGGGCCGTGGAGATGTAAGGCATCCTGGAACGCACACCTCGCTGCTTGCAGGCGTCGTAAGCTGCTCTCCGCCAAGCGGTGGAAATTCTTCACCATGTTCTTGTTGTGCTCGCTAAACTGGCGCCGAAGATCTCGACAGAGTTCACTCAAGCCGTAGAACCACAACTTGGCCTTCATCTCAGCTTTACGCCCAAGCAGATCAGTCATCTGCCACTCAAGGAGCGTTTGCTCCTCGCCTGTGCTCAGTATGACACGCACCTCAAAGATCGCATTCTCGAGCTTGCGCGCTGGCGGGTCCTATGCTCGTCCCCAAATGGAGAGAGGTGTCCCCCCGCCCCCTTATTCAATATTTTTCTCTTTAGCAACAAGGGGAACCTTGAGGGACATACCAAAACAGAGGCATTTTAGGGAAGCACCCCTTCACCTTTGTTCAAAAGAAGGGAGGGCTTGGCCGCTTGGCGGTCCTCTAGCTTGCCAAAGACCAAGTAATACGCTTGAGCCCTTCTCAGCGCGCCGAGCAAGAAGTCCAAGTGGCAAGATGAAATGGTGTTGTGGAAGGATTGCACAAAGGCGCCGTTCAGGAACTCGAAGAGCTTGCCGGCGTGGGACCGGTACTGGTCGCCAAGAAGAAGAGCGAAGATCTTGGTGTGGAGCAGTTCACTGCGCACATCATCTGGGGATGCGTGCAGCAGCAATAAGGTCACCTGCGCAGCGGCTCGCTGCATGAGAACGTCGTCCTCCAGCACTTTGCCTTTCCAGCCGAAGGCCTCGTCAATCTGGTCCCGAAAAGCATCCATTTCCTCTGCCATTGTCCTGGCGCGCCTAGCTACATCTTTGGTGAAGGCCAGCTCGCTTACGCTCGCTTGAGGACCACACTCAAAGCCAGCAGGAGCCCATGTCTCCAAGATCTCGTCCAAGTTGCGCAGCCCTCCTCTGGAGCTACTGGCAAGGGCGCCAGAAGGAAGAGGCTGCGCAGCTGTGCTGTTCGGCACGCGAGCCTGGCGGCTGTCTGAAAATAATTCCTTCCCCCGGAAACGCAATCTTCGCGGAACAAAAAAGTAACTTTCGCGGCCTTCATCACGAGTACAATTCCGCAGTGAGGCTTGGAAGTGCCAACTGTTCAGAACGAAAGTTGTACAAAGTAAATTTATGGCGCCCCAGCTCGAAAGTCGCAACTTTTCAGTTCCAAAGTAGTACGCGAAGTGCACTTCCGCAGCCCCAGCTCGAAAGCCGTGCAGCAGCACAGGAGGGAACCCGTTGGCCACCCATGGCGCTGAGGGTTTCCTGCATTTTTTGGCGGCAATCCTCTGGCCGCGCTTTCCTCCGACTAGCTTTGCGCATTCTGCGCAAACTGACGGCAAATGCATATAGCTCATCATTATCTTCCTTTTAGCAAACTGCCCTTAGGCAAATAGGCAAAACTTTCGAAAGAAAAATGGCAACTTTCGCGAAGCTTTCGCGGATGGCAGTAATACGACAAAAAAGGTCTTCCCCTTCCTAATTTCCTGAATGCAAGGACCTTTCGGACGACTCCCACCTGCGAAGCCGGCGCTGTCTCCAACTCAGCAAAGCTGCGAGCCAGCACCTGAGGGTCTTCCAGCGCTGCCAGCCGGCGAGCCGAGTACAGGCGCAGCCAGGCTTGCAGCGGCGCGTCCTCCTGCGCCTCCATGACTCCAGGCGTGCTTCCTTGAGCCGCAACTTACGCAGAGATCGTTCCTAAACCGCAAGTCACTCAATCGCTGAGCGCCAGCCCCTGGCAACAATCGTGCGAGATCATGATACGAGTAAAGCCGGCAGAGCCTTAGGCAATAGGGGCGCTTGCTTTTGCTTTGGCGAACCCACTGGGCCTCATTGAAATTGTCATGGAAACCTTCTGCTTGCTTGTCCCACTTCACTTGCGCTTGCGCATTTGTGTTGCGCTATCATCTGTTAATCAGGCTGTCTCATCTGTTGGGCCATCTATCTGTCAAGCAAGCTACCTGTGGAAGTCTCTGCCTGAAGCTGCCTGTCTGTTCAGCTGTCTGTCTGTCAAGCTACCAGCTACCTGTCCAGATATTTATTGGTTTTGTTATCTATCTGTCAAGCTGTCTGTCTCTGAAGCTAACTGTTTCTCTCGCTATCTTGCCTGACCTCGGGAAAATGCTGCGCGTGCCTTCTGCCGGCGCGAAGTGCACCCCGCTACACACGCGCACTTCCCCGACCCTGGTGGCAGCACCGACCTCGCTGTCCACCAGCCAACGTCTGATCCAACACTTCACAACTCTGTGTTGCCCCGCCGGCGCGAAGCACACCCCGCTACGCATGTGCGCCTCCCCGACTCTGGCGGCAGCACCGACCCCGCTGCGTGCCAGCCAGCAACGATGGCAAAAGCTACCTGTCTGTCCATCTATCTGTCAAGCTACCAGCTACCTGTCAAGCTGTCTATCTGTCAAGCTACCTATCTGTGAAGCTGTCTGCCTGTGAAGCGAATTTGTTGCCCTCGCTATCTTACCTGACCTTGCGAAAGTGCTGCACGTGCCTTCTGCCGGCGCGAAGTGCAGTCCGCTACACACGCGCGCTTCCCCGACCCTGGTGAAGCGCACTTACCAGTAAGGTCCGGCAGAGCCGGGGGGAATTTTCAAATATATAAACGATAGTTGTCTTTATCTTTCTTTTCTTATTTTGTTTTTTTCTTCTTACGTATTTCTTTCCTTCTTTTAATGGTGTATGTTCTTTCCATCTTTCTTGCTTTCTCTTTTGTTTGTTTTTCTCATTTCGTTCTTTCTTTCTTGCTTCCTTCCTTCCTTCCTTCCTTCTTCCTTCCTTTCCTTTCTTCCTTTCCTCTCCTTTCCTTCTCTTTCCTTTCCTTTTATTTCCTTTCCTTTGCTTCCTTTTCTGTGTTGTTCTTTTTTTCTTTTCTTTCATTCTTTCTTATTCTTTCGATCTCTCTAACTATCTACTTATTATCTGTCTCCTACATATCTATCTCTCCACCTGTCATTCTAGCTTTCTCTTAATCTATCTATCTATCGATCTCTCTCTCTCTCTCTCTCTCTCTCTCTCTCTCTCCGCATCTCTCATCCTCACAACTCTCATCCTCTCTCTCTCTCTCTCATCTCTCACACTAAACTCTACCTCTCTTTCTCTACCTCTCTCTCACTCTCTCCCTCTCCCTCTCCCCCTCTCTCTCTCTCTCTCTCTCTCTCTCTCTCTCTCTCTCTCTCTCTCTCTCTCTCACTCTCTCTCCCTCTCTCTCTCTCTCTCTCTCTCTCTCTCTCTCTCTCTCTCTCTCTCTCTCTCTCTCTCTCTCTCTCTCTCTCTCTCTCTCTCTCTCTCTCTCTCTTCTGTCAAATATCATGCTGTACTACTTGTCCCTTGTACATGCATGATGTACACTACTCGACCGCAGGCCTTGAGTCTACAAGCAAAAGAGCGCATGCTGGGAAACTACATTTGTGTTTGTGACAGCATAAACAACACATGCACTTGTAGTAAAGTAACGACGTATTTTAACGTGGTAGCGGAGCTGAGATTCTAAACATATAGGGGGAGCTCCAGAAACAGCAATAAGTAATACAACTGCACAGGCAACCACATGCCCAACTACTACGACATGTCAGGAGAACCAGCAGCAGCATCAGCACAACCAACTACAGGAGCAGACAACGGGCCCACAGCAGAGGAGACAATAGGAGCCACAACTACGGGAACAACACAGGAGCAGGA